GCAGTAAGTAGTCGAATGGGACTTCGACTCTGGTAGGGGGGTAATGAAACATTTGTCTTTCCTCTCTATTTCTGGTACTACTAGCGCCCATACTGGCGCCTGTCTTAGCGCTCACCCGCAGGTTGAACATTATGTAGCTTACATAATGGGGTCCGTGCGCACTTTGTACCTGATATCGTACCACTACGTTTCTTTCCTCACTAACACGACCACATAGACACGATGGTCCGTGCGTAGTCGGTACTTGTATAAGTAGTTGTACCATTAGTCGGTCGAACCCTAAGTTCGACCTGGTTATTCATTCAAGTCTCTGCTCCTCTTCGCTTGGAGTAGTGGTCATTCTCGACTTCCTCGCTCGATCTTCCGGACGACGCACTGTCCATAAGCCCTCGCTCGTTGTCTACGAGTCAGGCATCGATATAGGAGTATAGACCGTTGTATCACAATCCTTCCACCATTTTTCTATGTTTATTGGTGTCAAGACCGCTCAGTCCACTCGAACAGGCATGCACGATACGTCAAATGCGCGGCTGATGACTATAATACCCGTGAAAAGTGAATTACCCAGATCTTTGAGCTATGCTGCTTTATAATTTAGCGTGGTTGACAGAGAGGAGAATAATGCTGCTACGTGAACGCGATTCGAAAGCAAGGTATACGAAGTTAGATGACTAAAGGTATTATACGCTAGGCATTCGTCTAAGGGCCGCTCTTCGGCAAGGAGATAGGAGGGGTAGGACCACGAGATCCGATGGAGGACAAAGACGGCCGTGGCTGAGTCTGACGCTTGAATTGTGCCTCCAGTTTCGCTCTTTGCTTACGCAAGTCTTCGTCTTTCAATTTCACTGAGAACACGAGCTCCAAAAAGGTGTCAGGGTTGGACGGAAGGCACATGAGCGGAGGATGGGCCAAAATCTTCAACAGCGCATCTTGATCTTTAGACTGGAGTAGAAGTTGGCGGCAACACGACACAATGGCCAGACCGACACGGAACAGGACGGTTACACCTGCAGCACCTTCTTGTTAGTATCCCGTGATAGAATAGCCCAACGGCAGCCTACCCTCAAACAAAAACACATCCCAGATGCGGAGGAGGTAGTCTGATGTGAAGGAGTCCGTGAACACATAGCAGAACCTAAAAAGACATTACCATTAAACATTCACTACTCGAAATAGAAGCAGACGTACCAGGGTCTACAGATAGCCATGGGTTGGATAGCCATGTCAACGAAGATCCTTTTCGATACAGCAGGGTCGTTGATTTCCAACGCTTTCAGAAAAAGAGAAGCATCGACATCTAGTTGTACGTTGCTTCGTGAGAAGTAGGGCCTGAGATGGGAGTCCATCAGCGAGACAAAGGTCCAGAAGGCATCTTCCTCCGGGGATTGCATGAGAAGTTGACTTGCAACTACGGCAAGTCCTAGCACGGCTCATCAGATTGGCTTCATAATGTAGAAAGGCATGAAACTCTTACCCCTTGTATACTGGATATCTGGTACCATAGAGAGGTACGCTTGTAGTACATTGACAAGACATTGATGTTGTAGAGGTTGGTCATGAAATTTTTTTTGAGAATCATGTTCGATGTCCGCTATTTGAGCGACTCGTTCACGTTGCCCCAAGCGCCCGTAGAGCCCATCCATACGCTTCGCCTTGCTGTCCGTTAAGTGTGCCCATACCAGGTAACGCACGGACGCGGGAACACCCTCCAGCACAAGTTTACGTATCTTCTTGCTCTTCCGGGACTGCGAAGGGGGAACGGATGACATGGTTGATATCCACCTCAGCTCTCTTTGACGATGCGCATCCATATCGGTCGTCTCTTGTATCTCAACCGATGCAATGTCAGTTGGTCGCTTTTCTTGTATCTGTTGTTTGAAGGATGTCGCAGAGCCGTTGATAGAAGCATTGCTCATAACGTCAGCGCGACGAGGCGGGAGGGGCAGAGATTCGACACTACTGGCGGCCAAGGGCGAGTGAAGCACAGTTGGATTCACTAGCTCAAAGTCCATGTCCTTGATTGACACTGTCTTGTGGTCCTGTGCGTGGTCGAACGAGACCACACTAGATTCAGGACTGCCATCCGGCTGCAATAACGACCGGTCATGGGCTCTATGCGTAGATGTGGAACTCCGTGAGGCAGTACGAAGAAACGAAGAGCTCGACTCAGAAGGGTCGGGCGATGGTGTTGCAGTATTTGACTGAAGGTCGGATGGGCGCCGAGGTCTGTGATCCTGAGAAGGTCGTCCCTGCGAAGAGACCCGCGGACGTGTCAACGTGTTCGCAGCAGAGCTCTTTGAGCTTGTTGAAAGGGATGAACGACTGTGCCTGAGCACAGGAAAAGGCCCAGAGGGTGATCTGGGAGATGAAGGAGGACTAGATCTAGAAGTCTCGGAACTGAGGGTCCCTCTTGACTGCTGTCGTACTGGATCTTGTCCTCCGAGATGTACATTCCGCATTGGCGGGCTCTTGGCGGATGACCTGTCAAAGGATGGCTCACACGCAATGGGAGTTTCTGCTACAGGTGAAATAGGCGAAGGTGAGGCCACCAGCTCTCGCCGTGGGACGTGCGATGAAGCCGGAGGAGAGGGTGATGAGGCGACAATATTGTTTTGAGAGAAGGACAGCGGCGAAGGTTTTTGCACCGTGCGTACCGCGGTGGACGTGTGCGATACAGTCGCTCTTTGCGGGGTTGGCAATTCGATAGGAGAAGCGACCGGTGTGGCCGATGCAGATTTTGACCTTTTGGTAACCACGGATAGTGACGGTGCAATCACGACCGAGTCATCGCCTACATCGCTGATGATGACTGAGGATACTTACAACGAGGAATTTACAGTGATGCTCACCTTTGTGCTGGCGTTGGTCGTGAATCAAATCCTGAAAATGACCTTGACCTAGGCCGTTGTCCGGGCGCAGAGGGGACGAAATTCGCGCGGTGTATCGGCTGCGAGGGCTGCAGCGTGTTGGGCACCTCGCGACCCTCCGTGGGCCTTGCAGACTGGGCCAATGGACTGCTCACCATATGCCGCTCAGGGACAATCGCGGGCGACGCAGACCTCGACGAAGGAATCTGTGGCCTCACAGACGCCGGTCTGTTAGCTGGAATATCCATTGGTGGGTCCAGCGAAAAGGAAATGGGCACCGGACCGGCAGAGCTAGCAAGATCGTAATCGAACCGAGCGTAGATCGTGGTAAGTCTCGCCTGGCTATATGCAAGAGCCATGCGCAGGATCTGAAAAGCTGACCCCGGTGGAGGACCACTGGGGGGCATCGGCTGCCCTGGCCCTACGGGTTGTCGGCCATACATTGGACCGGTGGGTGTATTGGCAGGCTTGGGTGCATGAGGGTGCGGCATGAAGAGACTCTGACGAGGAACAGGATCTGCAGGCCGACCGCCAGGAGGTGCAGGTCGCGGCACAGCGCCCATTGGTCCTGCAAGCAACGATGAGGGGGGTGGAGCCGGCGAGCCTCGTCCTGGCGTCAGCGCGTATGGCGGAGGGACACGTTCCTGCGGTGGCGGGACGGGTTGCTGTGGTGTAGAAGGGGATGGGGTATCGAATGGGGAAGGCAAACTCTCGTCGTCCTCGACGACAATATTCTGGCCTGATAGACGTTCGGTTGAGTTCACACGTACGAAAGACGCCCTCCCTGGCCTGATGATCGGACTCGCAGGCTGCAAAGTTTGGTCTTGTTGCGCCCCGAAGCTGGCGGATGATGCGCCATTCGGTAATGGCGAACTCTCGTTTGGGGAACGAGGGGAACGTATTGATGGTGAGAGAAAGGAGTCCATGGACAGCGGTGTCGTCGTACTCTGCGGAGATCCGAACGCGGCGTGTAGTAAAGGTGATGAAGCGCGGCCGCCGATCAATTCAAGGGGCGAAGGTCTCCCCTTCATGATGCGCTCCGACATGTCGTCGGTCGTCTCCTCTGCACCTCTAGCTGCAGAGCCAGCGTCGGTTGGCGAGGAATTCAGAGTATTCTCTTCGACATCGTCCAGCGGACTAGAGCCGCCTCGTTTAGCACTTTGACTAGCGAGCGCGGCTTGTATGTCGCTCGGTATAGGTGGAACGTCTGGACCAGTCCCCATCGGCCTGAGTGATCCCTGCGAGAGGCGCGACATCTTCGACGCAACCGAGAACCGTGAATATCGGTACTGGTCATAGATGTCGCCTTCCCACTCTGAGTTGCCAGAATACTCGGAGTGCATCGAGCTGCGAGACATAATGCTTGGTTCGCGCGCATATGCAGGGAGCGGCGGCGGTAGGTCATCAAATTGCTCGCGCGTGCTCTGTGGTGAGGAAGAGTACTGCGAGTATTCTGAGTTAGGGCGGAACTCAGCATCAATGCTTGCCGCAGGGGGACCCTCGACAGTGGACTCGGAAGATCCTGGACGACTCGAATCGTCGTATCTTGACTCTTCCTGCTCTGACAAGCGCACACTGCTACGAGAGCTTGCCACCGACGCGCTATCGTCGCCGTCTGCGGCGCCCATAAAGCCCTGGAGCAGAGATAGCCCAATACCCGTGACCCCATCGGACGTTTCGATCGAAATGCGTGAGATACGCGAGCTCTCTTCGGTGTCGAACGAGAATGATTCTTGCGACGCCGTGTGCACGTCCTCATCAGGTAACGCACGAAGGACCGGTTTTGGCGACAGCTTCCGAATGTTCAATGGGCTCACAGCAGGCGGACTGAGCGGGCTGTAATCATTTTGGCGCAGGTTAAGTGCAGATACTCCGTTATGTCCCAGGGGCGATCCAGGAGTATATGCGTCCCCATCGATTTCCTCGGGCTCTACAGGAGAATCTACCGTTGTGACTAGAGCGCCGAAGGGAGCAAGCATAGAGTATCGTTCCTTTTCGAGGTCGGCCAAGGACGCTGGTATATTATAACTTGAAGTAGATGGCTCCGCATGTGCACTGATGCTCGAGGTCTCGCTAACCACGGAGGAAGAATTAGAGTAGCTGTAGGACATGCGTGTCGGACTCGACGTGCGTGTCGGCGCTGGGGAATTATGCAGGGGTATCTGGGGAGAGGCTTCCCGCGCAGCGAGTGTCATGGCGCTCTGAGAAGAGGATGGGCGGCTTCTTGAAGACCCGACTGAGGCGGAGCGATAGGTAGACGAACGTTTCGTCATGACTGGCTTCTTCAGACGGCCATGGAAGCGGACATTGGCACCACTGAAACGACCGACCACACCCTCGCAGTAGCCCTATAGCAGGTCAGCGTGGACTTGTTCGCTGTGCGGAGAATAATGCTTACCAGAAAAACGTCTTCTTGATCTAACAAGTGCATGAGGACAATAATTTCGTCATCCTGCCATCGCATCATATCAGTACTCCGTGCTAAATTTAGAACTTCTAGACATTTCAGGTAAGACTGTGATTTTCAGCCAATCTGGCACAAGCATACGCTTGCAGAGTACATCCATCGAGTTAAAGGGGCCAACCCCTATTAGAGGACTGTCCGCTCCCAGGTGTTTCAAACGTACACAGAAAGGAAATATCTCGTGGAGAACGCGTGAACTCACAGCAGCGCACGGAATAATGTGTTTGATGCACATAAATATCGTGAACACCACCGGTACCTGCGTCCCGGTTGTTTTCCCACTCCCACTCTGTACTAAACGATCCGTGTCGAATATTTATACACCTTGGCAACCGCAGGTACCACCATGCGCACTGTTGTCCGCACACATATACATAGGAAGTAAAACAGCAACGATCCTCACCTTCAAAAACATGAGATCGTCCGGTTCCTCCGCCACGCAGTCTTGTACAGCGGTACATTTTCCTATGCCTCCTTTAGCGGCAAACCGAGTCCAGCGACCGAGTTCCGTTGCGTCCATGTCTTCAATAAAAGCTCAAATATAAGGTGTCCTTATGCAAAGTATTGCCGTGTCGAACGTGTCGATGTAGCCAGGCGAACAAGGATAAACTCAAGTACGGCAGTCGGAAGGCTTGGCGACAGCGAATAACGTAAAGCTAGACACAGGAAAAAGCGCAAGCGCTTTCGCGGTCAACAAGGTAGGGAAACGAGCGGATACGGTGTAGACGACACCGAGGACACTGTCTGCAACAGCGAGCGCGCTGTCGAGGGTGTTCGGTCGGGCAGCGCTTCAGCCACCAGACTCTGAACAGAGCCGATCACCTTGCCATTCCAGGATATCGCATTGAATTACGTAATCACCCACTTTGTCCCCGAGCGGCTTCGTCTCGCTCGCCAATTGCAGCTCGTCGCTGTCGTTGTCTGCTTACTCGTCTTCAAAAATGCCGCCAATGGCGTTCACGGGGCTGGTCACGAAGGTCGGATTCATGAGCAAGACGGCCACGGTGACAGTTTCTCGATGGGTCACTCATCCCCGGACGGGCAAGGTTCGTCTGGGTGACCGTCCTCCGTGCAACCGGTTCTCCTCTAACATGCATTCGGCGAGCAGCGCTTAGAGAGGAGCAAGAAATATCTCACACATGACGAGGAGAATCGTGCGTTTGCTGTTTTCGATATTCCCTAATGACTATTCATCCATCGCACTAGAGTTGCGGCAGGGCGACACTGTCCTCATTCGGAATTGCCCACCTATCTCTGCGCGCAAACGCTTCACGCTTGAAAGGGTGCTCAAGAGCCCAGAAACTGAGCGCGACGAGATGCATGCGCGCATGGCCCAGGCAGCCAGCAGTATTGCCGCACAGTCATCTGCCACCATGCCTGCGGAGCAACTCGCTACCGCGAACTGATCTGCGAGGGCGCAGAATGATGGGGAGACCTGGCACCCTGCCTGGTCCAGGCAAAAGTATACGTATACTCGGTGGTGTACAATCCAGCACGCTTCGCGCATAGCGGATCCGCCTTCAGTACCATGACTTACACCACGAGCACGCCGCCCTTCGTCGATGATGGTATATGATGGGTCCAACACACAGTAGCGACACGTATAGCTAATAGTAACGCAGTTCTCCGTGTTATTTTGCTCGCTTATTAGAGTGAATTACAAGCCTGCAAGCCTAGAGCGAAGACGAATCGCTTGACTTCTCGCCCACTCTTCAATTGGCTCTCAAGGCATTCGAATTTGATCGTGACGACAGCAAGGGAGTTGCGACATTTTCACTCCGATAACCTAACAAGAGGCGGAAGATGGTGCAACATATAGAGGTAGCTGAGGGATATATGCACTGAAGTCAAGCAGCAGCAGGGAAAAGAAAACTAAGAGCCACGAGTCTAAGATATGCTGATGCTATCCACTCCCAAGCCGACTTGCATTTCTGGGCGAATTCATCGAACGTCTGTGGAGGCCGCCCAGTCACTCGTTCCACGACGCCGTTCATTCTGTTCTCGCTCCCATTAGCGACTGCGACTTCAACAGAGGCAAGCCGCTTTGCGAAGTACTCCGGCACGCCAACGCTCATCAGCCGTTGTGCTCTGTGTTCATCGGTGAGATTGACGTGTGTGATTTCGCGCCCCAGACAGCTGCTGAGTTTTGCTGCAATCTGCACAACGACAGTCAGCGCGTATATTCCCGTTGGGTTTACAGACCGGAGAGGCTGCGTGTACCTCATCGTGGGTCTATAGCTCAGGCCCCAACACCATATAATCAGTGTTGTGCGGTTTCTCGTCGGTGAGCGTGCGGGATGCGACGGCTGCAATGTCGGCGGCGCTGATGTATGGTATTTTGCCATCGCCGCACGCCGTAAAGATTTTACCCTCGTCTTTTATCGTGAGATGATGCGTCCCTTCTGAGAAGTTCTTATCCCCTGCCGTTAGCCGGAGAAGTACCACAAGCCTGAGCGAACAAACGCACCCATAAACCAGGTTGGACGCAGCACACAGTACTCGACGCCAATGTCGATAAGATGCTGCCACACTTTTCCGAGGCGATGCCCGCCTGGCTCAGTGCTACTACCGGCGATGAGGACAAATCTTATGACACCGTGCTCTTTGACTACATAGTCGACAAAAGCATTCATTGGCGGTACTAGATCGGCGGCTTCGGGCGCAACCAAATAGATTGCGGAAATACCCTCTCCGCCGGAGAATTTATGTTGAAAGGGGGTCGCAAAGGTCGAAGACTCGAGCCAATCGAATTTGACCGCTGGCATGCCGGATGGAGCTGCAGCCTCGCCTCTGCGAGAGGCCAAGACGAATGGGATCTTCGCATCTTGCAACAGACGCGCAATGCGTACGGAGGTCTTGCCCGTGCCGCCTGTGAGGAGTATTGCCATGATTGCAAATGGATGATCTGAATCTTCAAGGACGGCTTGCGTATTGTTCGGGATAGGAGAATTCTTGAAGGCACGTAAAGTGTCGAGGTCACGCGATACGTTTGCTGAGGTGATATACAATATTTGCAATTGAGAAACTCACCTCGGAAGGTGAGAGTGTAGTGCTGAGGAACAACGGCGCAAGCGTCGCATCTATAAGTACATTATCTACGCTGCTGTGCGCTTCGTTGCTTTCCCGGCAGAGCGTGACTCATTGAACTTTCCGGTCACCAACGTCAGTAGCATTCAAAAAACTATACCCGGGCCAGACGGTGCCGCACAGTGAACCCACGGAAGAGTAATAACAGCGAGGATTTCAGCCACGTATCTCTGAGGTCTGGAACGTCTTCACTTCGGCCCCGTCATGGTTGCAACTTTCAACACACCTAGTCTGTGACCCGTAGATCAGTGACTCACGCCTCTCGCCAGCATATACCCCACACGGAACACCGATTTTTCACGTCGATGGCAGTTGACATCATATGCAAATGCCTCGCCATTGTCTGCTTACCCTTAAAGCCCCAAAGCGCACGCGCAGTTGCTGCCCTCTCGGCGGTACGCAGCACGCTTCGGTGTATCCGCCGTGCAGTGCCTTCCTTGTGACGAGAAGTAAAGATGTTGCTTCACTGGAAATGGTATATGATGGGCCTAGAGATACAGTAATGAAGTGTACAGCGGATAGGGACGCAGCGCTCCGCGTGATTTTGTCTATGCAGCAATAGCAGTTGGTGCGGACGCCTTCGCCTGGTCTTGTAGTGCGACTTGGACCTCGACGAGCTACACAATGTCCGAGGAGCATCAGCGGTAAGAATGTATTACAAGACCTCAGAAAGGAGAGAAAGTAGCTGTGCCGCTCACCTCAGCCTTCTTCTTCTCAGACTTCTCATCGAGGTCCTTCAGCTGGGCTTCGACGCGTTTGCTGTGTGGGATACTCCAGTCACATGGGTTACAGTTGCAAGAGGAACTCGGAACGCACATTTCGCTGCGAATGAAATCCAGTCGTGTTTCCACGTTGCTCTTCGCTTCAGCCTGGTCCTGTTGCACGAGAACAGGCCCAATGAGCTTGTACACCGTGTTCTCCTTGGTCAACTGGGCAAATTCCTGTTGCACGACGTGGGTGTTCGCATAGAGATTGACCAATATTGGGACGGGGACATACCTTCTTCACGAGCTCGTTCTCCGACAACTGGGCGTCCAGCCGTTGCCGCGCCTCCACCGCCGCCGAGATGTCATTCTGGATCTTCTGGTAGTCCGTCGTCGCGTTCTGCAGGCGGATTTGCAGAGCAGCAGACATTTCGTCGTAGTCTCCGCGCCGAGCGAACGGCGCTCCAGTTTTGCACCTGCCTCACCGCGATCGATCCTGCGCTCCCATTGGCTGACTCCCCGCCCGCCAAATAGGCGCACACGGCGCCTGTGCCTTGCTACGCCATTCACGCCCACCGCAGCGTCGGCGCTGCCCGCACACTCACGACCATGGACACCTCACCGACCGCGCTGTTCGACTCCTACGAGCAGGACTTCAATCAGATCATACAGAGCGTGCGCGGAAGAGTTGACGGCGATGCGCAGGGCGAACAGGCAGGTGAGCCCGGCTCGCAGCATTCACTTGCGTGGTGACCGAGCGCAACACAGAGCAGCGCAAGGCCGCGTTGCGCAGGGTGGAGATGGAGCTCGACGAGGCAGATGAGATGGTGCGTTATTCGCCTATAATCTCGTGCTTGCGAAGCACCCAACTCACGCTGCGCGGGCGATAGGTCTCGCAAATGGAAATAGAGATCCAGGGGATCCCGCAGTCCATTCGTCCTTCATACGCGGGGCGAATCAAGACTGCCAAGGCAGAGCTCCAGAGGTATAAGAAGCTCTCCAAGGACCTACACGCTCAATATTCGCGCGCGGACCTCCTTGGTTCGGCCGCGCGTCCGGGCATGGGCGACGCGCTCTCTGACGACCCGTACGGCACATCAACCGACCGCACGCGCCTGCTGGCGGGCACAGCGATCCTAGAGGACGGCACGCGGCGGCTGCAGGATAGTCAGCGGATCGCGCTCGAGACGGAAGAGCAGGGGACGGACATCCTGCGGAGTTTGCGCGTGCAGCGCGAGCAGATCCAGAATGCGCGGGACACGGCAAGTTCAGAATTGTCATTAGAAGCCGTACTGTTCGCTGACAGACTTGGCCTGCCTACTTAGCTTCAGCGTGCGGATACATCCATTGACCGGGCCACGGGCACGCTGAAGAAGATGATCAGACGGTATGTCCCCATCCCGTCTTCTTCAGCTGGTGTAACACTTGTCTGATAGTTGGGTATGATGCAGCATGTACCAACAACGCGTCGTCACTGGCGCAATAATCGCCGTATTGATCATTCTCATCCTGATCATCCTCTGGGCGAAGCTCTGGCGGTGATCTCGTAGACGTTCCTCCTCGCCCTGCGTCAGCTTCGCTTGGTTTTGGGTGGGCTCGGACCATTCACTGCAGCTCTGGTGTACCTTGCGTCTCTATTTATATGTACCTCCTGTACTCTGTTCCTCCTGGAATTCAATTTCTGTAGATCTTGTTTTTTTTGCCCGTCCTCGGGCCCGGTGTGATTCACGTAACGTCGAAGCGAAGAGCAGTCAGATACACTATTTGAAGCGAGCGATGAGCGCGACCCCATGACCACGGTGGGCACGGTCCGAGCAGGGCAGTGGACGCGTCTGACTGGTCCTGGCGGCCATCTCCCTCCAGCCGCTAGACAATTCCCTATAAAATGATCCGCCCGCCGCTGACCCCACACTACCTGCGCTTTTCTCTCGCCGTCACCGCCGCAGCGTACGTGGACCCCACTTACCCCAACGCAGGACTTTGAGCGAAAAAAACCCACAGGTTATCCACGAATACGCCCGACTAGCACCCACGAAACATGGCGTCCTTCCTCGCAGCATTCAAGTGAGTCAGGACCGCCCATCTGCCTAGGAGTGCGGGGCGGACGGACAGCTCATACCGTTTGCAGCGCATCTCTCATCCGGAGACCCATGCTCACGCAGTGCGCCGCCTCCGGCGTCATGTTCGGGATCGGCGACGTGCTCGCCCAGCAGGCGTTCGAGAAAAAGGGCAGGGATCACGATGTGCGTGTCTTTTTGTCGTTGACGTGCTGCACAGGTAGTGATTGAGTCATATCTGCAGTTTGTCCGCACCGCGCGCACAGCGTTCTACGGAGGTATGACATGTCCCCATTTCACAGGCGTCGACCGCTAACCTCATTCTTGTCTGCGCATCAGGCTGTCTCTTCGGGCCTCTCCTCACCAAGTGGCTCGGACTCTTGAACCGGATACAGGTCAAGTCGCCCGTCAAGTCCGTCATCTACAAAGTAAGAGCCTCGCGCCTAGGGTATGTCTGTTTCTAACAGGTATTCCACGACAGGTCTACCTTGACCAGACGGTCTTCACGCCCGGTATGCGCTCCGCTTCCAGCTGGCCTTGTGTGTTCTAACGAATCCGCAGCTGTGATCGGGTTCTTCTTCGGCTCCATGACGCTCATGGAGGGCAAGTCCATCGCAGCCGCGCAGGAGCGCATCGCCCAGTCATACGTGCCCACCCTGCTGCGTAACTGGTAGGCCATCAGCTGTCCTGTGAGCGAGATCCGGCCGCCTGACTTGGTATCTCTGCCAGGTGTGTCTTCGTGCCCACGCAAGTCATCAACTTCGCATTCGTTCCCGCGCACCTGCGCTTCTTCACCATCGGCGTGGTCGCGCTCTTCTGGAGTACGTCAGCTCTGCTCGATCACGCGAGGGCCCGCATTTACACAGCTTCTGCCTCCCAGATGCATATCTCAGCGCGGTCAACGCTAGAAACGCACCAGCTGCGGAGAGCCTGGTCGCCAATGTCAACGACACAATAACTACCGCCGAGCTCAAGGCGTTCTAGACCACTGACGCACATCTCCTGCCGCAAAACCGCTGACCATTATCTTGGCTATGTCTACTTGTCGTGACCGCCAGCGTGTCCTTATATACCCGCATTGTATAGACTGTCTCACGCTCCATAGACATGCTAATGCTGACAACCATAGAAGTACATATATCCGCGGACCACCCTTAGACACGTACAGCATTAACATAGCGAATCCAGACTGCATTGCGACTGACAGATACTGTGTGTGGGATGTAAGGTAAGAGATGGGCTAAGTGGGCCGATCGCTCAAAACTAGGACGTGTCGGTCAGTATGTTGTCCTGGCGGTCCCATCTGATCTCCTGTCTCAGCACCCCATCCAGGATGAGCTCTGGGAGGTAGATCGTGTACCCGTGCTGTGCAAGCGGCCGCCATATCGACTTGTCCGCCGGCGCAGAGATCACATAGCGCTCGGCGTTGCTCTTGAGTATCCGCACCGTCGGCGTTGTCGAGATGACCTGCGGGACATGTTAGCTCAACCGCAAAACAGCGTGTGCGGGTCGCCCACCTGGCCGCCGTTCGCGATCACGACGTTCTTGAGCAGTTTGGTGTCGACGGTCACTTTGGGCGTTATGTAGAACGTCTTCCCCGCGAACAGCTTGCCACCCGTTTCCTTCGACCTGCGCAGGGCCTCTGGGAGCTTGAACCCGTGCTTCTTCTCGGTCTCCGGGTCGCGCAGCGCATAGTGCTCTTCCGCTAATATGAAGAAAGTCGATCAACTGATACACTCCATACTAAAAGAGAAGGAATCACGCACGGAGAATCTGTTTCGCCGCGGCCGAGGCCAGGAGCCACTTCTCGTTCACGACGAATGGTGCAACAGCCATCGCACATAGGAACTTCTCCGTGCGAACCAGGTTACGCGCAACGAGATGAGTGCATTCCGATGGCTTTGATGTCATCTTGACACCAAGTTTTGTCAAGATCTGCAATGTGGATCTTAAGTTTCATGCCTGCGTATCGCTGGTCTGCACTCACTCTCGAAACCTCATCTGAGACAGTGACTTGCGTGGTCATAATCCTCACGGCCTTGGGATTGTGACGAGAGGATTGCACCTCAACACTGTAGTATCAGTTAGTTGTTGTGAGACTTCCGGAGACGGAGATTTTGTACCTTTTGCTGGCTGCTGATGCTATAGCATTGTCCCGTGTCGACGATTTGCGACGTCGCGATTTCGAGTCGACGACGACACTGTCCTCCTCCTCCCCTGACTCCTCCCCTGACTCCTCCTGGTCTTGTCGAGATTGCTGTCCATTGCCAATCACCGCCTTGTTCTTCTTGCTCGTTGGCGTCGTGCGCTGCCGTTTCTTCTCAGGCAATTCGTCCTCTGAAGCGGGGGTGCCCTCATGTGCAGCTGACGACCTTTTCTTGCCGCGCGACTTCGCACTCTTCGTCTCTGCGGCATCGTCCTCCCTATGCGCGTCCTTACCCTTACCTTTCGTATCCTCCCAGGCAGGGCGGACGTTTCCTCGCTTCAACTCTTTCTGGAAGTTCATCACGTCGGGCATGATCACGTCGCGTAGTTTCTGCGTCGCCTTGTTCGCCGCAGAGCGTCTCGACGGCGTGCGCGCCGGAGGTGCGACGCTGATCTCGGATCGACTAGGCTCCGTCGAGGCCGATATGTCACTGCGACGGCTAGGCTTCGCAGGTGGAGGAGGTGACGCTGGTCTGGTGTCAACCTCATCCCGTTTTGAGCTTGGTGCGGACAGCTGTCCTCGCTTCCCTGGAGAGCGACTCGACGCTTCCGCAGCCTGAGCGCGTACGGACTCGGTCCTAGCAAGCGGTTTTGAGGGGGAGGGCCCTGTCTTCTTCGGAGAATAGACAGCAGTAACGGTGGGTAATACCACAGACACCTGTCGCTTCACCGGGTTTGGAGAACTGAGGGGGGATTCCAGCGGACGTGAAGACGACGGCTCGAGGGAAGCGGGGATCTCTGAACGGGAATGTTTGGCCGTCCGTCGCGTAGGCCGTCTAGGTGCTAGGCTTTCTTCGTCTTCATCTTCCTGATCATCCGCCGTATCGTCTTCGGAAGGAACTCCTGCTTTGGCCTTTCCCTTCACCAATAGCCTTGGCTTCGAGTTACGTCTCGGTGGGCGTTTTGGTTCGTCATCCACTTCCATCACCTCGTCTTCGTCCTCAGATAGTAGCTTGCTCTTGTAGAATGCTGGTCCAGTCTTTGCATGACGCCCGATATCGTCGCTCTCAGAGTCGCTGCGGACCTGCGCGGGCTTCGATTTCTTCTTGGGCGAGGATGTCCGTGCCGGTGGACGCATCGATCTCTCGTCATCCTCCGACTCTGCGCTCAACGTGGTAGGAACACGGCGGCTATTGCTCTTGCTCTTGGCAGCACTGTATCGCTTGACAGGAGAGCGGGAAGACGATACACGAGGCCGGAAGGTATCCTCATCCTCGTCACTCTGAATCTGCAAGGATGCTTTCTTCGCCGAGGGAAGCTTCTTCAGGGGTTTTGGTTTTGCTTGAGGCTTCTCGTCGACGTCCATACTCTCTCCTTCCGGATCTGCTTCTTCCTCATCCTCCATCCTGATGTCGACGTCTTGTAGACCACCAATGCTGATCTCGCCCACTTCGTCCTCTAGTGCCACAGCGTCCTCCACCTCTCGTGCATCTCGTGCGCTGTTGGCCGTCCCCACTAGCTCTGCACCGGCGATCCGGCTATCTGGACTTGCTTCGTCTTGAGTTTCCTCCTCGAGCCCGTCGTCCATTGCCATCGCCGCGAGTTCATCAGGCTCATAGCCCGTTCGGCCCCCGGACCGCCTGTCAGCAAGCAGCTCACTGAAGTCGACGCGTGGGGGAAACTTGATGTACTTCTCCTGTGCCGGCGTCAGATTGCGCCACTGTGCAAAGCAGTCCTCTAGCCATTTGTGGTTGACGACAGGGATCGACCACGACGTCGCTTTCTGCGTCTTCGTCCCCGAAAGGCTAGAGGTGGGCTTAGTGCGGGTGAGATCGGTGCAGAGGACAAGCTGCTTACTATGCGGCAATCACGGCTGTGTTCTTGTTGGACATACTCGGCGTGAATTCAGCACCCATGGTGAGGATCAGCTTCTTCAGGTAGTCACGGTGCTTGCCGCTGTAGTTCGTGACTGTGATGATCTTTTGGAGCAGTCGGCCACCGCTAGACGTACAAGAAAGATAGTATGCCACTCACATGCCTAGCAAAGCCCTCAATCGGCTTCTTGGGTATAGGAAAATGCAGAAGATCATCTGTGGGTCTAGACAGCGTGCCAGATGCACGGACATACCAGAGCCAAGTCAGGCTGCCAATCGTCTTCTTTGCTTTAAAGGCCTACCAAAGTATTGAATATTGAATTCCCATGTCCCTAGTGAACGTACTGCATCATACCTCCACAAATGCCTTGCCAGTCCTGTATCTTGTCACCAGAATATCGCACTCCGCGACCTTCTCCGCCTCCTCATAGGCAATCTCTTTAGCGGACCCAGACTGTACCGTCTCAAGCTCAACCACAATACCTCCTTCACGTTGGATGTCCGCTTCGTGTGCCTTACGCTGACCCTCAGACAATCCCAACGACGTGCTCAGCAGCACGCGCCTGCCCTCCCACACATTATGCGGTGGCGCGCGTGTGGGTGGCAGGTCGTGGCCCTCCACAAGGGCTGTCTCAAAATACGCTTTCTTCTCGGCAGGTATTTTGCGATTCCTCTCATACGCCGTGCCCTCCTTGTCCAAGTCTGCGTGCCCCCTGAATACAGCCGGCTCTGGCCACTCGTACTCCTTCGTCGGCAGACCCCTGACGCCAAGGCGCACCGAGTCCTCGAACCAATGTGGCACTACGACAACCATCCCCGTCATTTCGCGGTGCGCCATGGCCGTCGCGTACTTCACGCTGCCCGTCGTGAGCGTGAAGACGTGCGTGACGTCCTTTGTGAGGGCCATGCGCCACTGGCCTCCGAGTGCGCTGATGGCCGCCGACAGAAGCTCACAGTCCTGCGCCGACAAATCATTTGCGGTCGCGGTGACGCCTGAGAAGAGTAGTGCGGGGTCGGGCGAGTAGTACTCGGCAATCTGGGGCGAACCTAAGATGCGTGAGCGCTCTACCCAGGTGGGCGTGACGAGTACGGCCTGGGACTCTGTCTGAATGACTTCAAGTGAGTCGTCCAATGGCAGAGACATTGTGATGAAGTGCGTGAGCGTCGGATCGTTGAGAGACACGGTAGTTGCGCCTGCCGAGTCGAGGAGAGCGGCTAGCTGTTCGCGTCGTTCAGGTCGTATTGTCCTCGAGATGAAGTACCGGATGGCCAGGAATGGTGTTCGCTGCATGGCGCACGAACTAGCCCGCCGTGCGGGTCACTGATCAGGGTACACAAGAGATGGTGAAGGATCAACAGAGTAATGCACTGGACTATGAGGCGATAAACACGATCACGTGATCGCTGCGTTTATGGGCGCTCTGTTCTGTTGGTGTTGCCCATATCCGGTATCCTGTCCCGGGCCGACTCCTTTGCTGTGAATGCGCTCACACCAGTCCGAAGGCATTCATATATTATATGAACTCACCTATCATATATGCTACTCAGGTGCTCATAGGCTCCAGAGCTTGTTGAATGATTGCTGATCTGGCAGTGCGGTGCTTCGAAAGGGGGTTGTGGGAAAGATATTCAAGTTATCATGGTTCTCATGTGCTCGCATATATGAACGTAGCGCAGAACCTGCGAGGTGTCATTGTTCGACTTGAAGTCATCAACTTTGCATCAAGACACGAGACTTGTTCACCAAACAGCGAGGGAACAACGAGTGAAGAGGACCCATGCCAGAATATATTCCATCCTTGCAACGAGTCGATCGAGTTCAAGTTCTTATTTCGCAAGCTCAGCTGACCAGGCTATGGGCCATACTACACACTCTGTCGTGATTTATATCATATTCAACAGTCTTCTTGAGCTTCACATGCGGTGCACAAACTATACGCATCTGCAACCTTTTACCTCCCAGCGTCTAGAGCAAAAGTTCATTGTAATACCCGCCTTCTTTCCCACAGTTTGCTGAGAGATGGCTAGCGTCAGTTTCATGGTTGCCCCCGCAGGATACCCATATACGCACCTAATACTAACAATCCTGACGACGAGGCAAAACTGGCAGCAACAATTGTACAGTAATATCTCAGTCCGACATGCTGATGAAAAAATACCACATAGATTTTATAGATGTAGGGATACATGAGCACTGAGTATTGAAATAGGTGGCAAATCTCATAATTCATTTGATGCCAATTGAACGTTTCTGGGGCTCACCAGGAGGCTGTCAACGATAAGTCTGGTTCAATTATACAGATGGATGCAGCAATTACGCAACTCAATGTGGCGCACAGAATCCAATTGTTACACATAATATAAGCTACAAGTGAGTGACAGTGGTGATGAATGAGGGTGGTAACGCAGGAGAGCGAACGTGGATAAAATATCGTGGTGCATGAGCAGAGAACCTTGACCTGACCTTCCAAAATCTAGAACTCCTGATCGACTAGTGATGACGCGTATTCTTCAATATGTCACTGCTAAGCAGGTTTTCGATTGAGATCTCTGAGTCCCGGCCAAGCGTATGCGTGAAAGAGTTGGCACCGTGCTCGTAGATGGAGGACAGTTTGGCCTCCACACAGAACTTGCGGTATTCACAACCGGCGAAAAGCTCCGAGGGAACGGGCACTTGGAACCGTAGAGTCCAGGCACGACCCAGGTCAGTCTGCCGGATCCATTTGGAATCAGTCTGTATGTCGACCGCCTGTTCGGTAGGCTTCTTGTTGTTGGTACAGTACCTGGCCCTGGTTTTCCCTTCGAAGACTTTGCTGTATTTGGCGAACCTCTTGGCGTCGTTCTCGGCTCTCGCTGTCGTCGTCCCTTTCTGGTTCACGCTCTTAGACCATTCAATCCGAATGTTATGATCGGGAACATCGGGAACGACGCGGCTGAAATGCTGCATATTGTCCTTCACAAGGAGAGTAGCCTTCCATATGTATACGGCCCTGCGTGGGGTCAGTCACGATGCGGCGACTCTCATAGATACCGGACTCACTTGGGTAATCTGTCCCATATAATCGTCCGCCTTTGGTCCGGAATTATGGTGACTTCGAAGCGTTTCGAGAGACATTGTTCCTCTTCGGCACGAATGACAGCGCAATCGCTGTTAGAATCTCGCATAGCCAATCGAGTCTTGAGCCAGGCGTCGAAACGATCATCCGGGGCCACCGTCACGGATACAGAGTCAGCCGAGTAGTAGAATTCATCGCCGACTTCAGCATCCGATGCAGAGAAGTTGTACACTGATGGTGTACGTTGCAACTCCCTCGCCCTTGGTTTGGGAGCAGACTGAAAGGGATTCGAACTCTGGCCTGCATCGGCCAACGGTGAGCGAGCTGAGGTGCAATGTGGCTCACTGCTGTCCATTAGCTCCTCGTCTTCATCTTCCCACTCTTCGTTCGACTCGTCGGCAGAAGCATGCGCGAGAACTGGCACTGCAGCATTAGACCTCTCCATGCGGGGAGGTTGAATAACCTTATCCTCGAAGGAGAGAGAAGACTTCCCGGACCTCGTAGCGGTGTGCTCAATTGGCACCATGGTGTCCGTGCGCTCCCGATAAGGGGACCTCGCGCTCGACGTGGTTGATTGCTGAAGATCAGTACGCGCGTCACATACTGGGTCTGCATATTCCTCTTTGAGCGCTATCTCGTCCTCTGTGAGGAAAGGTGACTGTCCCGGGAAAGAGATGTCGGACTGCGATGCAGCGGCTGGAGCGATCACCTGCCTAGAGGAGGTCGCGTCATTGGACTTGCGCAGGCTGCGCGCACGGGATGCACGCGAATGAGATCGGGGAGCCATATTGTTCGTTCGATAGATGTTGCTCAAGATGCGGGAGCCCAAGGGTGGTGTTGACGGCGAGGATGTGGAGACGCAGGTCAATCGCAATGCTCACACCAGTCAGATCAAGAGGGTGGACTGAGTTGGTAAGAGTAGTGCATGGCTTTGAGGGTATTTATATGGTCGACAATGGTGGCGCTTTGAACGAGAGCGGTACAGATCCGCGAATACCAGATGTGGTTAGATCAATCAACAACAAAAGGATTCACTCATTACACGTGTATTCCTTCGCGGATGCTCGTCCGAGCCACCTTCGTGAACAGTCTCGATATGATCGCATGCCAAAACAATCCCTACGGCCAGAACGGCAAAAGGCATAGCCGTAGAAAGCCACTGGAAACTGATGGTTGCCAGTGGTCGCCGCACTTGAACATCAAGAGCTTTTGCTTCCGCGTCTAAGCAGGGTCGCGGAGTTGCTTCGCCACATGGTCACACCAGAAAGGCACCGTCCATCTGTGGCGGATGTGTGTCCCAGTGGGGCCTCTGATTAGCGAGTTCGCAGGAGGAGTGGACAGCGTGAAACGATTGCAGCAGCCTATCGTTACCGTGACACATAACTGAGAAGCCACTGAAGGATTCTAGTCTCAAAAAGATGCAGTCGATGTTACTGAGGTGTGCAAAATGAACACGTAGCTTCGAGGCTTAGTAAAGGTGTTTGTCTCTTGTCACGGTTATGCCGGATCCCCCGCTTGTGGAAAAGACATTGTTTCATATCGCTCATCGAGACTCCTGGTGTTAGGTGAGAGGACATTGGTCAAAACGTTTATCCGCCACTCCAGGAGCATCGATTCCAGGCGACTGCGATTTGACCTTAACCTAGGGTTAGAGTGCGATGAGAGCCTGGGAAACACCAAACACGGAAAGCGTTTGGCTGGAACGCGAGGAGCCGCAAACGCGTGAAGAACAGCCTACGAAAGGGGGCTTGTGTATGTCTACCGTAAGCTTAGGTTTGAAGTCTGATCAGTATCGCCCGACGCGAGGTACAACTCAATATTTCCACTTTCAGATTCTCACTGACAATAAGTATCAGTGCCATTGGTCTGAACCTAAAGCTATGGACGCAATGGAGTGCGGTTGAGACTACAATATAGGACCAGCATGAGCAAATGGTATGATTTCACCACATGCTACCCCGCGTGTTCGCTCATTCGATTCGCTGCGCAGCGTCCAATTGCAAGATTGGACCGTATTGCATATCTACGTCAATGTCTGCTTCGACGCGAAAGAGACAGCGGTGTAATTCCAGCAACTCGGACAAGAGTGTTTCATCAACATCAAGAGCGGAATCTGACCTTGCGGAAACAGAGTGGCCCGCTGATGGTAATTCCATATCTGCTGCAGGCGTGTTCCTCAAGGACTGGTTCGTACAGTTCACATCATATAGTGACTAATCATATCAATGACCGTTTCGCGCGCAGCGCAGCAGCACAGCTTCCAACGCTCCTCCTTCCCGACAAGGACGCGGACGGCCTGTGTAGCGGGCTAATCCTGTACCGCACTCTGCTTGCATTAGGCTTGCATGCAGACCGCCTCTCTGTCCATTTCGTATCAAAGGGTTCAAACATCCATACCGCTGATGAGCGGGCGCGCATCGCTCGCTACACCCCACGCTATGTCATTGTGTGCGACCAAGGCAGCCGGCCAGGGCCACCCATAGTCGACGCGCCCGGTGTTCGGACGCTCATTGTCGACCACCACTTGAGCGACGAGTTTCCGGACGGTGCAGAGGTACTCTCGGCAGCGCACCACGAACCCGTGGCCACATCATCTACGCTCACGTACTTGCTGTGCCGCCCACTCGTCTCCGCTGCAGCACCAGCCGTGCTGCTGAAGCAACTGGAGTATCTCTGCGTGATTGGTACGATGGGCGACCTCGGCACCGCGTTCAGATGGGAGGCACCGTTTCCCGATATGCGCGCCTGTCTGAAAGAGTGGACAAAAAAGGTGCTCGGAGAAGCGGTGAGCCTCCTAAACGCCCGTGAGTATCTCCGGTCTGTGTATTGGAGGAAAAGGCTTACTGGAACACATGATTGTAGCACGCCGTACAGCAAAGTATGACGTCCTCTCTGCGTGGAACGCGTTGCTTCACGCGTCCTCTCCGCGCGACTTGGTCTCTCGCTCGTCTATCCACTCTGGACGATTGTATGAAGCTCGGGAGGACGTCCGGATCGAAATTGAGCGTTGCACGCACACAGCGCCGACCTTCTCGGGCGACGGACAAGTAGCGCTCATCCGAATATCGAGCGGGGCACAGGTGCACCCTGTAAGTCCCCGTCCTCATGGTAACAATGCTATTTAATGACGGCGTACCATGCGAACAAGCTCATAGCGACGCGATGGGCTTCTACTCTGAAGTCTGCGCGACTCAAGATCGTAATGTGCGCCAATAGTGGCTATCTCGAGGGACAAGGCATGATGAACTTTGCTTGTCGGGTGGCACGATGCGCCCTACAGCGCAGTGGCCAACAGGGCGGCGTACACGACATAAACATCATCGCGATGCTTAAAGACTACGCGGAGCGCGTTCCGGGATTGCGCGAGGCCATGGGAGATGACTTCGCTAGAGGGCACAAGCAGGTAAGTCTGTATGGGCACAGGAAACCCGTGCAAGAATACTTCATTGACTATGTACTGCATAGGCTAGCGGAGGGATTGTGTCCATAAGTTTGTTCGAACAGTTGTGGGAGATAATGCTAAAGGCTGAAGCTCCAGCTGATAATACCGGTATGCAAATCTGCGATCTCCTTATGTGGTCTCTATCCGGCTGATGATGCATACTACAGCACCACCAGTCAAAAAGCGGAAGGTAGATGGCTCGCTACAAAAAAGCACGCTGGACCGTTGGTTTAAACCCGCGTGAATGCGGCCCACGGGCGAACTTAGGCGTTAGTGGATGAAATTTATTAGTCTGCTTTTGGATAGTGGTCTCAATGGTGGAAAGAAATTATTTGTACAATTCCTAGGAGATGGATACATGCCTGCTTTGCATACCCGAACACTGAGGAAGCAGCTATAGCCGACATGTACTGTGTGCAGACGACAATACACAGAACTGCATGACGCAGGGACGTGCAGCAACAATGTTCACACAACATGTCCTTGGAGGGTACGCTAAAGCAATAGCTGGGAGGTAGACGGCGGATCAGGTTCGCTGATTGTAACCTTGTACGGGTGATTCTCGTGCTTGATTTCTCAATCAGTGAGCAACCACACACCGGTTTCAAGAATAGACGCGAGTCGGTACCATAAAGGCAGTGTATCACTGCCTAGAAATAGATCACAGCTGAGCGCCGATAAGTAATAGTGCGCCACGATGACCGTGATCGCTGTGATCAAGGTGTGCAAGGCATGGAAGATATAGCATATATATCGGCGCCAGTATTACGGGTTGTTCCCATCAAATTCGCTGCTGACTAAGCATCAATATCCATTCAAGAAGTTCAAGTTCAAACGTTCATGAACTGTTGCGTGCATCCATTCTTACTCCTCCTCTTCCTCCAGATTTAGCGATACTTCATATACTATACATCGGACCCAAGTGAGGAAAACGCGGTGAGTGTCTTCATTGGGCCTAGTAAGAAAGCATCACCGATGCACTCCAAGATTGTCGGCAATGCTCGCACAACAAGCCACAACACAGTCAATAACTGAGCTTGAGGCTCAGATCGCCACCTTGCGTATCCGCGAAGAAGAAGCCCGGCGCATCTCAGAATTTGTGTCTCAACAAAGATGTGCTCTTGAGAAAGAGCGAGACAGGCTAATCGCGCAAACAAATCCGTTCGACAGGGTGCCCTCGGAACTTCTTATAGATATATTCGAACATTTTGTCGAACGAGACGACGAGAACAACACCTCAGCGTTCTACTTCCGTCCATTCACTCTCTCTCATGTCTGCCACCGATGGCGCTGTGTGGCGCTTGATACGTCCGGTCTCTGGTGCGCGGTTTTGATGACATGCCACAACACAGAAATGTTGCTCGCGCAGCTTGCGCGTTCCAAACTGCATCAACTCGCTATCGATGTTCGTGTTGCGCCAACGACGACTAGAGGCGAGGTCGTCACTTCCTTGTGGTCTCTGGCGGCTGCTGCAACCAGATGGCGAACACTGACTTGGGCCCCTTCGAGTCATCTGCTAACCCACGGCTTCATATTTATACTCCACAAGCTCCGTTCGCTCCCAAAACTCAGACTCCTCGACCTGGCACAGGAAGGAGAAGCTCTTCACATCAAGGAGGATGCACAAAGCAGCGTCCATCCGGACGTCTTCCCGGCGTTGGAAACGCTCCGACTTCGTCGCATCTCTCCTCTCGACTTTCCGACTTGCACATTACCTAACCTGCGCACACTCCATATAGACTTTCCCAATAACACGAGCCGACACCTACGCATGTCCAATCTGTGTGCCATACTCTCCCGAACTCCTTCCCTGTCCGAACTCACTCTCAACGGCTCTGTACCTCTTATGGACATCTACGTGGACATTCGTCCCACGACCTTGGTCAATCCAGATCTCCCACCGCGAGCTCGGCGTACTCCGCTTCAGATCTGTCCCGTTGCCCTTCCTCGCCTGTCTGCCTTTGAATGCAGTTTCCCGCCTCCGAGGGATCTGTGGTTGTTCTTCCATTTTCTTGCCGTGCCTGCCCTACGTCGTCTCGAGCTCAGTTTCAATGCCTACACAGCGCGATGGCTACAGCTCTACAACGATCAACTCTCTGAGGCCACTGTCAACCCTCTTCTCGGCGAGCAACCAGGACCTCTCGCTCAGCTCAGCCAGCTCGAAGACCTCAGCGTTGAGTGCGTCGACATCGAGGGCCTCACCATGGCGCTCAAGAGGCTCAACGCGCCCGCGCTCAAGTCGCTCAGCCTGACGTATCTCCCAGCAGAGCCAAAACCAGGGCCGCTCCTGCCGCAGCTCCCCCGCCTCGAGTCTATGTTCCGCGAGCCGCGTATCCCGACGCTCACGCGCCTCTCGATCTCGTGCTTCGACCTGGACCTCGAGAATACGAAGACGATGCTCAGGTACACGCAGTCGCTTGTGCACCTCACGCTGCGCTCGTGCCTGGGCGCGGGCAAAGTCGTCTGCGCGCTGTCTGGCGGGACGTGCGCTGACGGACATGTCAACCACACTGCGAGCTGGATCTGTCCGCGGCTGGAGCGGCTCACGCTCGTTCACTGCGTCGACGTGAGGTTCCGCTGCCTCAGCGGTGTGGTCATCGCGCGCAAGGCGGGTTCGCAGATGAGCTTTGATGCGGAAACGATTGTGCAGTGTACCTCTGCGTCCCCAATGCGAGGCAGGCGGATCAGGCCCTTGAAGAAGCGCGTTGCACCTCTAGCTAATTCTTCTGCTTGCAACCTGCAGAGCTACGTGGCTCCAGAACCCTTGTCGGGTATGCCAGTGAATGGAAGTTTTGTCCCCGGCTGGAAGCCGCACGAGCTCCTAAAGCCCTCGCGCATCCTGTCTGTGCACGTAGAAGGCTGTCCGCGTATTTCGAGAATTGAAGCCATGTCCCTGGAGGAGGAGGGCTGGGACGTCCCTGATGTTTTGTGGAAGCCCTAGATTACCATGGTTGTTTGCGAGACGGCGATACCCGAAACCATCCATGAAGTAGGTGTTCAAGTTGTAGACCTTTCGCACATTGTAAAGTACTGGTTCCTGTTGCATTTTCAGTCTGTAAGCGACACCTGTATCGATCTCACGTCATATTCCATACGTCGTTTGCCCCCGAACCGCTCGCGCTACCTTCCATCTGGTTTTTCGGTAGCATCTGCTGTATCCGACTGTAGCCATCTTGCTGATCGTCAGTCAGGAACCATATTCGGGCTTCTATTTTTTGCAGAGTTAACGATACACCAGGTGAAATACAGGCGGGGCTAGGCGTACAGTAAGCGGACAGTAAAGATGCTACACGTGAAGATGAAAGGTACTACTAATACACATAACCACTAATCGATGCACAAACGAGCCAAACTCTAGACTATAATAAATGAGCCCCCAGTCAGGATTCGCGGTGGCTCTGAATGGAGTGGGGACCGTCGTGCGGAGAGGGATCTGTGGCAAGATATAACTCCTTCCGAGCGAGAGGAGTGTCATCGTGCTCAAGACTTCCGCCAAATGTGGGGTGGAAGTCGTCATGGTAAGACAAGTCGCCGTAGGTGTCAAACCCACTGCTCTCAGCCTCTGCCACACCATGTTCATCGCCGCTCACTTCCACTCGGACGCGGCGATCGTCTGGGTACGTAAGTCTGCCATGCGCCCCGAGCATGTCCTGGGGCAACTCCAACGGCGTGAGCGGTGCCGGTCCAGACGCATCTGACGCCGAGTTCGAGCGCGAGTGCGAGTAAAATGGCGACAGGCCAATGTCCAAGTCGAAGTTGAAGTCCATGCCGAGCCGGGGCTCCGCCTGCGCGTGCGCCTCAAGGATATACGTGGGGAGCGAGGCGCGGCGAGCAGCATACGTGGGCGTGATGTCGTCGATGACGGGCGGCAGGTACTGCGGCGTGAGCGGGTGCAGGCGCCCTTGGAAAGCGGGGAATGCGGCGTCGCCAAGGTCTAGTGGTGGTGGGCGCGGGCGGCGGCCACACACCAGGCCCGCAACGGGCCTTGTCGGTGGAGACGTGTAGGGAATGGTAGGTCCCGATGCATCCGCCGTGGCTGACGTCGAGAAGCGCAGAGGGGAAGGGACCCGAGGCTGCTCGGCTGGGAGGCTGTGGGGTTGAAGGAGCTCTAGCGCGCTCGGAGGAGATGGCACAGAGGCGACGGGGCTGACGCTGACGGGGGACGAGGAAGCGGCGATGGGTGGGAAACGATAAGCATGGTCAGCTTCGCTCGAGCTGGAGCTCGACGCAACGGAATTGCGACGGTCTGTATCAGGCGTAGAGGAGCCGTGCTCAGCCGTGCTGAGTTCGCCGCGTTTCTTCTTGTTAGGACCGCGCATCCGGCGCTCGGGGGCATACTCGCACAAGAGTCCCCGCGAGCGACAGCGCTGGCATGACGGATGCTCGCCGCTACACTGTACGACCAGAGACCAGCAAGTTACCATCTGGTGAGAAGTTGCAGGCAGCAATGTGTGCACGAACCTTCGCTTTGCGAATGCGGCACTTCTCGCACGCTTGCGCTGTGCGCAGTCGGGGATGGTCTGGGGAACGCTGAAAGATCCCGGTGACTGGGTCTAGGGACCCCGAGACGGACCACGCTGGCTGGGCAGCGGAGCGGCGTGCATCTGGAGTGTGAGATTGATAAACGTCGTGAGCATGGGAAGCAACTGGCGGCGCTGGGGGTATGGCATGCACTCCCTGTGCAAGCGTAGGGCTGATAGACGGCTGACTTGGCGGGAAGGTGTAGTGTTCGTCAGCCGCAGGCCACCTGATCGGGAAATGCACCGGTGGTGAAGGAGCACGTTGTGCGAGTGATGATGGAACAAACGTGTCGGTAAGGGCGTTATGCATGGCGATGTTGCTGCCCGTAAATGCGGACGGCATAGGAAGGAAGGCGCTCTGGTCGTGCGTGTAAAGGTATCCGTGTTCAGATGGATATCCATGGGACTGGCGGCGCTCATGTGCGTAAGAGTTCGCTAGCGTATCGAGGCCCGCCAGAGAATGGTATGTAGATAAGGGGATGGACTTCATGCCGAGTGCTGCTGCTAGCTCGAGGGAAATCTGGCCCTTGGATATTGATGAGATGTCGTCGACCGACAGTTGTAAAGACATGGTGGGTGTGGATAGGTAGGCTCGTGTGTCAGATCCGCAAGGCCAAATATACCAACGGCCTGGAACGAACGTGCTGACCTATCGGGAGCACTCTGCACCGCATCCGTGACTGGGTGACTCTGCAATCGACGAGTCTTGGCGGTCCCGATCACAGTTCCACCCGTTGGATCACGGTGGGCACCGAAACATGGCTCAGGCGGCCCCCACCTGGTGTTCGTAGGCGCATAACTTCCATTTCGGGCCAGGTCACACATCGCATTCCACAGGGCAACTGTTTATCCGAGCCTTGGTACTCCAGCGTCGGATGGCGGAATCCCCAAAGCGGCAGGTAAATGTCCCGATCCAGAGTGCATGATCGAGATCGCCTGCTTCCGCCTTGAGATTTGCTGGCGGCAACGATCTTGAGCCAAGACTCTAGTTCTGACTCGATCACGCTCATCCCAGCTCAAATATACTATCAGTTCATAGTAGTTTATATCATTACAACATAGTAGAGATTGCGACGTACATTCTCGTACATTCTTCCCCCGCGCAGCTCACCATTGCAACTCTAGCAGGACAAAGCTTGTATGCCAGGCAGTACAGTTAGCAACCAAAAGCTGCGACACATAGGGGAAGGCTGGGCTATCCTTGCCCCACATCCATCCGAACCTTAATCATGACGGCTCACGTCGAATGCCTCCACGAACTCATGATCGCGTGTCCAAATCGGCGGGTCAGACCTGCCGCGCCGAGCATCGTAGAACTGGCATTTGGCTTCTTGACCCTGCACCGCAGTGCGACAGACGCAGGAGACGCGGCGCCACCGTTGCTCCCACTGCTCGTGCCAGCAGACGCACTCGCGGCGGACGTACTGGCGGATGCTGTCCCGCTCGGGAAGGCGCCACCACCACCGATAGTCACGCTCTCCGGGCTCGCCGCGAACGGTGCGGCACTGCTTAATGCGGCCGCCATCGCGCCATCACCTGGAGCGGCCAGGTTCGAGATCGGGGGCCCAGGGAAAACGTATTGAAACCCGGGGTCGTAGATCTAGATCAGGGGATGGCATCAGCACCGCTGGCTTGGATACTTGTCCGAAATTCACGCCCTGTGTGGGCGGGAAAAGAATCAGGGCTTACGTCGGGAACGTACGTGCCTGTCTCGTTGTAGCCTCCGGGAAAGGTGACCGTGATATCTGGCGCGTCAGTCCCAGAACCGCCGATCTGGACCTGCGTGCATGATGGGTAAAATTCAGCCCCCCCTTCGTTGACGGCCTGCTGCAGGGAAATGATCTATGCGTCGAGCATCAGCCACACGTGATGAACGGGTTCCTGAAGTGTCACGCACTTCGTGGCGGATGAGATAACCACCAGCCTTGATGCTCTTAGGCAAAGTGATCGTGTATGAATCACCGTTCACTTGGGATCAATCAGCATGCTGACGTGGGGACTCATAAAGCTGTGCTCACTGATGTCAAGCTGATACCAGCTGCCATTACTCATCTGGCCCAGCTCGTCGATCTTGAACCAATTCGCAGAGGATCCGTTGAACTGTGCACAGCTCGTCGAGCCGCACGATGCCATGTACGTCATCAACGGACCTGTCTCGTGTGGCCACTGTGTGCTCTGTCAGCTAAAGGGGCAATACGTTCAATGGGTCCAGACGCACGTGCTCTCCGCCGTCGGCACCACCTGTCCACTGGAAAGTGATATTGCTGCCCGGACTTGCAGACGCGACAATGTCGGCGAGCTGTGCATCCTGCCCGCAGTTTAGATTCGAATTGGTGAGTCCCAAGACAGGGTCGATCGTCGATATCATGCGAATCGGGCTCGCGCCTGGTAGAGCAGTAAGGTCAACCATTTACAGTACGGCCACAACTATGAGCCATGTTGTCGCGTTCTGCAAAGGTAGGCGCGCGCACCTTCGTACTTTCCGGGGATATTACCCGAATAGCGTGTTCCGTCGATGACGACTTGGCTGAGAAAGCCATGAGCCAGAACGCGTTCCACGGCCAGCAGTGGAAATAGAATAAAGATTATACAAAACATGTCTTAGATCGTCAACGAAAAAGTCAGAGAGGACGTCAATCAGAGACAGTAATGAGGCAGAGAACGTGGAGGTGGGAAATAAGAATGAGACGGCTTCCGTCGGTCGCTTTCGCGTAAGGTTCTTAACGCGGAGGCTGTGAGAGAGAATAGTTAGTGGCCAAGACATGATGTAGCCGCACTGAAATGGTGTCCTGCAGGCCGACAACGTGGACCGTGAGATTGGTTCAACCGTGCATTCCGTTGGATTTCGGGCGCAGGACAGTCTTAAGAAAATTCATGATACTGTCAACAGCATCGTCAAAAGGAACATTCAAAACAACAATCGAGATTGGTAGATGATTTAGTTGCAAGCAAGGGCTAGAACTCAAGGGATCTTCCTGGCGGCAATCACCCAAGCGAGTTGTTTACCATTATTGACCCTAGGCGCTTCGAGAGACGCGTACGTTGTATGCACTTTTCAAGTATGTATGCTTGGAGCGTTGAAGTAAATGGACGACGTAACAGGGGAACATTCTTATCGCAGAGGGGGGGAGGGTATTACTGCCTCGCAAATTTGTACGATCACTATCTAATCAAATTAAATCTACCGCGCGAGCTCGTCCGAACCCGCAACGAATTGGAGGTAATAAAGCAGGAGCTGAAGGCTAATTATGGTTATTTGTCTCGTATCTGCGCGTTATCGTGGGTTCTTTTACGAAGAACGAATGATTGTTAGCCACAGACGCGATGAGTGTTCACGTGATCGCGATTTTCGATTGCTTCGCCTCGGTGTGTTTGACGTGCTCTAGAGTTTAAGTAGAACTTGTCTCCCCTAGGCAGCCTACAATAGAGCGCCCTTTTTGATGGTCAGAGGATGGGCTCTCTAAAGGTCTGCTTCAAGACGCGCCCCCCGGACCGTAAGACAGCAATTCAAGCGTGCTAGGCTGCTGGCCGTCTGAACTTACCGTAGTGTTGGTGGCAAGCTGTGGCGCTGGCGTCGCCTGAGATAATCACCGCCTTTCTTTGAAGCTCGATATGTCGCATCCATACTCACTGTGATGCATGATTCTCCAACACCACGCGATCTGCTACGGCCATGCCAATATCATGTCCCGGCGGTGACACCTCTCCCTCTGTATCGCGGCAATTGGAACTACATAAGTCGAAGTCCCCGCAGCATAACTGGTATCCGGCAGGAGAGCTGGAGCGAAAAGGAGCGACAGAGGGATTGCACTCAGACATAGAATAAAAATAATGATCTTCGATGGTATTTGCTAGTGTAGATATTGTAGATATCGCGCGGGACAGGTGTATTGTAGCGAGCCCGCGTCGCGTCGCGTCGAGCAAGATCTTAACGACGCGGAGATGAAAGAGCTTACGTAACTCCGAAATCGCGTCTTACTGTCGGGACCCCCCAAATTGAACCGGACTAAAGTAGAACGTCGGTCGCGTATAGAACTTACGACTCCACCAAGTCATCCTGCCAAGATTATTGATACACAGCAATTCCAGAGGACATCGCACAAGCATACAATTGATACTCTCCATGCAACGCCACTTTGATGTCTGGGAAAGCTCTGTGGAGCTCCTCCCTGATTTCAAGTCGCGAGGACGGACGACTACCCTGCATACCTTGGGCTGCTTCGTGTAGCACGGCAGACAGCTCATTTGACGTGAAAAAAAGGTCGCAGCATGATCAGCACTGCATTCGACACGGTGGCTTAAATCACGAGTATGACCCGTAAGGCGATGTATTGCATCGAATCAAGAAATAGAAGCTATGTACGTTGTACCTTCGAGGAGCTCTCAGCCCCAGAAGAGGGACGCAGCATTGTTCAAGTCCCATCCAAGTCCCTGCACGCGGAGTTCCTGCTGCCCCTCGATGAACTCCCAAGTGACACCATCCTGCTCTCCCTGTACGACAACAGTGGTCGGTTTGGAGATTCCAAGAACGGTTACTGCCTCCAGCTTTTGTGCCACGTTGAAATCGCCGCTACTTGTGATGCTGAACGAGCCGTCCGTCACAGAGAAAGTCAGGGTCCGATTTGGCGTCGGCGGGATGCTCTCTCCGTCGTCAATGTACGCGCTACCGAACGCGCTACCGTCGGCCGAAAGAGAGACAAGTAGTTCATACGGACCCTGACGTGTCTCCCAAATAGTGTAGGCTGGTTGAGCATGCAGCAATATCGCAGAACCTCCTCGGACGTGGACGTTGATGTGTCCTAGAGGGGCATCGAGTGTGGTATTTCCACCAATCGTTGCATTGACCACACAGTGTGTGTACCAGTCGCGCCATATAGTCTTCCCTCTACCGGGCAAAATGCCTACACCCCCGTCAAACGTGAGAACTATCACGATCATGCGACGTTGACGACGTACCATCAACGGTGGAGACGTTAGGTGTCAAAACAGGGGTAACGAGGATGTCTCTGCCAATCATGTACTGACGATCGATGGCGAAGAGTTCCGGCTCGTCGGGGAACTCGTAGAAAAGCGCATGGATGACCGGAGTGCCATACGAAGATGCGTTTGCGAACAGGGTATACTAGATCGGCAGATCAACAGTCAGGAAACGCCCAGACCGTGTCAGACGTGATGACCCACCCAGTACGGGAGCAGTGAGTACCGAGTAGCAATTGCCGTGCGAGACGCATTCGCGACGCTGTCCCACCTGTAGGGCTCCTGTGAGAGCGCTCCCCGCTGATTGTGGTTGCGGAAGAACGGCATGAATGCTGATAATTGCATCCAACGATTGCACAGCTCCTCGTCTGTATTCCCGCTGAAGCCGCATGTATCTGCGCCGACCATGGGAATCTGGAAAAGCTGGAACTGCAAAACGCCCTGAATGTTGTAATGTAGGTATGTCCACAAACTCCAGTTGTCGCCCAGCCAATGGCCGGACCATTTCCCCGAGCTCGGGAACGTCGAGCGACTGATCAGGAAGGGGCGGATGCCAAGGATTTCCTTCACAGCAATATGCGTCGTTTTTTCTTCCATGAGCCCAAACATGTTGTGAACATCCAGGTCGACATAACCGCCGGCATGGGTTGCGTTTGTGGCCAGCGTGTGCACATTCAAGGGTCCAAAACCTGCCCCATGGTTCCGCACGGTCATTGCCTCAGACATCGCGACGATCAATATGGAAGCATTTAACTCACCATTATGGATCGCATAGGGCGGGCTGTTCACATTCACGTACGGCTGTTCGCCTGCTCCAACTCCGCGCTTCGCCAGCGTAGATGCTGATTCGCCCGCGCCATACGTCAGCGTGCCGTTGATTGTGATATTCCCACTCGGCCCCCAAATTGTAGCATTGTACCTGGCCAGCGACGATCCGTCATCACGCACCACAAACACATGACAGTACGGGAGAACGCACCCTTCGGGGTATTCCGTGACTGGGTCATCCGGGTCCCCAGGCAATGTCGTGGGGGGTGGGGTCGCTAGGTCCGCGCCAGTCCCGCTGCGCACATTCGTCAGCGTAGTCCCTTCACCATATGAGCGTCCTCAGCTGACCAAGAGCTGTCGCAGAAAGAAGACGCTTCGTTCATGTCCAGCCAGATGCCGGAGAATCCAACGCCGCCTTGTGACCAATTTCTCAGCGCTTCAGTCCAGAAGGCTTGCGTGTTATTTGCAAACCAGTCCGGGAATACCTAGATGCAGGTATCAGGGGACGACAGGATACCGCCCGAGCGGTCAGAGGATGTGGTTCCAGGACACATGCTCGCGATTCCAGACGTACCGTATACCCTGGCCAGACTTGACCCACGTATTGTGACCCATCGGGGTTCTTGAGCCAAACGTCACTGCAACCAGAACTGATTAATGCTATGCATGATTGTGAAGAATGAATATTGCCCACAGTTCGACGCCGCGGGTGTAGGGATCATACTGCAAGAAGGTCTCAGACATGTGAGACACTACGCACTTGTAGATACTTACGATGTCAGTGGCGTTCACTTGTTTAGCCACAGCGGCATCGACAATTGGAATGTAATGCTGATGGTTAGCAGCCTTGGAGAAGATGGGAGGTAAAGTTTCCTATTTTGATAGCGTGAGAGCGTTAGACATACCAATTCTTGCGTGAAAGCCCTCATCTCAGCGGCCGGAAACGAGACCGGATCAGTGGTGAAATCTCGTACAGCATGGTATAGATCGATGTCATTCCACATCACTTCCAAGTAAGCAAAGGTTAGTACGCGCCCAGCATGACAATGAGGCCTTACCTTCCAGAGGAATGTCCGCATCTCTCATTCTCTGGACTTGTTCTCTCGTCTCGCTAACGTTGGAATATCCCCACCGGCAGAGATGGAAACCAAAGCCGAAAATAGGCTGCCAAGTGGGCAATCCGATGAGCTCCCCATATTGTTCAATAACACGCTGCGGCGTGGGGCCCGAAAAGAAGTAGAAATCGAGCGTGCCGCCGATGAGGCGGTATTGAATCAACGACACAGGTGAGCTTGGCGGCGTCAAAAGTAGAGTGTCTGATCCAGAGGAGCTAGAACAAACGTGGTAAGTTCTACGCAATAATTTTGTCATAGTATCTCCATCACCTAAACAGAAACACGCCGTGTGACTGGGCTTTTTGTGTTGTCGTGTTATAGCGGTGTTCCAGATAAATCGGATGAGAGCCATAACTAGTTGATGTGTCAGCGTTTATAGGTTCGATGTTTGCTGGAGCATACGAACATGTTTTGATCAATAGGGTCAGCATCATCGCGTGCCCACATGGTCTGGATAGTCCCGACACCTCCGTCGGTCCCGACATCGCGCCGGAACCCACTGCTCGCCACCACCTCACCTAGACCGTAAATGTTCGCCCCATACGGAAGCGCAGAGGTGAGCTGTAGGTATTGGTCTTCGAAAACTAAGGGAAAGCCGTCAAGAGCGGTGGAACTGTCACCCGGAATGACAGGGGCGCTAGATGCAGACGGTAGAGAACTGATGCGCGTATCGAATAGAGGCATGGCATCTGGATCCGAGCGGCGAGTGATCCAGAAAGCAAACGGAAAAGACTCATAATTGAACACGAGGTCTGACCTGTCAGCGTACCCTTCGGTTGGCGGCGATGGCAGAGGAATGATCGACGAAGGGATGGTAAACTGAGAGTTTGCCGTGTCATAGATGTGGACATGAAGCCTACAAGGAGTGAGCAGCACTCTAGATGAGACGACGTGTGGCAATTACCGTTCGTTGGAATCGTAGTTGACGTGTAAACTGAGGTTTGCTATATCCAATCCAAACGCGTTGCATGCATCGCCCGCGAGGTTCAAGTTCGCCGTGAGCCCCGTGCTTGTCTCCGTGAGGGTGGTCAGAGTATAGCCTAAATATGAATGTTAGCGCTGAGTCTCTGAAATCCAGGACGATATTCTACCTGGGCAGGAAGAGACGTTCTTGGAAAAAGACAGCGCGGCATCGGTTTCTACCCGTAGGTCTTGGCCTACCGATTTCGGCCATACGCTGTGTGACTGCAGGCCCAAAACGCCATAGAGCGACAATAGAGACACAACGATGACGCTCTTGAGCATTCTGTTGCTGCTCTGCACAGGACGAGTTGCAGCAGTCTGTGGTGCCAAGGAAGAAGTCTCCGGTGAATGTATATTTCGTTTCACGTTCATGGCATCAGCCTAGTAGCTCGCCAACGCACTTCATCGGGCGCACGTCAGTCAGCTGCTCAAACAGCGCCACTATGCATACCCGAAGGGTGGGAAATACGGCAATGGTCCCATGACTAGCCTTGACCCACCAGAACAGCAACCGACGGCGAGAGTTTAGGTCATGCCCTCGGATTGTTCCCACGCACATAAAGCCGAGTTTCATCTGACTCTTCCGACGTTTATTACTCCGGACAGCACGGGTAGAGTATAGCAGAGACCAGCACCTCGCGCGCATACTAGAATCATCATTTGTGATCTCGTATGATTCCAGTGACATGAAGGCGGAATCAAAAGCTAGATCGAATTAGGCGCTGATCGTCGCCGCGCTTCTTCCTCGGGTCGGTCATCAGCCAGATGAAGTATGTGAAAACATACTAATATCGAGGAAGAGGACTCGCTCGCTCTGAGCTGAAGTTGCATTTATCTACAAAGCCTTCTTCAAGTAGTAGCATAACACAAGAGAATCGCTGTCTCCGATACCAGTCACAAGTCAGTGAGAAACATTGAACAGCTACGTGCAGACATAGCTATCAGACACTTTATCGGTCCAAGGTCTAGGCTTCAATGTCACACATCTGCAAAGCAAGGCGTTTTATCTCAAGCAAAGTGAGCCCTCAAACACGCGGGCGTTGTTGAATTTACGTTCTCGAACCCATCAAGTTGCTTTCTTTGGCATGACTGCATATGTCCTCAACTCCAGAGTCGAGTCTATCATTTGGACTATATGAGAAGATATATGCCGAGGATCAAGGCGTCGATAACTGACCGACTAATTGGCACACGACATCGCTCTATAAATGCTTGATGCGTTGACGTCGCACGTGCACGTTTGACTTGTGATGAGTGCCGTTTGGTTAAGCTTGCAATGCAGGAACCTGATCAATACACATGCACTTCACGATGCAAAAAGGGCTATCAAAACCCCAAACCTCATGCCCCATTCAGTTGTACGACTCTGTGAGTTTCCACTTCATTCTCGATCTATGATTGTACTATTAATTCAGTTCAAATGATTTTTGTGTCCAAAAACACGCATTATTTGCAATGCCTGTTCGTACCGTCGATCGCTGGCATTGGCAGCCATTGCGACCGCTTGTTCTTCAATTTCCTTTGCATGAAGAATTGTTTACTCGTTCGGCGTTCGACGAGCGAGACTCGAATGCCACCGTGCTCTCTTGAAATGCTATGGTTTCCTCAGAGATCTATGCTTCACGGCCAAGAACGTATCCTGCATCGATGGTAGTCTTCCTCAACATCGCCGCAAGTGTGCGACCGTCAATAAATATATATACGTTTATTCCTCTCTCTATCTGTACCCCACTTGATGTTTCTTTGCAGAACTTGAAGACTGCATTCAGTTCTTCCTGAGTGGTTCATTATTTCGACTCGGTCCCGGTGCGACTGACACAGGTAAGCACTTCCGCACGTTGGACTTTCTTGGATAAGTATAGAACCTAGTAGGTACACCCTGAACCTGCGTCTACCCGCCAGGTTGGCCCACAGTGGAGCACTACTGCCTTCCGCCGTCGGAACAAAGGGCTGCGGCGGCCGTGTTGGACATGTCCGTTGCTTGAACCCTAGCGCTCCAAGCTGCCCAGCTGACTCGATGCGTCCAGTAGTAGACCAGAAGCTGTCGGCGCGTCTGCTACGGGGTGCAAGATGACTATCCGAAGACGTAGTGACTCTTCCCTTCTTGCGCGGAGTCCGATAGAAGGGTCGGACAGTGGCGCTCTATTTTGCACCGTCTGCTCGGACCCCTTCGTACTCTTTCGCTCGGAGGAGCTGAGTGTGCTCTAGATGGTGATGATGACTGTCGTCTCGGGTAAATACTTCATCGCCTTGTTACTACTCATTTGCATCCGTCAGACGCCCCCTTTTCGACGATCTGGGTTCGTGTTTCAGCCCGCTTCGTCCATTCTAGCTATGTCTCTACACTTCGAATGCCAGTGTCCTAGAGTGCATTTGGACAGCGCCGTCGCATATCTATTCAATCACTCAACATGCAAACTCGTCCCTACTCATATTGCCAGATATTCAATCTGTTATCAAGTGTCTTCTCAGGCTCAGATCGCAAGTGCACAGTCGGTCTACTGCTTACAATGTCGCTGCAGCTGAGCAGCTCACAATTATTACGAACCTTTCTCTCACTCAGTGTCGTTCTGGAATGTCCCCGATTGCCTTGTGACCGCTCTTCCGGTTGACTGGTTTGATCATCCCAATGCAGCGTCTTGTTCCATCCGGCGGCTCGGACCTCTATGCCTGTCGTCACTTGCCATTCCAGGTCAAGGCCCTTCGGTGGTAACCAATCTCACTCTAATCATGGCAATTCAATCCCCAGGCACGATGAATTAGATATGCAGATCGAAACAGTATTTGGCGGCTCTCGCACATGTCCGGACTGAATAGAGAAGCATTGGATTGAGCCTGTCTTCGCACTAGTTCCTCACGCTTCGGAGTGCTGATTGCCGATTCACTCAGCTGTGCCGAAGATAAGCTGGTAACAGGTAGAGCAACCATTGAATTGCGATCGAGAGGGGGAGATCAAGCAGCACGGTGGCGCGGATGTTGGGGTAGATCGGCGAATCTCAGAAACAACACTATTGCAGCCGATTACAGATAATACTCAAAGCTGAACGTGAGCTTGTACTCCTAAACGATTTCAGCGAGGGGGAACGTACTCCTAACCTTCGCATGTAGCCGCACATTGGTACTCGGGAAATTAGTTCAGGAAACGGGAAGACTAAAGACGCGGCTTGATGAGATCCTTGACGCTGGTAGGATCAATGACTGCCTGAGGATAGGGGAGATTCACACCGCGTAAATGTTCTGAGCCTCCATCGACGGGAAGCACCTGGCCAGTGATGAAGCTGGCAGCATCGCTGAACAGGAAGATTGTAGCGTTGGCAATATCCTTGACATGACCAAGTCGACCAACGGGGATGTTCGACCAGCCCCCTTGATTCTTGGTCATAAGGCGGTCTACGCCTTCCGTGCCTCCAATGGGCCCAGGTGCAATTACGTTGGACCGCACGCCCTGTCAGACGGGTATGAGCCACCGGTCATCATACTAACATGTTACTTACGTTGGGGCCTTCTTCCACGGCCAGAACAGCAGAGGCTGAGAACAATTCGACAGTGAACATGCGAACGCGTGGAAAAGAACGAAGGCAACCCACTTGCATCAACTGCTGCCTTGGCAGCAGAGACATGCACCTGATACGGAGTGCCTGAACTAACGTAAGTACATCAGTAAATTTAGAGTAGATAGCTGCGAACCGTTGTAGTGCAACGTCGCGCTGACATGAATGTATGATCCCTTTGAAGCCCTGACGTGCTCCAATGTCGCTTTGATTGTGTTGTACGTTCCGATCTGCATAAAACGACGCGCAGATGTAGACGTAGATGTAAGTGATGCCGAGTTCTTCGTACCGTGTCTATCTCGAGAACGGTCCTGAACCCATTCTCTGACAGGCTTGAAATTGGAGCCAAGAAGTTCCCAGCAGCGCCTAGATGTATGGCATGACAGGAGTGTTGGGAATCGATTAGATGAATCAGCTTACCGCAAATAACGAAGTCGATTTTGCCATATTCTTTGATCGCCTTAGAAACAGCCTCATGCAATTGTTTAGGGTCTCTGACATCTGCCTGAGCTGCTATGCAACGACGTCCTGTTGCCTTAGATAGCTCTTCAGCGCTTGCAAGGAGTCGGTCAAGCCTGACGTTTAACGGTAGTGAGCAGTGGTTGAACAGTATGTCCATGCCGCGTACTTTCTTCCAACAATTGTCGCATCTGCACCATGACGCATCTGGATAAACGTTCAGGTAATATTAGACACTCGGCCTTGTAAGCACACTAACCACGGCTTCGGTCATTGCCTTGCATATCCCGGAACCTCCGCCAGTACAGAACAATACTTGTCCTTTGAAAACATCACTCTTAAAGACGGTGGTTGAATCCGCGACTGGGGAAATGTAGGCAGTCATGGAAGGAGCTGTCTAGTAGTCTTGTGTGTGAAATAAGTGGCAGGCGCTTACCGCATCCCGTCCTTGTCAACCTGCGGCCCGTCCGGACCGACGTGATTTCGGCGCAATTTCGACGACATGCTCGTCGACTTGGTCCGATTTATATATCAACATTGCAAGACAATCATCATCATACTAGCATGTCAGACTGTCCCCATATAATTGGAGATATTCTAGGTAAATGCTGCCAGTGAGACGACGCTCAAAAGTTGGGCACGGCGTTGGCAGCACGTCGAACTAGATATTCTCGTTGTTTGAATTTATGCGAACTTGATCTGATTCAGTCCTTTACATTGGTACAGATTGCTCATAGAGAGACGGGAGATACCTCGCTATCGATTAGCCGCGCAGATTCTACTCGCATTTGGAAGGTGTAGCTAAGGTATCCTCTACTCGCCTCCCTCTTTCATCGCACTCAACCCTGGCGCTAGGGGGCATGTCACAACGCTTGTACCTGCATTATACCAGCGGTCAGCAGCTCAGATACCTGGGAAGCGTTGCCTCATGTGCCTCTTGAGAACGTCAACGCCAGCCTGCATAAGGTAGCACTTCTCAGAAAGCGAAGCCGTCTGAACGTTTTTCTAGATCCCGCGTTACGCAGCCGGCAAAATCCACTCTCGGCAGAAGCGGAGATCGTCCGTACTTTGGGCAGTCAGGGTGGCCGCTCGCCTTCGTCGTTCGCGAAAGGGCCAGAGCGGAGAATCTGATCGCGTCTAGCACGCCAACTTCAGCGATCTACCTCTGCCGTCGTTCGCTAAGGCCGTTGCGAATCACAATGAACCTTACATTCTCCGCTGCTGTATAATGCAGCGGCCATGGCCAGCTGCGTCCAGTATCCGTCGTTCTGCCCTAATCAGAGAAGCGTGCGGGAGCCTGCGCAGTCAGGCGACCTTGACAGCAGGCGCTGATATGACCGGCTGTCAGCACCCCCGGCTAGGGTCGTGCTTAAATTCCGCACTCGCCCCGCCGCAACGACCAATCGTCCAATTTCACGGTGACCTCAATGAGGTTAGACTCGTCTCTCGCTTCTCCGCGAGGTAAATGGGGTAACATCCGAAGTTAATAGTGTTATGATACATCGTTGCAAGATGAATGGCGCTAGTGTAGTACTCCGTGTCGTAGCAGAAATAGTAGCACACCTTAGACATTATCAATGTGATTGTATTTATTTCGTCGTCAAGCGTACAGCGATGTCAAAAACAATGTGTACACATCTATTAATCGAACGTTCATCGGGCGTCGAACCTGCCACGATCCCAGTAGGCATGCGGGTTGGAGCCAGGCTGAGGCAGGTACGCGGTCTCAGACGAGGCAAGCACTGTGCCCCCTGTCTGTAGCGACTGCGTTGTGGGTACTGGGCGATTTTGCTGTTGCCACTGGTAAGGGGCGCCAGGCGATGCAACGTAGTGGCCATTGCCGGGCAAGGGTAGGGTATTGGAATGGGTGAGACCACGATACATGTCACCGCGTCGGTCGTTCTGGTCATGGGCACGATCCATACGCATTGACGACGTATACTCGTGTTGCGTAACTGGTACAGATGTAGGCGATGATAGCATGGAGGATGTGCGTTGTGACGACGGCTGGTCGAACGTGAAAGCCGATGTTAGGGTTGGGAAGTCAGCGTTGGCGTAGCGGGATGTCATAGCAGGAGCGGAAGTCGACGAGATGGGCTGACCGACCGTGGACCATGAGCGTTGTCCAAGCTGCGATGTATAAGCTTCCGACCTAAAGTCAGACGGATAGCATGCGTCGGAAATTCTCTGTCGAGTAGCCTCAGAGTCCAAACCGGGTACCGACGGCCAGTCGGGTCTGCTCTGCTCGACCCGATTCGCCCATGACGAATTGGCGAGGTGATGCGCGTGCTGTGTATGCGAAGGATATGTGGTCACTGGCGAGGCCGCGGCAGGGTAATCTGGGTAGGACAGTGCGTCCTCATACCGGCCTACCCCCGATGGTATATTGTGGGGATACTGCAGAGATGACCGCGGCGAGACACTCCCTTCGGTGCCGGAACTGAAAGCAATGGAATGGTCGGGCGATTGTGATTGAGAGTGATGTGCGTGGACAGGAGACCTGATTGTGAGCTCGTCAGAGCTGATGGGAGATATCTCGTCGATGGAGGGGTCCGCCTTGTCGACACCAGGCGAGTACTCAGGCGACTCCGCCTCGTGTCCAGCGTCTGACTTGCGCTTCTTGCGCGAGTTGTTCGGGCGTCGGCGGTAGACGTAGTCTGGGTATTTCGAGTTGAAGTTGTCCTTCAGCTTCTTTGCCTGGTCCAGGTAAAACTTCTTCTCAGACTGCCGACAGCAGTCAGGACATGTGCGATGGAGACAGTAACGACTTACCATAGACATTGCGTTCCACTCCTTGCTCAGAATCTTGCTGACGTCTCCAGTCCTCATCATCTGGTTAGCGGCAGAGATCTCTGGCCGTCGCTTGCGTGCAAATATCATGAACGCGTTCATGGGCCGCTTTGGCGTTCCGTCAGCATTCAAGGTCTGGGACGTTAACGACATGTGTGGGTCATCTACGAGGCAGTCGTTAAGTGTGAAGGCTGTATAACGCACACTACTCACCATCGAGCTCGACATCGTAATGGATGTCGACATCTCCAGCCGTTCCATAGTACAAGCTTGAGCCACTCATTTACGCGGTGATTGGAGGTACAGCACAAGGGGCTGGCAAAGCAATTCGAGTTGCGGTGGGCGTATCTGCTGACAGAGGACCTGGGCGTTCAGTAAGGAGCAACTCGGCACTGAAGAGGCAAGACGCTCACTTTCAGGCTGTGGACGGCGAACGGCCAGAGGAAGCTGACTGAGTGGGTCGTCGGGCAATGTTTGATAGAGGGCTAATCCCGGACGAACGGCGCCGCGTCGAAGCATGTCTTATGGTGAAGAATTTGACATGAGATGATGTTCTGCCTCGAGACCGCCGGGGCGCGTAGAAAGGCTGGACCAATTAGAGCTTGTGGACGCAGGTGGATTGCCCCAGGTTTGCACAACGGTTCGAAAGGCCCCGGATCTGCCCTTGGACGCGGGTTTGCCTTTCTTGATAGTCTAGACTCTTGACTCTCCGATCCCGCATTCGGCTAGTAATATGACAGCGTTCCTTTCCTCCGCACAGCAGCGCCTAACGATGTCCGACCCCCCTGACGCGCTAGTATAGACTTGGCAGTAAGCAACCAAACTCACAGTGTTCCGAGTAGCAGTATTACTTCTCAGGAGCCGTCATACACCGCTGTGCTTCTCGTCCCATGGCTTCTTGTCACGCGAAATCGGGCACAGCGACAGGTTTTGGGAAAATGAGTGGAGCTGGGCAAAGTCATAGCAGCTGCCACAAAGGGCCATGATGTCGACCCAGATTCTGGGGTCAAGATGACTCCCAAAGAAATACCCGTGGGATCGCACGACGGAGCATCAACTATTCGCGGAAACTATAATCTCCGCAAGTATACACAACGAAGATGGTGACGGCTTTTTGCGTGTCCGATACAACTGGAACGGAAGACCAAATGGTGTGATGTACTGAGAGCCGCCCTGCAGAATGCACAACATTTCGCACTGACCTGCGGTATCAGCACCATGTCGCCGAGAGGAAACAATCCCCACGCGTCGGTATGTTCCGTCTGCGTAGCTTTTGGGCATTGTGCCGAGTCAACCCCACCGGTACCATTATCCGACTCATGCGAAATACCAGTGGGTTGGGCGCGGCAGCCCTATGTCGTAGCGTCTCGCGAAGCGACTGTGATCCTCTGACCAAACACCCTGGGAAGCAGTTGCATGTCAGTAGCTATTACCTGCAGCAGCGGCCGCCACAGCATCGAGCGTGCCAAGTTCTGCGCATCTCGTGGCCCGCCAAGCCAGTAGTATCTCCCTCATTCGACAACAAATGCCCCGAACCTGTGCCCTCAGTCCCGCGGCTATATGGCACACGATCAATGTTATCGCCCGGCAAGGAGCGCGGAGAGCTCGCCCGATGGTGTTGACGGGGTCCATACCGCCAGCCGTTGCGAGGTCTCGAAGATTGCGAAGAAATTCTGCATATGGTAAGTGAGGCTGCGTCCGCTAGTCAAGCGTCAGGCTGACATGACATCAGGCCGCATGCGGCGCCGCTCGGTCAACGAAGGCACGGCAAAGCCAGAGAATGGGGTAGACGACGAAATCGGAAGTAAAAGACGAAATGACGACCACGCGGTTCTAGCTTCTGCAATCGTCGGTATCACTTGACCCAGAGAACGCCCGTGAAGGAGGTTCTAGCGCCCGTACAAAGATGGGCAGCACACTGCCAGTGTCAGCGTTCTTGTGGCTAGTCGCTTCGCGGGCCCATGTGAGGTATCCGCAGACCTTTGGCGGTCATCTATGACGACAGAGCGGTCGCTACGCCGTAGGCGTTCTCCCACCGCCCAGGACCACGGGCACGAGGAATCGATGGTTGGTAGATGTCAAGCGATAGCAGCGATTCCCTTGCCGCACTGTGGATATGTCGGAGGATCGGAACATCGTCGTAGGACATTGTCCAGACTTGGCGCCGGTATGCCGCGTCTTGTCCGGGTCCGAACGCTCAATCCCCTCAACGTTCGAGTGCTAAACGTGCTCGTCCGTTGTTTCCTGGGCTCCGGTGGATGTAAGCGTTGCCGCAGTACTGAGCGGAGCAAGCAAGTCCAGGTCGGTACACGGTCTTGAGAAGTCATGGCAAGTGAGCCCCGTGTGATCCGAGCGACACAAGTTCTTGATCATCCGGTTTGCTAGCACGTCAATGAACGCCTGAAGCAGAAGTCCTCGTGCCTGTGCTCCGACATGTAATCATGGGGCCCTCGTTCCTACTTATCTTCCCAAGCACAACGGGAGTTTGAAAAGGCACAGGCACCACATGCCACAGCAGACGTCTGGTGATCAGACATCTGCGCATTTGCACTGTGTACAAGTTACGCATGGCTCGAAGGGGAGCATCCGAGATCTTACACGGCAAGATGGGAGAATACGGCTCAAGCCGCACCGCTGCACATGTGTCTATCAATGCTAGGAATGCGAAAAAAAGTTTTTGACAGCGCAATGTCGTGTCGCCGAATTGCTTTGCGACGTGATCGTCGAACAGACGTAGTCATCGCAATGCCTCACGCTTCAGAAATGGAAACCAAGCTCACTCGCATGTACAAGGGGCGTGGCGACTCACCTGCGGGGTTCGGCGAGGGAAGAACATGTGTTGTCAGAGAACTCGCAGACTCCTCTGTCGTCGGGGTCGGACATTGGCCGATGCCGCCTAATCGAAGGGAATCACATCGGATATGCCTTGCGTCGTTGACGCAGGTCCCTTCCCTTGATCTCGTGGCTTTAATGAGCAGTTTGGTTAAAACGGAGAACAGCTGCGCTTAGATGTGAAGGTCAGACACACCTTGCGTAGCGTCTTCCGGATACTCGAGGCAGGCCGTCAGACCGCATCGTCTCCGTCCAGAAGAACAGCAGGTAGATCGCGCGTTCATACAAGCGCTGTGCCGCGCCTCCTGACGCACCGGGTGGAGCGCTGCAGACAGTAACCCCTTTACCGAGGACCTTGAGGCTCAGCTTCTCAGCGAGGAACGCTGGAAAGATTTGCTATATCTCAAGATGCTTCCATGACCGAACAGAATGTGGGCGGCTTGTGGCGCCTGAGACATCGGGATGTTATGCTGCTGCAATAGAGCGCGCCTTTGTAGGTCCGTTCTCCGACGATTGTATACGGCGTTGTGACAGCCATTAATTGCAGAGTAACGTACTCGATGATCACCGCAGGGGGTTTCGCAAAACGATGCTCGGTACCCCGTTGATTGAGCGATTCGCGTCATGACAAGCGGCTCCGCAGCCTGGCGTCCGGCCTTCAGCCACTGTGAGAATTGTGAAAATTTTCTAGATTTCAAGACGGCCTACGAACGAACTGACGGTCGCTCGCCATGGCTTGGGCAAACAGTGGTCAGCCCGACCGCTCGCCCGACAGACATCACCAACAGAGTTAGCACGTGCACGTGCTGTTCGGAGCCGCCCAACGGCGGAAGACGCTCTCCCGAGTCCTTCCTCCAAGTCCGGACGATCATCGTCTACTTCCTGAATCCTCCCATTTGGCAAGTGAAACAGAATTGTCACTGTATTTTGACAGATGATAATCAGCTTTCAATACAGCGCAGGCTCAATAGAGCCCGACCTTTAGAGCCGTAGCGCCGCTGCTGTGCAGCCCAGGCTCGATCTCGGAGGCAGTATGAAGGACTTGATAGTCGACGCTAGTAAGATAATTCAATACATTCAGATCGCCTGAACATCAGAAAATCATCTGGATCTATCTCTAGATTTCCCCCGCACCGAGGACAACCGAGTCTATCACCTTGGTATCCGTGCGGGGGAAGTAGCGAATCGAATAGTACGTTCCTGGTGATGACTTTGTTGGAGGTTAGGGACTGATGTGTGGTTGTAGGTGACTGTGGGTGCCCCGTCGCGCGCGCGAGGGATCGCCTTGTATCTCGATGCCTCGCCGAAACCGTTTACATTGGCATCAGAGCGTGGCTTCACGACCATTACCGGCCGTTACAAGGGCGTTCCCATCTCCATCGTCAGCATAGGAATGGGATATCCGAATGCCGACTTCTTTGTACGCGAAGTGAGAGAATGCCTTAGCGGCGATATGGTCGTGGTGAGGTCAATCGGGACCTTTCATATTCGCAGTATCGCAAATGAACTCTCCATACCAGATTAGGATCATGCGGCGCTCTCATCGATACGCCTGTGGGGTCGGTGGTGGTCCCGAAGTCCAGTGTTTCTGTCAACAGAAACTATGACTTCGACTTTGTCACTGGTCATTCGCATGAGCCACCTTATAGAATCAGTAAACCGGTAGGTTTTGTGGAGCGCCATTGTATAGCCCTATCGCTGAACCATATGGAAGGTCAATGCGGACCCTGTTCTCCATGACGCTGTACGTTATTCCATGCGCTCAAGTACCGCATGTTGACCCCTTTCCGTTAGATTAGAAATGCGTTACACAAGACCCGACCGCCCGGAATTGACGTGCCAATCGTGGACTACACGATGAACGCATCTGCAGACAGGTGTGCATAGTCTGAAAATTTCCGCTTAGCATTTCTAACCACACCTCGGTGTCGCAGCTTTTATTCCTCGCAAGGGAGGCAGACGTCTTTCCCGGACCATAATGCTGACCTTATTCGCCAACTCCAAGAGTCGCATGAAGACTTAGGTACATTAGAAGTACGTCGGATGTATTTACCCCGGCGACTGTGTCGTGCTGACGAACTTCGGTCAACCCAGATGGAGACATTTCATATCTTGCATTTGGCTGCCAGCTGGCCGGGCCAGGCCCGCGTCGAGCAAACCATCAAGCCCCCAATCAGCACCCTTCCTGTCACCCCTGTCATTTCCTCACCTCCTCAGCCATCCAGTCAGGGCCAGCCGCCCAGCGTTTCCGAATCGAACAGTCACGGTGATCTGATGACACCGAGGCCAAGCATTCGCGCGGCGGCTGCACAGATGGTGTTTGCCTCGCGGACGTCCCAAGAATTCATCACCCCAGAGCAAGTCGTGGAAATAGAGGCATGGTCCGGCCGAGCGGTATTGGAAGCTCTAACATCATTAGACCTAGACCAAAATGTATGTCTACGCTTTATTGGTAATGAGCTAGATGACATATGTGTGGATACAGAGAATTCATCCAGAGAGAGGGAGCGTCTGGGCTTTGTAAAACGACTAGAAGATGTTGTGAGAGGTGAATACCGCCACGGTACTTCGTGCGCTGTTAGCGAGTACATAGTTGGTTCTGAATATAGGTGTACTTCGATTGCTAGCCCAAAAAAAAGAATGCACCTAAAGTATTACTCCCTGGCGGGGAGTCGAACCCCGCTTTCGCGCGGAAAGATAGTCGGAATCCAGCGGATGACAGGCGCGTGTACTAACCGATATACTACCAGGGATTATGAAGCAGTTTATGAATAGCCTATTATTGATACCGGTCCCTGTAGTATTACGCCATACTCAAGATGGTTTACAATGTTCACTGTGACACGTTAGTTTAGCAGTATCTGGAGATGCTCCGGTCTTCGTTAACGCACATGGAGAAGCGGTCGGTGTTGGCCACCGCACGGTGACCCTTCGCGGCCAATACAGTCACCGCAATTACTGAGGACGACTGGGCTGCAATCCTCAATGCCGAAGAGAACCCATGCATTGCTCAGAGCTTGACTGCCACTTATACAGCCACCGCCATCATCGACGTCGTTAGCGTGCGATAGCCTTCGCGATGGCGACGAGATGAGCACCCTAGAATCAGCATACGCTTCCGCCTACGATGCGTGGTGCACAGCGGCGGTGCACCGCGATCGATATGGCGCTAGGCAGCTAGCATATGCAGGCTTTGGGATTCGTCAACTGTGAGAGGCTCGAGGTACCGCCAGCTAGCAGCGTGGTTCTCCCTGTGAGCAGCTGTGAGCACGCGCCTCTATGATTGGGTTGCTTGGCCCACGGGAATGCTTATCGGCATCTAACTGTGGAAAGTCTCACCAGCAGGACCAGGATGCTGACCACAGTCACCAGACTGTCCACGGACCGACTTAAACGCGTATGACAGTTGCCCGTGCGGTGGTCAGTTTCGGGAGCAATGTCCAGCGCGAAGGGGGTCGTACCTAGGCTTTGGTGGCCAGCTCTCGCCCGTCTCCAACTTACGGGAGCTGGGGGATACTGACACCGAGGAAGCAGGTTCTCTTCGCCGCCTTCTATGTTTCTCCGTACCGCCGACCACTGTTTGCGTTCGGCGGATGCTGCTGTGTGTGATCAACTCAAACCACTCATCCTGACGAAACTCCATCTGGGCCCTTCGTCACCAAATCCACAGCTTGACAGTCTTCGTGATTGAACGACGCCGTCCGTCCGAGCACGTCTTGGACGTAAAACGATCGGGCGGTTCCAACGCGTGCCTGAAGGGAATAGGTGTTCAGGCGGATATGTGAGCGTGAAACCAATTGGATAGAATCTGAGGAATCGTGCCGGGACACTGGAGACATCTGCTCTCGAGAAGTAAAGGTACCTTGCGAATGCAGCTGACGTGTGAACTGAGCGAGATGGTTGCCAACGACAATGACATATTACTACAAATCATAAATTAGGATGCGACAGGCCTTTCTCATGTTCATTGGATTCCAGGTAGCAGGGAGAGTAGGCTCGTGGATAGGGACATTAATTCGCTGGGTTGAAGTCTAAATCCGCAGTATCTGCGTCCATCACAAACGCTTCGTAGAGGTATATGACACCAAACGCAAGGAAGAGTAAACTCCCTCCTAGCGTCACTGAAGGCGGCGATATTAGGACGAGTCTGACAATAAAACGAGCGCACGCACCGTGCTTGACAGAAATTTTTGTGGAGATATAGCGGCCGCCAATCACCGCAAGAGCAGTACAACATGAGTGTCCGACGACCGTGCCCAGCGTCACGAGGTAGACGTTCTGCACAGCAACGAGCAGCATTCAATCATCGCCCACGTGTGGAAGTGTCGCGGCACTTACATGTGCAGCAGCTAGCGCGATCGTCGAAATCTGACTCCGATCGCCCCATTCGCCGAGGAACGTGAGCACGAAGGACTGTACGAACACGGGGCCGAGGAAAAGGCTGAAGAAGTTGCGTATCGCATCCGCGGTCTTCTTCGTCCGCGAGGCTCTCGTGTATCGTGCGCTGCCACCAGAGCCCGTGCTAAGCTTACGGACGTGGGCGTGCCGCCGACCGCCCTCCTCGACTTCCTCGAGCGGGATCACGTCGTCATCGTTCACGGCCATACCAGTCCCATCTGCGAGTGCCTCGTCGCCCTCTATATCCTCCTCCGCCTCCTTCATCTCCTCCTGAAGCTTGTCTGGCTGCATCTCGCGAGCTTCCTGCAGCATCTTGACACCGAATACCAGAAATAGCACCGCTGCACATGCTTGTGTCCATTTCTTGGGTATGAGTGTAGGAAGCAGGTTCCCGAGCTCCGCTGACAAGAATGACATGACGATGAGGGAGAAGAGGGCACCAGCAAAGACGACGAGACGCGGATGTCGCATGGCAAGGATGGCGGCGATGAGGAACGTCTTGTCACCGATTTCTGAGAAAATGATCATGGCGAAGGATCTAGCAAGCACATTGAAGCTAGTCTCGTCCGGCTCGTGTCCAACATTTTGAGAGGCCATTAAAGGTTGTCACCAACTCTGCTGGCGAACGTGAGCGTGTCAACACTGTAGCGGTCGAAATACCAGCACACGTACCTACCGCTCCTTTCTACAACGTCGTAGATATGTCTACAGGATGCGTACACAGTTCGTCGAGAGACTGAAGTTGACCACTGTCTAGTTCATGAAGAAGGCAAGTAGATTGGAGTAAGTGAGTAGGTTGTGCTAAACATAGCATGACACAGTTCATTGCGCAGCAACCACGTGCGGGGCCCCACATCGGCATTCCCAAGGGCATTTCAGTCAAACTCCAGTCACGGCTACGAGTCAACACCGAACAAGCACATGTCGCTCACTTCTGGGCAGAGGAAATCCGTTCAATAAAATCTACATATGTAATCAAGAATTGGGAGAGTTGAAATGTCCAATCACTAGGCTTTGATTGCATAGCCAAATGTGGCGGGCCCTACTACAAAAGGAAATCAACGCCACCGCTATTCGTTTTAGCATCAGAAAGACCTTTGTAGAGAAGAATAAGTCGAGAATAAATTTATCGCAGAGCTATGCGCGGAGGTGACCAACCCGTCGAGAAACCAGGTGAGATGGTCGTCATTCAAGAAGCGTACCCCCGCCTTCATTATCCATTCAATAGCCAAGTGCGCTGCCAAAGGCAGCAGAAATTATGTGTTTGGTATGCGAGGCTGTCAACTCTGCTAACACGCTAACGGTAGCGGCTCAGAGTACGAACACTGCAAGGAACCTTCTGCTGTGATCAAATTCAGCCGATCGATTACCAGCACCCATCAATACTTCCCAGTCACTCAGTGGACCTTTGCGGCGTTTTGACCGGAGGATGGTCAGAACAAAGCGGGAGTATATTCGTAAATAGTAACATGTATTATGTTCGACATCCGCGTTAAATCATAAGATACTAATGTCTTTGGGCCCATAGCGTGGACCTGAGGAATAAACCGTGATTATTTTGAACAGGAGCCTGCTCTAGCCGTCCATTTATTTGTTGCTGAGTTGACTGAGCAAATAATTGATACTTGCAGACGGTACTCCACTGGCACCAGCCCACCAGTCCGTGCCCCATCCACTTTAAAGTGAAAACGCTGCTTCGAAACATGGAGGTACATAGGCAATGAAAACTCGAGAGGCCTGAAGGCCTCACACCCACGGGAGCGCAAACCGTTGCAGGCGGTAGAAAGCAAGCTGCAACTCTATATCCAGCTACACGAATTGGACATGCATCTAACATGTTACGTCTACAATGCAGGTACATTGACCGTCGTTTTCTCGCCCCTGCCAGAGGGGCCGATCTCCCAAGCACTGATTTCAAGACCCCCTTGGTCGTCCACGACGAACTGCACGTCGATGGCTGTAGTCCATCGGCCTCCGTTTTTCTTCGCTTCCTTCGCCGCAAATACCAGCGACGTCAGGAGAGCGTCCTTCTCCAGCGTCTTTTCCTTCACTTCGATCTCTTCTTCCTCCTCTTCCTCCTCGCCCTCCTCCGGGGGCACGTTGTCCTCGTCCTTCGGCGGCTTCACGTTTTCGATCTTGACGCCCTCCTTGACCTCCCATACCTCGAAGCCCACGCGCTTCTCGCCACCCCCCTCTCCGAGATCCACATCGAAGCGGCTGGTGCGGCGGCAAGGCACAGGGGTGTCTTTCAGCACAGCAGGCACCCACTGCCCACCCAGCAGGCCCTCCGCGTTCTCCTCGGGGAAGAGCATACCGACCGTCTTCGACGTCGCCTTTGCCTGCGTCCACTTGCTCCCGCTTGCGAACGCGCTCTTCACCTCGCGCTCCTCCTCGGTACCCTCCGCGAGCATAGCAACGAGGTTCGCCTGCACTGCGCATCCGCGCGCGAGAATCGCCGTCGGGTCGCCCACACCGCCACCGAAGACTGTGCCTGCGGTGAACGGCGTCACGACGGACTCCTGGAAGCCCTGCGAGAGCGTCTCGTCGAGCCCGGGCAGGCTCGCGGAGCCACCGACGTACACAATCTCGTCGATGTCGTACAGATCGACATTCGCGCGCTCTGCAAGCTCCTTCACGCGCGCGTACACGGTATCGTATACTGTGCGTACCTCCATGTCGAAGCGCAGGCGCGTGATCGTGCCGGTAAAGTCGAGCCCGTCCTTGAGCGATTCGACGGAGCACGTTGCTGCGCCGGGGGACGCTGACAGGGTACGCTTCGTATGCTCAACTGCGAGACGCAGTTTCGCTTCTGCGCGCTTGTCTTGTGCCTCCGTCGCAGGCGAGACGGTAAGCGGCGTCTTCGTCTTTTTGGTGAACTCCTTGGCGAAGTGCTTGATGAGTTTGCCGTCAATCGCGTCGCCGCCGACGGTTGGGTCCGAGAGCGTCGCAAGCGAAAAGGCAAGGCCCTGTCTGATAGAGAGCAGTGAGAGCTCAAGAGCAGATGAGCCGAGGTCGACCACGAGTTGCGTGCGGTCCTGGTTCAGGCCCGGCGATGAGGCAGTGGCCACAGCGACGGCGCCGGCTTCCTCGAGGAGTTGAAGAACCTTTACGCCAGCATCCTCCGCAGCCTTCTCGAGCGCCGCACGCTGCGTGTCTTCGAACCACGCAGGGATGCTGATCACTGCGCCCTGCACCTTCTTGCCAAGGAAGTCCTCCGCAGACTGGATGAGCGACTTGAGGAAGATGGTCGTGACTTCGGATACTGTGAAAATACGCTCGGCAGGCGTGGGCTCCGAGCGGGGCGTGGCAGCGTTCGACGCGGCAGGAGTGTTCGTTGCAGTCTTGAGCAGAGGTGTGGGGGCGGCCTGCAGGACTTGTACCTTATATGCAGGTACGTCCGGCTGCTCTGGGTGCTCAATGACAGGAGCAGAGACTAGCAGCTTGTCTGATGGGATCTCAGAGAATCTGTCATAGATTTAGCATGAACATAGTTTAGATAGAACTGCAAGCGTACTTTTTGCCAAGTAGGTTACGGAAACCTGTGATCGTGTTATGCGCATTCTTCACCAGCTGGTGCTTGGCCTGATTGCCGATGTACTATGGTAATATATAAGTCGCCCACTCATCGCAATTTCACGCATACTATATGCAGAGTAGAGCCTCCGAGTTTGGTTCCATATCCGGAACCGGATATAAGACCCCGCGAGCGGTGCAACGTACTCACCACTTCCTCCCCATGGAACGAGACGGCACAGGCAATCTGACGTTCGCCATCCTCATTGGCAATGCAATCAGCAGAGCCTTCCTATAGCATACAGCATAAGTAGATCCTCAATACTTGCAAGAGGAAAGCCGTACTTTGGTAATGACCGCGATCGACGCGTAGGAGTTGCCGAAGTTAATTCCAACAACAGTGGGTATCGCAGACACCTCGATGGGTGCCTCCGCTGTTCCGTTGGGCTGTGGGGCCATTCTGAAGATGAAAAAGAGGGATCAAGGGAAGGTTGCAAAACTTGGACTGTGAATTGAATTTTGCCTTCGACCGCCATCACGTGCCACGTGCACTATTTAGCGCGTACGCGCAGGATGGAAGCGTGCCCATCTTGCTCAGACGCGTACCTTCAGTCGACCAAGATCAGCCGGGGTACAATCTCATGTCTCCCAAAGGCCATGATTTGTTACTGAGATTATATGCGCAGAGTACAAGTACATCGGCCCCACAGACATCTGTAGTTCGGCGTTCGCATATTTGCATCCCACAAGCCTTAAGAAAGTGCAGCTCCGCGCCACTGAGACTTGATCAAGCCCCAGGGCTGCATAGAGGAGAGGAGTCGCAAATTTAGCTCATCTAGTTATCCCCACACCGAGGTATACAGGTGCGATCGCTATTCAAGATTCCGGAAAGCGCATATAGCCGATACTTACAAGGGAAGCAGACATGGTGACCTGCGGACATCTCGTCGAGATCGCTCGCTTGCAGCTGCCAAGGCTGTCGCAGTCAGTGCACAGAGAGGAATGCACACAGTGCTTCGACAACCAGGTGCTGCCGGACCGCATGTCCCTTGCGCGCCGTATTTATGCTATGAGCAGGATCATCCATTGGGTATTGATGTGTGCTTGACGTGCTTCAACGGTGGTTGCCTTGGCAAAGAGAGGCATCACGCACGCACTCATGTTCATAAAACTGGGCATGGCTTCTCTTTGAACATCAAACGGAAGCTGAAGCCATCGGCGAATCGTGTTCGTGTCTAGCTTGTGACTCGCAGCATTGCCATTCATGTGTTTATTTAGGTAGACGAGGAAGAACCTCCAGCAAAGATGACCAAACTTGCAATTGTCGAAGACCGAGATGAAGACAAATATGAGTTCAAGACTGTCCTGAAATGTTGGAAGTGCGAACCTGAGAACGGCCTTGAAATCCCGGATGCGATGGCCGATCCCCACGTCAAATCACTTAGTGACGGTGTCATGCAGTCGCTGTCGTCCGCACGACAGTCAGAGGTTAAGGCTTGGGAAGAAGAAATCACTCCTTGCGAGCACACGCTGACGCTCCAGCAACAATCGACTGGTCCAATTCTCGCGTCAGGGCTAGCGCACTGTTCGCACTGTGATCTCAAGGAGAATCTCTGGCTCTGCCTTACCTGTGGCTCGCTCGGTTGTGGTAGACAGCAGTATGGAGGTCTGGGAGGCAACGGGCACGGCCTTCAACACTATCAAGAGACACGCCACCCGATCAGCGTCAAGCTCGGGACCATCACGCCTGAGGGCAACGCAGGTATATCCAGCTATTCAAATACTATCTTCATCAAGAAATTGACATCCTGTAGATATCTACTGCTACATATGCAACGATGCAAAACAAGATCCAGACCTTGCGGCACATCTAACAACCTTCGGTATCAACGTCCAGACTCAGACCAAGACGGAGAAATCAATGACAGAACTGGTGTGTGTTACGGCATCCCCTCGTCTTGACCTGTGACGAAGTGCTTCACAGCAAATTGAGCACAATCTCAAGTTCGATTTCTCGCTGACAGACGAATCTGGCAAGGCCCTCGAGCCTGTTTTCGGCCCTGGACTTACGGGTCTATCTAACCTCGGAAATAGGTAATTCGCCTCCTGTGGCGGTGTTCCCTGACTAACCATCCGCTAGTTGCTACATGGCATCGGTTCTGCAGACAGTGTTCTCGCTCCCTGTATTTCGTCAGCGGTATTATCCCTCGGCTTCCACGCACTGGGAGACTTGTACCGAGACGCTTCCAGCAAGCTGTGTGGACTGCCAAATGCATAAGCTCGCCGACGGCTTGCTCTCTGGGCGCTACTCGCACCCGCGGCCCACGTCCTCGGGTGCATCTCACCCCAAGGAGACCAACCCGCTCGCGCACGACTCGCCGACGCCCATCTTCCAAGAGGGCGTGCGGCCGAGCGGGTTCAAGGCACTGATTGGCAAAGGGCATGAGGAGTTCTCGACAATGCGGCAGCAGGACTCGGAGGAGTTCTTCACACACCTGCTCACGGTCCTGCGACGGTACGCGAAGAAGACGGGCGGCATGCTGAACCACGACCCGACGGAGGTGTTCGCGTTCGGGATGGAGCAGCGCCTTGAGTGCGGCGAGTGCCGCCGCGTGCGGTACCGCGTCGACGGCACGGACGTCGTGAGCGTGCCGGTGCCCGCACGCGAGACGGGGAAGAATGCGGAAGGTCGCACACAATACGCGGAGGTTGCACTGGGGGAGTGCCTCGACATCCTTACAGGTACCGAGGCGCTAGAGTATACGTGCCCGGGTTGTCAGAAGCGCGTCATTGCGACCAAGTACGCAGCCATCTTCTCTTCGCTTTGCTTCGTGTGCCGTCATCTCGCTGACATTGTTCGTCCGCAGGCGATCGCGCTTCGCGACGTTCCCGCAGGTGCTCATGGTGCATGCGAAGAAGTTTCAGCTCGTCAACTGGGTGCCGACGAAGCTCGGTGGGGTCCCCTTTACGTGCACGTCGTACTGCGCTGATACTTCTCTGCCGTTCCCAGACATCCCGCTGAACGTCTCAGACACACTGCAGCTGGACCAGTACCTCGGCCGCGGGCTGCAGCCGGGCGAGCAGAAGCTTCCTGACGACACAGCAGGCACGTTGCAGATGTTCCTGGGCTTCGGATTTCAATTGACCGACAGCTCTTCGTATCTGCTAATCTTTGATAGCCGCACCGGGGCTCCCCCAGTTCAATGAGGCTGCGATGGCCCAGCTGGAAGCCATGGGTTTTCCCACCATTCGGTGCCAGAAAGCCTTGCTCGCCACGGGGAACAACGATGCCGAGGCCGCCATGGAATGGCTCTTCGCACATATGGAAGATCCAGGTGGGCCGTCTTTTGCGATCCATTCTGCTATGAACTGTCCTTCTGCTGGAGCACACCCTTCTTCGAGGCTGGCATTATCATGACGTGACGTCATTTCTCTATCGCGTTATTGCGTGCCTCCATATCGGCTTAGAGCCATAGAATGCCCCGCCTACACTCTGTAAGGCAAGCTGATGCTCGAGCTTCTCCACGGTTGTTTCCCAGAGGGGAAACAATTCAGTTGAATCGTGGTAGAGCTGCTGCGGTTTCTTCTTTCGTGCTGCCGGATCTTGTCGCTGCAGATATTTTCAGCAGGACGACCCATGACGGAGTGAACGAGACGTCATTGTCTCTCCACAACGTCGCAGCTTCCTTTGTGATTCTCCTTTGAGCTTACTGAACACAAATGGCAACTGGGGTCGAGAGTGGAGTGGGGAGACTTCGGCCTGTCCCAATGTGGGACGATGTGCAGGCATCTACCTAGTCCTGCACCTGTGGCGACGCTGCTGGCAGCAATAACTTCTTGAACTCGTGTTCACGGAGCTGACAAGCAAGCTACAGATATCGATGCCCCAATTCAAGCTGCAGGGTCAGGCAGCAGTGCACCTGAGCCCTCGCAAGAACAGGTGAGCATGCTGTCAGAGATGGGCTTCACCCACGCACAGGCCAGAAAGGCCCTTCGGGAAACCGTACGTCATGGTGTGCCATAATACTACTGCTGCCTGCCTGACGATAGACCAGGGCGGCGACGCGGAACGCGCAGTTGAATGGCTGTTCTCGCACCCTGACGACAACGGGGAAGACGCCGCCCCCAGCGGCTCGAGTGAGACGCCAGAGTCATCTGGCACAGGAGGAAGCGCAGAATTGCCTGCCAGGTACCGGCTCAAGGCGTTCATCTCGCACAAAGGGCCCTCCGTGCATTCTGGACACTATGTGGCGCACATCCGGGTGGAGGACGCCGCGGTGGGCGGGGAAAGCTGGGTGCTGTTCAACGACGAAAAGGTGGTCAAAGCGGATGAAGAAAGCGTGCGCGAGCTGAAGAAGCTAGCGTATCTGTACGTGTACGAGCGAGAGTAGGATCGGACGCGAGATTTACGTGCACAATGACATGGTTGTGTGGCATCATATCTCGCGTATGGTGTAGCGTATGAAAGACGAGCGGTGCCCTGCGCCCTGAGGACGCACCCGCGGAGATCTAGACTGTACAGTGGACTGAACCGCAACACCCGCAAGCCACGATTTGTAGTGATTGAAACTCCGCTACTTAGGCGTGACTTTTTTCGGTGCGCCTTTATCCAGGCAGACGCCCCCTCTCGCGCTTTTCAATCCTCTGCCCCCGCTGCCCGTCGTTCTGCCCACCATGTCGAACAACATCCCCTTCAGCCAGGTCGACCTCACCGCGCCGACGCCCCAAAACACGCCCCTCACCCATGCGCCCATCGGAGCGGGCCTCTCGCGCCCTACCGTCCCCGACATCTCGGAGGACAACGAGCCAGAGGAGGAGGAGGAGATCACCACCCCGGGCGCAGCCGCGATGCTGAACCTGGTTCATGGCCGCCTGCAGGGGCTCATCGGCAAGAGCTCCGGATACATCGAGAACCTGCCCGTCGAGCAGAAGAAGAGCGTCGAGGCGCTGAAGGCCCTCCAGGCGAAGCAGGTCAACCTGCAGAATCAGTACAAGCGGGAATGTCTCGAGCTCGAGAAGAAGGTGGGAAAAAGCCCTCTTTTCCCTGATGCACTGGTGGCGCACGCTGACGATCCTCGCAGTACCACGTACTGCAGACACCTCTGTACGAGCGACGACATGCGATTATCACTGGCGCCGCCCAGCCCACGCCTGAGGAGATCGAGGCCGGTGAGAAGGAGTCGGCCAAGGACGACCCGGAGTACACTCCATTGCCAAAAGATGCCGCTGATGTGCCCGCTGCTGCTATCCCCGAGTTCTGGCTTACCGCGCTCAGGAATCACATCGGTCTGGCGGACCTCATCACGGATCGCGATGAAGCCGCGCTCAAGCACCTCGCCGATATCCGCATCGCATATCTCACGGAAGGCAAGCCCGGGTTCAAACTGCAGTTCTACTTCACGCCCAACGAATTCTTCGAGAACGAGCTGCTGGAAAAGACCTACCTATACCTCGAGGAGGTCGGCTACTCTGGCGACTTCTTGTACGATCGTGCGATCGGCACTGAGATCAAATGGAAGGAGGACAAGGATCTGACGAAGGAGATTGAGATCAAAAAGCAGAGGAACAAAAGTACGTGTTGTCGGTTTCCTGTCCCGTGGCGACTTGTTCATTGCTTCCGAACGGTCAGACACGAACCGGACGCGGCTCATCCGCAAGTCGCGCCCCGCGGAATCCTTCTTCAACTTCTTCTCCCCGCCAACCCCTCCAGAAGAAGGTGATGACGACGAATCGGATGTCGACATTGAGGAGCTAGAGGAGAAGCTGGAATTGGACTACCAAATCGGAGAAGATATTAAGGAAAAGGTTCGTGCCTACGCCACCGTGTGGCCAATCCCCTCCAGCTAATTGGTTTCGATTGCATTAGATCATTCCTCGTGCTATTGACTACTTCACTGGCAAGGCATTGGAGTACGAGGACCTAGACGACGAAGATGATTACGATGAGGATGGTGATGAAGATGACGAGGGTGCTTTCGAAGACGATGTACGTCTTGACCCCCACTTTATCTCTCTACTCCGGATTAATTATTCGTCTCACAGGACTCTGACTCGGAGGATGACGATGTCCCTGCAAGAAGGCGTGGTCCGCCGAAGGGACGTGGTGGCGCGGCCGCCAACAACCAGGTCAACGCGGAAGAGTGCAAGCAGCAGTAGACTTCGACCTCAGAAAAGACTTGACTTGATCATGCTGAAGCTTTGCCGTTCAACTCTACGCTCTTTTAGTCGCATTCTTCGGGAGTATACCTTTCTCTTCTCTGCTCCTGTCGCTGTTGGCAAGACGCTGCTCATTTCCGTCCCCCTCTATCCTGCCCGCCGCCTTGTTTTCCTTCCGAATGATTTACCGTCTCTCTTTCAATGCTGTCGTCTTGGGTAATCGTGTCGAGTTTCATGAACTCGCCGCCGCTGCGAGGCGGTGTGCGTATTGACCATTGTATTATAATCACAAGAAATATACGTGAGGCGAGACTGCTCATAGAACAGCTCTGCTGAGGATCTACTGTTGCCATGATGATATTTGTGGGGGTTCTGTGGTCGCGCAGATCAGCCGATCATATAATTGTTTGATGCGCTAGATCGCAAGATTTGACATGGTATAAGCTCATTGAGTCTATCGGCGACGCGCCCATCGTGTCTCTCGATGTTGGATCTCGCGAGTGCGGTGCCGCGTACATTCTGTGACTGTTTATACTGGGATCTACAACTTACGTTATAGTCCATCCGGCGTCTGCGAGCGCCACATGAAGTTCCAATGTGCGCATCACGTTGCAGGATAGGTGTTACCACTCCAGCCGTTTCAGTGCAGACAAACAGAATTACGGCGGACCTGATCCCAGGTTCCTGGACACATTGTAACGCGGACTGATCTGCTCCACCAGAGACTGCTCGGCTGCAAACAGCATTGTGTGTCGGGCCCGACTCATGCCGCTAGATCGAGACCCTGGACACTCCTGGTTAGTACGGATGGCGCCTGAGTATGCGCGCTATTGGAATTTGTATTGCCTCTTCGTCTTCAAACTCCAAAGTACGATCTTCGTGGACTAAGTTCTATGCAATCTGCGCACTGCATTGTACCCCGGCACTCAAGCAAAAAAAGGAGACATGATTTTGACCTCGTCTCGCTGTCAGTCCTCCCGCTTGTTGACTACGAAAGGTTTAAAGCGTGAGCTGATCAATAGTCTGAAGGCGGATATGGGTGTGTACCAGTATATTGCGTTGTCCCGCTTCCAGGAACAATTTGTCGGCAAATAAAATAGCAATAGAGCATGGAACGGGGACTTCTTCGGTACGTTGGATACGGGCAGAGAGAGCCGTGTTTCATCACCAATGTAGCAGTAGTGACATAATAAAGAGACAGCAGCGACGACGAGGTAAGTCAGAATGAAAATGGGACAATGTCATGGTAGCGATCCGTGCAATATCAAGAGTAAATCAACCGCTGTCTGACACTATCTGCAAGTTTCAGACAGATTGGCTGACGCCAAGTGCTCGAAGATGACCTACCGTCTGAGCGACTTTCTTTATGCCCGAGAGGCTGTGGCTTGGGTCGACGTGCGGCCCGTACGAATTGAGGAGAAGATAGAGTGAGTGCGAGTATTTGTACATTCCTAAGGACAGCAGTCCAATTGATCCTCTTGGGCTTGGGGGATTTCTCTTCTCCATCTATCTCGTTGTCGTCCTCGTCGCCTGACTCTTCTTCCTGCCATCTGCACACGGCTAGCCCTGGGGGGCTCAGTAGTCAGACGCGGCGAAGTTGGAATAGCAACGACAGGCGTGCCTTTTTATTTTGTTTTCCAACCCAGTCTTATAACCGCTGGAGGGCGACACTCTATGCTGGACAATACGTGTTGTATCGGGGGCTTCGAAATGTCATGCGCTATCCGAGTGCATGGAGTGATGGTGCGTGAGCGAACTATCTTTCGGGGCTCGATGTCGGCGGGCGTACGGGTAGTTGGTGTAGTGTGACAGTGTCCGGCTGAGCAAAAAGGCCGGCTGAGGACGAAAAAGAGAGCGTAAGCCCGAGATAGGATAGAACTGAAAGAATAAATATTTTTGGTACAGTGAAGCGAGTCAGAACGAGAGGATATATGCGTGCGGGAAAAGCGTCTTGGCTGGGTTGGCGAGGTTCGTGGATCGAGCGCACCTCTTTTCGATGTCTGTGCTAAGCGAGAGCAGTCGCTCCTCCCAGCCGCGAACCGGCCGGTAGCTTTGATATGACGATGATGTAGTTGAAGAGGATCGGGAGTGCTTCGGGTCAGTGAAGAAGTGTTCGCACCTGCATGTTTGAAGAAAGGCGCGCCGCAGTGAGTTCGGGCTCGTTTCCATATCAGACATGAGAGAATGTAGTACATCGCTGTCTGGCGAGGCATAGAGCCGATTCAACCTTGCCTATGCGGAAGAGGCGTTGGTTAAGGGGAGCGTGTCCGGATCTCGCAATTGTACAAGCAAGCTAAGTCTATTCCTCGGGAGGGTTCCACCCGTCTTGAGGAATTTGGTCGACGGGAGTGAGGGGTCGATGCGGCTGATTCTGGCGTGACGAGGGAAAAACTTCCAACGGGTGGGTGTGTCGTGTTTGAGGTCTGTCGTCCTGTGCTACTCTAGGGCGGCCAAATTCATGGGTGGCGATTTGCGAAGCTCGCAGGGCAGCGGGTTCATGTGAGGTGGGCCAGGCTGCTGGAGAGCAGCTGCCTTCGCCTGGTGTCGACTGCCTCGTTGCCCGGGACGCCGACGTGACTGGGACTCATCGCAGGGTGAGTCGTGCGCGGGGCGAGGTAGGAAAGGTGACGGCGAAGTAGGCGGTCAATCTACGTCAAAACGAGGCGAGGGCCCTCAGGCTGTGCCCCGGCCTTGCATGGATATTTCCGACGGCTGGCAGTGCGGCATTGTTTTCGACGAACGCCGAAACTCGATGTACTCCTCTCTTCTGCCGTACCAGCTTCAGGCCCACGGCAAACCGTATATTTTGATCATCGGATGCTATGTGCTCCGTGCCATTTCCAACAGGCGTGCCTTGGGCTTAGACGACCCACCGTCCTGCCTCTTCTCGACGTATTTCTTCCTATGTTTCTCTCTCACGTTCTCCTCCTAGAGACAACGTAAAGAGCCTTCAGGAAGATAATTAAGGCGGCAGATTGATAATATCCCCAGATTATCCTCCTTAGCTTCCCCGCTTGCCTTGTGTGTGCTGCGGGCGGGCGCTGTTTAGGGCATCGCTTCAGGTTCCTTCCCCGCTTGCCTTGTACGTGCTGCGTGCTGTGGGCGCTGATCTGGAGCATCGCTTCAGCCATGCCAATTACGCCCCCAATTTGCTGATGAACAGCGTGTAGACAAATGGGGAGGAAGGAACGCACTTTTGAATTGAAAAGATGTCTTCCTTGTCCACGAACGCTTCGATGGCGTCCGGCATGCACGGCTCGCCCAGCAGTTGCGGCTCCCGCATCGCAGGGTACTCCCTTATGGGTGTTTGCACGCGCACCTTCGAGAGCCCCTCCGCGAAGGAGAACTCCGGCTTGTCAATGCTCGGCTCCGCCTGGTCCGTCATAATTTTCGCGCCGCGTCTCGCCGTCGCCTTCTCCCGGTAATAAACCAAGACGATCCGTGCGTTCGTCAGGCAGCCTTGGAACTCCTGCCTAAGCGCGTTGGCCTTTACATCTGACTCACGCCAGTGGCGTCAACCTATCGGGCGGAGTCTCAGATCGGCGGCCGGTAGCATGCAGGGCATTCCCTCCTATGCAACGCTCATCCATGAGCGCGGTCACTTTCTCACTGACTTCGTTCAATTGCAGAGCAGACATTTATCCCCCCCGATGCTTCGCGCACGAACAGTCAACGTTACTCTCGCTTCTAGAAAGAATTAGTGACAGTCGCCGGTCGTTGTAATTCAGGTTCCCGTCGTCTGTGACCTCAGTGAGAACAGCCTCGTCGAGCACGAAAGGACGCACAGCGCGCACTAAAGTTGGAGTGAGCTCGAACTCATTGCCCTTCATTTCAGCAAGGCAACGTGCCTGCCGCCTGGTCAACAGCTGCCCTCTATCGTGTGAAAATTATAGACGTACTTCTTTATTGATTCGCCGTTTGCAAAAGACGTCGCCACAGACGACCCAGGCCGAGTGATGTGGCACTTCTAGCCAGCTACCCATTCCGGCATGATGTGGCAGCAGTGTGAGTAGCCCCAGGCAGCTAGATCAATACTATTTCTTCAGGTACAGATTGTTATGGGCCATGTGCAATACTGTCTCAAGTTGGTCACCGTTAGACTGTAACGATCTCGAGCCTCGCCTACCGGTTCTGATGCAGGAGAAGGATATGTCGTCTTTATCCGCGGTATGCACTTTCGCGTTTGGTTGCTCCTCAACTCGAAGTGCATATGCCGGTCCTTGATAGTGCCTACGGCGTAGAGGCCAATGCGCGTGTTGCCATTCCGCAAAAGCAAGGAGAAGCAAACACTGTCCTCTCAAAGTGACCGGGGTCCTAGGACCCGATAGACTGGCGAGGACAAACACCATCAGTGGTATAGATTACCTCCAATTGCGATACATCTACGTACATACTCCCACTCTCGAACATCATGGCCGAAAGAAATCGCGCACGTAGCTGTGTGCCGCGCCGATGCATAGCGGTGGCCGTGGCGGGCGCGCCGATCTTGTAGGCGGATCGGCTCATCAAAGTTTATGCGCAGCTGCAGCGGGCCCGTCTTGCGCCGCGCGCCTCGCCCGACGTCAAAATTGTGTCGATAGCCCTCGAGGAAGACCCGCCAGTCTCTCGCGACCGGTAGTTTCATCCGTATGCACACTCGAATACAGGGTTTGTATCGCCTGACACTGCCTGTTTAGTAGTACGGTCCGAACCATACTCACCGGACTGTATGTATACACCGCTTATCTCGATTGTTCCGGACGTAGATGGATATCCGCATGTTTTGTAGAAACGCTGGCTGATTCGGTATGTTGACAGTTCAACGTGCCCGAGCCCAATCTAGTTTTCAAAATTCTAGTAGAAGCGGCTGCCAGCGTGTGCAGACCTCAGGGCCTGGTCGGCATCCGACAAGCGATCGCATGTCGATGTGAATTTGAAGGAAGCACCTACCTCGTCGATAGTAACGCACATGGACTGCGTAGTGCGCAGCCGACAGCTGCATTGTCTGAATGATACTGCAGATTGTACACACGGACAGCCTTCTCGGTATGCGTTCCGCAGCGATTTCGACGAGCGCAGCGGCAGGGTAAGGGGCGCAGCACTTTTTGGGACATAACCCATTCGCCACATCCGTCCTTTGGCTTCCTTTTTCGACTAATCCGTAAGCGACTGCACGGCCACCACGCACAGAGATGCAAATAGTTACGTTAGAACCCTGATCCTCGCAGCAGTATATAAGTCAGGAGGTCGCTAGACAAGCATACCGATACTCTACCTTGACTTCCACCCCTCTCACCAAATCCCACATTAACCACCTAAACGATGACGAAGCTTGACCAACGAGGAGACATTGCGGTAGCGGAGATCGTCGTCTATATACCCATCCTCATTCTCTCGGTCATCCTGGTGATACGGAATGGCTTTACAAGACAAGCTGGCTGGATTTACCTCGTCATCCTCTCCCTCAGTGAGCACGCCTCTTCTCTTGATCAGCACAACGGCCCACTGACGTTCCGACAGTCCGAATAGTAGGGTCCTGCGCCGCCATCGCATCCGAATACAACACGAGCAGCGAGAATCTTGAGATTACAGCGCTCAGTCTGGAATCGGCCGGCGTGTCCCCACTGCTCCTGGCGACGCTCGGCTTCCTTCGCACAATGTACGCCCCCTTTGACCGCCAATGACAGGGCTCACTGACCGTGATCTGCGCGCAGCTGCCAAGATACACTCGACAGGGATCCCCTCATCGCAAAGGGCCTCAAGCTCTTGCCGCTTGCGGGCACGATCGCGCTGATCCTCGCCATCGTGGGCGGCATCAACTCGGGCACTGGCAGCACGCAGTCGTCCATCAACCAAGGCCTGACCTTGCGGCACGTCGGCGACATCATGTTCGCCGTGATCTTCGTCCTGGTCGTCCTGTTGAACGGCCTCTGCTGGGCAAACCGCGGCAGCATCGCCTACAACCGGCGCGTGGTGAGTCGTCTGTGCGCGCAGGCTCGCGTGCATGTGCTTATGACCGCTTGCCATGCAGCTGCTCGCGGGCATCACCGGCGCGCTGCCCTTCGTCTTTGTGCGCGTCCTCTACGCGGTGCTGTCCGGCTTCGCGCCGTCGCTGCGGGGCGTCAACGCGGACGGGCAGGTTGTCTACGTGCCGAGCACGTCGCCGCTCAACACGTTCAACAGCCTCACGGGCAGCTGGGTGGCGTACCTCGTCATGGGCGTCGTGCCGGAGTTCGCGACGATGCTGGTGTACATCACCGTGGGCACGCGGGTCCACTTGGAGCGGGACTCTGCGGACGCCGCGTACATGCTTGGGCGGCCGTCAATACAGTCGGATCGAGAGAGCCAGGAGGCGCTGGCGCGCTTTCAACCGCGCTTTGAGCAGTGAGTTTTATCTTAGAATTTCCGGAGACTTGGTCTGGGACTGACCCGTGGCTCCTAGGCCTCCGAACGCGTACTATGCCAAATAAGCGGCCTCTTCCTTCGGTTAGCGGTCTTCATGTGGGTGGTGGGGTTAATGACTGTCATGATTTCTCGTAATTTAAAAGCAGATGCTTTGATATTGGTATGAGCGTCGAACTGTTATTTTTGTGAGGTATTACTTGCCTCGGTATTGCAAGTCACAGCCGCCATTATCATTAAATTTGTGCGCAATTGCAATTTGAATAATTAGATTCGCACCGTAAACTATGGATGGCCACCATGGGTACACCTGATTGGCCGCCATATACAAGTGTAGGCCATTCGCGCATAGCAATATACACTACCTAAGAATTCAAGGGTTGAAGGAAATGTAACACGTTATGTTTATAGAGAACTATACCCACTGCCACTGCTCCTCACTGCTCGAAACGGCCGTTAAGTACTGGAAAGTGGGAATGCAATAAAAGTCATCAGCAAAGGCAGGATAAAATCAAATAATCCCAAACCAAATTATGGTCATTTATTCAGGATGGAAGCCGAGCAACTGCAAAACTCAGATATCACTGCGTATTTCCCCTCATTTAAGTTGCATGGACAGGATATTTCGTCGCAGACATAACCAGATATATAGCCTTAAAGATTCTAGATCTGGCCGAGCAAATCAACTGGGCTTTTGTCGCTTTGAAGCTGTCGAGTCGAACCCGGTGTTGAACATTTAACGCTTGCGCGTAACTTCGGTGAACAGTTGGTGGCGAACCGCACTGCCTGAGGCCAATTCCAATTCGTGACGTGACAGTCCAAGCAGCAGCTTCTTTCGTGTAATGGCATACTTGTAACGTGGCGGTGCCGGTTCTTCAAAGCCTTATCATCTGGTGTATAAAAAGGCAATGGCGATGAAATTTCAAAAAGTGGCCATCGCAGTTGGGAAACGAGACATACTATGGGGTGTATAGAGTTGCTCAAGGCATAGAGTTGCTCAAACCGCCTTGTACAGCCTTCCACATTTTTATTTTAAATCCTGAGAAATCAGTGAGAGTATATATAGTCCCTATGGATGCCCTTATGGTACCGAAATAGTAAAATCATGAATGTGGAAAGAGTAGCATGCTCGACAAGGCATTTTGACAACAGTGTACACCAATATTGAACTAGATCTCACCTAAATGCGATGAGAATTTCACCCCGGAAGCTGTAGTATTCATTCTCTATTGATATAAATGTCTATCAACAAGCCCGATGATTTAAAGCACTTGAGGTACGATGTAGACAAGCGTGGTGGGTGAGATCGTCTTGCTCCTGTGGCTGAATGTGCCTGTAGTTTAAACTCCGCTCGGCACGTCGCACATGCTGCTGGCGGACGTTGCCGCGTCGGAGTATGAACGTATCGCGGTGACATGCCGTGACGATTTGAGCAACTCTATGCCTATTACACCTCACGGATTCGTGCCGGTACAAGTAACACTCATTGTATTGCATTCAAACTATTTACAGGTGCGAGAAGATCTCAATGCATCTAATGACACAAGAATCATGAAGGAATGTGCAGTGCTTCGTGAACCCGAGACTTGCGAACACGGCCATGAGCAACTCTATAGTAAGGTTCGGGAGCGGGCTGGACAAGCAATACATCAAAGAATGCCGCTTGGATGGCGGGGTCCGCCATTTGCGTGACACGGGCCAAAGACGGAAATGCACCTTTCTATTTGGCGGCAGAATGATGATATACTGATGGCGTCGATCTTCTGCACATATAAACTGTACATATAAATACGAAACCTCCTCTTGAAGATGTCGCTTCATCACTTCCTTCGTTTACCGCAGATGCGCCTCACCGATGAGCCGTGACGTGGTGTGACACGACGCGTGCCGCTGTAGGCGCGTCGAACGCAGAGAGTCACGCTTGCCCGCACCCAGACCCGACGAAGGGGATGCTAATTCGGTTTTCAACATGCCCGTCTCCTCCTCTGCTCTTGCCAACTGGGATGGCAGTCTGTCTTCGCCTGCACGACGTTCTGCGCAGTCATCACATTTCCCATCTTCGCCAGCCTTGCCCGCACCCCCCATCGCACCGCTTCTGAGAGTGGCACACAAGCCCGCGAGTACTGCCTCGAGTTCGTCTGAGCTTGCTCTCGCGATGCCACCACCGTCCAGCTCTTTGTTCTTTTCGAGACACCGCTCGGAGACTAGTTCATCAGAAGAGAAAGACCGCCTGGCGGTAGCCGTGATGCTATCGGCCAATGATTCAGATGAGGCTTCGCCCACTGTGCGTGCACATTTTCGTGATCGAGTGCGTTTTCTCACGTTGTCGTTCGAATACGTTTCCGCTGCAGGACGACGCGCGGGATTCCGCGAATGCGAACGTCGATCACAGTCACAAACCTAATGCGAAGGTGATTGCCTTTCTTCTGCTTCGTACCTGCGTCAATTGATGCATGTCTTTCTAGGAAACCTCTGCGGCCTTCACTGCTCTAGGAATGCCTACTACCCTGCCTTTATTCTTGCCGTCCGATTCCCCGGGGCTGGATGACTTACCCGACCTTCAATATCCCGATGAGGAAGACATCGGCGACCCTGACCTGCAGACGACCGAAGTACCTGCAGAGGTCATAGTTACCACGGTGGGTATAGATTTAGAGGCAACAATCGAAACTTTACTGCTCAACATGCCGGCCACTGCCCCAGGCGCACATACCGTGCGCGCTGACGCTACGGCGGACTCTGTGTGTGCCTTGCGCTCTCCTTGCGCCTGAATGCCCCTTCGCTGACACCGCGTATAGTTTCCAGGAGAAGAGGCTCAAACTCCCGAGCCTGAGATGCACCTCATGGACGTGGACGATGAGGGCGCAACGGAGAATGCCGCAACAGTGAGCTCAACTGTTTGCCATGACTGGGCGTTGCTCACTCTCAGTACAGCGAACGATTGATTTAGCTCGGCCTCTTCAATCACAGATAGAGTCGGATCTGTATCACGCGCGTGATCACATGTCCTCGGCTGCGATCGCAGAGGAGTCCGAGAATAGTGATTTCGATTTCATTGTCGATCGAGTAACAGAGGAGGTGTCCAGGAGCCTAGCGCGCCAGGAAAAGAGAAATGCACCGATGCACCGACAGCAATTGGTATATTAAAACTTGCGTGTTCGAAAGCAAGGACTGATGCGTCAACATCATATGACAGGCTCGTCCATCACATATCGCAGCCATGTCCCCCTGGCTGTCACCATCGCGGCCGGTGAGTGATCTGAATCCGCCCTGATTAGGCTGGAACTTTATTCATCGCTGCTCTAGAACGTGTTTCCAAGCTCAAGCTCAAAGACACCACTGCGATCACCGACTCCGGATATCTCCACCTCCCTTTCTCCCCTGTCTCGGGCCCCCTCTTCATCGCCCATCCCGCAACTCTCTTCCTCCCGCAAACGTCCGAGGCCATATGTCGCTCTGCCTGCGCTCACGCCCGGCGTTTCAAAGGAGTCGTACGTCCCAGCATCGCAGCTGATCGCGTTAAGGGCGCTCGACACACAAAGTGAGGATGCACGACAAGCGCACACCCCCGCAGTGAAAGCGCGCGAGAGCAGATCGCATCGCGAGCATGCCCCGACGCCGGCGCCTATCATGTCCGCACCACCTGTTACACCCCATGTGCAAAGACAGGCAAAACTGCGGGCAGAGGCGCGCTTGTCGCATCTGCATACCGCGACGCGGGGCTGGGCGACGGGAGAGGCCGTTGACGCTGAGGCTGAAGCTGGGCCGAGCTCCCTCTCCCATCTGCAGCTGCTAGAGCGTGCGTCTGGTGTGTCCAAGAATGCACCCGTCGATGTTGTCGCTCCTGCGCTCACGGAGACTCCTCGGATGACGTCGGAGGAACGTCTCTCGCGGTCACAACAGCTGTCGGTGAAACCCAGGCCATCTACCGCCTCCCAGCAGAGCGCGCCAAGAAAGCGGGGTCGGCCGCCAGGGCCCTCCAGGTCAGCCTCTAGGGAAAAGGCGAAGACGATCTCCGCGCCTGGCCAAGACGTAGAGGCACCGTCGCAACTACAGCCACAGCCACAGCCAACAGAGGAATACGGCTTCCACGCGGCCGCTGATGTGCTGGAGCCGCTGCTGTCGACGAGCCTGATAGACGTCGGGGCGGAGGAGCCGCCTGTGCTGCCGGGTACGTTCTGTGTCGCGCTGCGGCATGTCGGTGTGCGGCGGGAAGAGCGGGATGAGGGCTGGTGGCGAGAACGGGTGGAGGCGCATCGACAGGTGTGGGAGGCGGCCAAGAAGGAGCGAATGCAGCAGGAGCAGGAGGCAAGAGTGGAAGTAGAAGCGGGGCAAGACTCGCGCGAGCGGCCGCCGGCCAGGAAAGGGGAGGAGCGGGAGAGAGAGCAGAAGCGGTGGGCGAAGGCGCAAGAGAAGGAGAAGGAGAAGGGGCAGCACGCGCGAGGCGTTGAGGAGAGTCGGGCTGAGTCGAGTCAGGTAGGCGTGCACAGTCCGGTGCGCCCTCGTCCTCGACCACGGTTCAAGGGCAAGGAGCCGCTGCCGCAGACATCGCTGCCGACGCCGACAGTATCCAGGACAGAGTCGCCTTCACGTGCGGCGTGCATTCTCGATGAGAGGGATCCGCGTCAAAACACTGAGCGGTCCATGATGTTATCACCATCGGCGGGAGCCGACAAGGAGGACGGCTCGTCGAGCTCTACTGGTCGTGCACCTTTAAGTAACGCTGCATCGTCGTCGTCGTCGGTTCTTACGGGCGCGGACCTAGGGCTGGTGCAATCTGCGCCGCTACATATCGGTGCGGACTTCAGTACAGGGGTCGATACTGAACGGTACGCAATTCAACCGACTCTTGCGATGCGGCCGAGTGCTCGTCCCGACACCTTTTTGGGCCATTCTATGTCTCGGTCACCGTCACTGTTGTTCGGGCATCCCCAAGCGGAGATGGAGACGAGGTCGGGCCCAGCAGGTGGCGATGCATGGTTTGGTGCCTCATATCCGGGTCAACAGCAAGATCTGCTCCAGCCGTACATGGCGCACGCGGAGGTCAGTGACGAACAGGGGAATATGGATGTGGATGCGGCCGTCGGTTTCGCGCCGGACGCCCCGCAATTTGCGGACCACTTCGACTTTGCGAACGGGACTATCAATCCTTCCCTACTGGGTGGCAGCGTCGCGGCGCACCCTGACGTTGCTACGGGTGTAGAACACGCGGACGAGTCCGATGAGGATCGAGGGCACAATGAGGATTCGTTGACGCCCCTGACGCCCTCTGTTACCCACATTTCTCTCTCGCCGATAGCATCGGCTTCAGCAAAGGGCAAGGGCAAGGGCAAGCAGATTCAAGTTGTCATCGGGGCTTCGCGCCCGCTGAGCACACCCTACGCATCCACTTCTGCCTTGGATGAGGAGATTCCGGAAGTCGATGACGGCCGCGGCGGTGACTACGGGTCTTCGAAACGCGCTAGCAAGGCGAAATCGAAAGTGAAGTCAAAGCCGAAGCCGAAGCCCAGCACAAGCACGCAAGTGAGGAGGCCCGCGCGGGAGAGGGAGGTGATGGCGTTGGTTGTCGACAAGAATATATTCACTGAACCTGTTGAGGTGTCAGGTAAGCGGAAGCGCAAGCTCACCGAGCGCGCCCTTGGCGGACACCCGACGCCGTCACCTTCGCGGACGCCATCGGAGTCCCCGTCGATGGTTATCACTAGTACGGCAGCTTCATCGGTCGTAGAAGATGTTCCGGCACCACCCAAGCGCTTCGGGCCACCTGTGAAGGCTATCAAGAACTCATTCCATGCCCTCGCGGCAGAACCAACGTTTTGCCATCAATGCAGGAGGACCACCCAACACGACAAGATGCGATGTACTGTCATCAAGGAGTCCGGCGATTTATGCGGGAAGAGATTCTGTCGAAACTGCGTAGATAAGAGGTCTGTCGCCATCCTTTTTCTCACTACACGAAGAGGCAGAGCAGTCGCTATGCGTGGACCCGTCCCGCGTGTCTGTGATCCTATTTTCTGTATTGCCTCACGAATTTAATGCTGATTGATATATAACCTCCCACATTTTGGTGGCAATCGCAGGTACCCCGACATTGAATTCGATTCGTATGCTCGCGTCTTCACTTGCCCGAAATGTAGCGATACGTGCAATTGCACCGCATGCTGCGGGCGGCGAGGGGAACAGTATGTTTCGGGACTGATTGGACCTGCTGCCTCAGGGCGCGAACCACCCCTTCGCAGCCGCAAGACTAAGGCCAAAAGTCAACAGGTTCCCCCGTCGCCTCCGCTTTCTCCTTCACTGTCGCCGGATCATGCGGGTTCCCAGGAGCCACTGCCTGCCAATTTTGATCATGCCAACGTTGGTGGCTCATACTGGGGATCGGTGTACACGGTCACCGGAGAGCGCGTAGGCGGCGCCTTCGTGGGTGATGACAACGAGGCAATCGTCGTCAAGAACTCTGACGGGATGCCTACTCTTCGGTCGTATGCGTCTATTCCGAATCCAACATTCGATCCTGATTGGCAACACGAGGCCGCCTCCGGCGGGGCGCAGAGCTCGTCCCCTGAGCTTTCCGACGGCGAAGCGCGTGGTGGTTTATCCATGGCTCAGAAACAGCAACCGTCCCGAGTGCGTCCTCCACCTCGGGAGAGAACATATATTGGGAGTCCGCCCCCTTCTGTGTACAAACTGCGGCATCGTGGTGCTAAGAACCACCCTGAAGCGCGTCCCGGTGCGCGGCTCTTCATTGGGAACTGGCAGGCGAATCAGGAATTCCGCGATGACTGGCAGGATGTGGCTGGATTCGATTCGCGCTCGTCGACACTGTCGCCGCCTCCGGAGTCGGACGTAGAGTCAGGAGCCTCGCCTGCCAAGGGACAACTTTCACAACAGGAGCTTATGTTCCTCTGTGCCCAGGCTCTGCATGAGATGGGTCAAAGCCTCCCGGTGTCGTGATTCCTCGCGTTTCGTGATTGTGGTGCGGAAATGTTCTTGGATAGGATATAGTCCTTATTGATTATTTTACTGATTCTTGTGTAACATTTGTTTTTTCTCACATTGTCGACGTTGAATGTCAGCGATGCGCATTCGCATCTGGTACATCCCATGGGGGTCCCTGTGGACCGAGTTGCCCGACTGGGCACAGGGAGTGGACAATCGATCAAGAAGGCTCGGTGATTCTGCGCAGAAACAATGCAAAGCCTTGGATTTATTACGTACTTGTGAGGAGATCCATCGATGCTATCCGCCATGAGGTCAGGACAATGCAAGAACAGTATATAGGATTCGATTTCTGCGTGCCCCGGTAAGAACGGACCCGATAACAATTCAGGTCAGTGTCCCTTGAGGCTCTGTCCATGCAAAGTTAACGTATCGCTCAGATTCAATTACCGTAACGCAAATGAACATCCCAGAAATCAAACAGGACAACCTAGAAGTGGCGTCTTTTGAAGGTAGCTCTTCAATGTCGTATATGTTGCACCAGCACGAACTTAGTACATATACATCGTGACGTCGTAGGTTGTTGGGAGTTGATGCCCTCGACGTCAGAGCCGGCGTTCTACAATATGCCACCGAGATTCCGCAGAAAGGCTGAGGCACTCTCTGCTGTGTCGACCGCTCAGGCACCGTTCTCCTCGAAGAACGAGGATGACCCTCCAGAACCGTGCATGTCAGGAGGTATGCCTGTCTGCCTGTATGATTTTGGAAAGAGCTCATCCAGAAACACATAGCTCAAGAACGATGCGCGCCGGCCCGGTCTGGAGAGTATACCCGGAGGGCTTCCACGTCCAGCACGCGGACTACGCGCAGTGCGCACAGTCGGTATCGCGGGATGCGCGTATTGCTGAACCAGACACGCTTGGACCGGCTCCGCGGTGTTCAGGCGACCCATCGAACAGTACAGGAGGTCAAGGGCCTGCTTGAGCTACTGCAGGAGGAAGTGCGGCAGCTGCAGGATATGTGCGCGAGACTATTGCCAGACGATGCCCGAGTTGCAAGCGGCAATGAGGCGCGAGCTGATCTAGAGGTCGTGGCATAGGACCGCTTGCTTCATGCCTCTTGTATCCTTACTCTCACTTATATGTCACGGGTCCCTTTGCAGGTGGATGTGTACGATAGGCGCCTTCACGACCTCGTTACGGCAGTATATCATAATGAATATAACTTGTACTTGTTATCACCCATTCGGCATGCTCTCACACTCCCCTAACTGGCTGCTCGGTGGCTGATAGTAACAACAATGCAGACGTAAAAGCTACACGCTGACACAAAGGCTGAATGACTCGCTTTTAGATGTGTGATACCTCCAGTACTTTGGTGGGTATCGCACCTCAGCGATCTCGATTCGCATATCTTACGGAGGTATTCTTTACTTCGTCATAGACACGGCGAAGCTTTTTTCCCTCTTGAGCACGACCGCGAAGGGACGACCGTAGCGCGAAGGCGAGAGGGAAATTCCGAATAAGTATGGCGGGCGGTCAGTCGGATAGACCTGGCTTTGTGCTCACAAGATTTATGAGATGCCATGAGCGCTAAGGCAGTTACCCGAAGAGGCATAAAGGCTGCCTCGTATGGCAAATCGAGATAAGATTAAGCTCCCACATGCCACGATCATGAGCCAGATCGGTTCTTCCCAGATCCACCGTACTGGAGTCAATCTCTTACGACTATATCAACAGCCACTTTGGCACCCCTTGCTCACTCCCCCCCTCCTCCCTCTTATTCTACACCACTACCATGGACCGCGTCGACGCACTCGGCCTCCAGGCTGCCCTCGCCCACGCCCGCAAGAGTTACGCCGAGGGCGGCGTCCCCATCGGCGCGGCGCTCGTCTACCACGGGGACGCGCAGAACCCTGAGCCGCGCGTCCTCGGACAGGGACACAACGAGCGCGTGCAGAGCGCGTCCGCCATTCTCCACGGCGAGACCGCCGCGCTGCAGGACGCGGGGCGGCTGAAGGCAGAGGTGTACAGGAACTCAACCATGGTGCGTGCGGCGCCCCCCGGGGCGTGTGCTATGCATTGTGTTGCCGGAGGCGATTCGCGGCGCGGCTGAGTTCATGGCAGGTTGACTGATGCGACGCGGATCTGTCTAGTTCACTACGTTAAGGTGTGCAGTGTTCTTTCTGGTCCTAGCTGGAGCGAACAAGGGTCTGATCGGGCACCGGGCTGGCCTTTCTTTTCTTTTCGCGCGCGCGAATAGTCCGTGCAGCATGTGTTCGGGCGCGGTCATGCTCTACAAGATCCCGCGCCTGGTCATCGGCGAAAGCGTCAACTTCAAGGGCGACGAAGACCTCCTCCGGAGCCGCGGCGTCGAGGTCATCGTGCTCGACGATGCGGACTGCAAGGAGCTCATGCGCAAGTTCATCGCAGAGAAGCCCGAGGTGTGTGCTCCATTCGACACTACTGTTTCCCGGCGCTTCTTCCTCGGGGACCTCTCGTGGCTGACATCACCGACGCAGGAATGGTATGAAGACATCGGCGAGTTCCCACCGCCCCCGTCGTCTGGCAATGAATAGGACGGGACGGCTGCGACGTATGACGCCGTTCAGGGCGAGGCCCCGGCGTACGATGACGGATTGAACCTTGTGTACTGTACCGAGTTTGCCTGCTTTGCGGTTCCGTGACATACGCCTTGCAGTCACCGTCCAGAATCAACCAACCGCGTGCATACTCACCAAGCGGACACTGGCTCAGCCCCGCCCTGCATTACATCGCAAAGGAACCAGGTTGCAAGTGGTACTGTATAACAGTGTTGTGCGAGTCGTCAAACGATCATGCGACTATCATTTAGTTACTTCGTATAGATTGAGGTACACAAACATAACTTCTCAGAAAGCACTATACACCAAGAATATCGTGATCACGAACGAAATGGCCAGGATGAGGATAACAAGATACACATCATTCGCGGTGTGTGTTGGTACAGGCGCAGGCAGGAACATAGAGGTTGGCATTGCCGCCACATCCTTTGGGGAGGAGCCTGGTGTGGGGTGCGAGGCGGCAGCGTTCACAGAGGAACATACAGTCCATGGGGCGATAGTAGTGGCTTGGCAACGGCAGCAGGAGGGATAAGGCGTAGTACAGAATCATCTCGCTGCGCGCTATGAGACCGAAGCTGTGGCTAAAGTGGAGCTAGGGAATACTTACCGCGCATACCGCGGTACGGGATAGCTTGGGCGGCGGCCTTCATCGTATTGGTGAGACTCTGGATATTCTCGAGTCCAATCAGATAGTACGGGCTGCCCTTCTCCTCGCTCAGCTCCTTCTGACGAAATGCCGTCATGGTCTGCAGCAAAATGTGAGTCTCACGATAGCACACATGCTGGATTGAATTACCGCGGCTATGACCTTCTTGACGACGTTTTCGGGGTAGCCACAAATCATGAGCTCGAAAGCGGGGTATACCCGGGAGGCGTAGCCACAGAGCTCCTGGAAGAACGCAGCATATTCCGACTCTTTTTCAGGCGGGATATGTTGCGGTTTCATGTGGCCAATGCCCGCTAAGATAGGTCAGAACCGCACGTCGGATGATAGCATGTACGAAGCGTACGTACGCAGTATCAACTGCTCGAGCAGCAGCTCCTTGTACAGCCTCGCCTGCTGAATTTCGGCTTCGGTGGGATACCGACCAGCCTCGAGGCCAACATACGGCTTGACCTGATCAGCGGAGGGCACCTTTAGCCGCGCAGGAGCCGGAGCTCCCTCCAGCGTATTCACTACTTGATCTGGGATCATCGGCGGCTGAGACGACTGCGAAGAAGACGTTCCCGGCTGTGAATTGTTCTGCGTCGGGTAGTCAGATGCTGGCTCATCATTCCTGCACTCTATGAGTACTCAGGAACAAAAGAGAGCGGAACACAATTACATATCGCCGGGATCCGAGGGCATTCGGTGTTGCGTGCTCACGTGCCCAGTAGCCATCTCCTTGATGAGATCGAACATCGTGTGCAGATCTTCCTTTAATCGGTCGATCTGGTCCGAATATTGCTCCGCCTTCAGCTGGTGGGTGGGCTCGGGCATCGCGCCGCGCTGTTGATTATGGAGAGCGAGGTCCTGCTCTAGTTGCTTGATATTCGCCGCCCAGACTTGTGCGCGTGAACGTAGCTGGGAGTACTGTTCCTGTTGGGTGCTGGGCTGCGTCTGCGGGATGCCTTGCCGCTGAGGTAGATCGTGTTGTTGCGATTGCGGCTGTTGCTGGTCAAGCTGTGGAATGCCCTGCATTATATTAGGGTAGGCGGAGCAAGAGATGAGGAAACGGTTCAAAAGGCGCGATGAACAGGATGGGGCTGGGTGAAGGCAAACGAGACAAGGAAAACAACGCACCTGCTGGTCCTGAGCGACGCTTGTACTACTGGACATTGCACCACCAGCCTGATTCTTCTGGTCCTCGCCATCGGTGGGCTGTACACTGAATCCGTTCATCTGGCTATCGAGCTCCACTATCTAGAGGTCAGGACAATCGCCGTTAGCATCTATGCATGAACAACAAAGGCCACTATCGATTGGTGCGTGTGATGAATTAGGCAGCTGGATGTGGATTGGGTCTGATACATGACGAGGCGGAAGATGCCTCGAGAAAGCACAAGTGCAATGCAGACTGTTACTTTGTGGAAGATGACAATACATGCAAATATGACGTAGAGTAAAAGACAAAGTGCGTGGTGAGATCACTGAGGTCAAAAAAGGACGAACGAGGAGACAGCTCCCATGCTGATTGTGGGGATATACTAGGACTAGCCATCGTGCCACTCACCTGATCTTCAATTTGATGCTGAAACGTCTCATACGGCACGACGTTCTGCTGTTGCGATGGTAGGGGCATGGGGGACTGGTCAGAGGATCCATGGAGGCTCTGCACGTTCAAATCCATGCTGATCTGCGAATCGGGCACATTCAACAGCTGAGGCTCAGTGTCGCTCTGGGCGCCGTCGAGGGCTCCATTGTCCTGTTTGTGGAGATAATCAGCCATATTTGTGGAAATGGGCTGTTAGACTCGGTAATGCGACGAAGGCAGAAGGCGGCTTCAAGAAGAGTGGAGACAGTGAGCGTTCAGAGTCAGTGGGGAGGTGCGAACAAAGGAACAAAGGACTTCATAATTGGGGACGTGATTACCAGCCTATATACAGCATATGAGATATCTGTAGATTCCGCACACCTTCCAGATGGTATATAGTCTGGTTCAGTTTGGGGGTCGAGACGCGATTTCGGAGTTACGTCAGCGGTTTCATCTCCGAAACGCGTCGTCGCGATCTATACATAACGCGGACACGTCGCGCTGAAAGCCTCAGTGTGGCAATTCCCGCACCATGTACTGCAGCCGGGTAGGTAGCCATCGTAGATTAATGGAAGGCTAGGAGCAGCCAGTGAAGGAGTTGCGCGAATTTCAAGACTAGCAGTCGAGTGGTGGGGATTCCGAATTTGAGAACGCCGGCTCTGATTCAGAACTGGGGGATACACAAAATGCATCTGCTCACTAGCAATACATAATTATGTTTTCTTTCCACTCTCCTTGAGTGATGTTGAGAGCCGTAGCAGCGAAGAGAGCCTCAAAGAGGCGTTGCTGGCACCAGAGGAGCGGTAGGACTGATGGGATCGTCCCGGCCAACATTCGGCATAGCTCGGCCATCAACCGGCAAGTGATAGCACGCTCGAAATGCTGCCGGGGGCGCGTATTGAAGCAGACATTCAAAGCGACCATCCTCCGACCATCAAAAAGAGTGCTCTATTGTAGGCCGCCCAGGGGAGACTAGTAATGTAAAAACCCTTCGAGTTAAATCTCAACACAGCGTAGGTACATGTAGAGTGCATCCAAGCCGGCAGCGGCTCCTAATAATGGGCTCCACGCCTGCCTCCGGACCCGCACAGCGAAATGCGGGTCGCACGGCGTCCTCGCCCTACAGGCTTCAGGCAGACTAAGTGCCCCTCGCCGACGGCGCGGGGGGCGGTCCTCGCGCGGCAGACGCCGCGTTGGTGGTGCGACAACGAGGCAAACGAAAAGAAGGGGGAGCCGGCGACCGACGTTCTCCAAGGACCCCGCATCACAATACTGGGCGACCGGCGGCTTGAGGTGAGGCAGAGGATGGCGGGGGACCATGAGCCAGATCGCGCTGCTCCCACAAGATGAGGAGATTCGCAGCGCGTGTTTCCACGTCGTACCACTCAGTGAAATTGGCGAAGTCCTCGCTCAGACAAAGTGAACGCGGACCTTGTTCCGGTCCTGGTGGAAACGCTGCCACCGGGTTGTACATTCATTCGCTGAGCATGTGAAACACCCTCCATAGCCGATCACGCGGTCGCGCCCTTCGCCTCCGCCAACAGGTTGGCGATATCGACGAACGACTCGACGTACACGTCGACCTCCCCGCCCGAGCTATTAGATTTTACGTCGTTCGGCGCGTTGTGCTCGCGCGGTTGATGCACGAACATGGTCTTCATCCCGTGGGTCGCCGAGGCACGCCGGTCGTGGATATGCGCGGCGACCATCGCACACTGGTGCGGCTCAAGGTTGAGGTGGGTCAGCGCGCTGAGGTATATCTTCGAGTTCCTGCGCGCGCAGTCAGCCATAGGCTAACGCATGAGGAGGGGACGCGAAACGGGAAGGAGGAGCGGGCGGACGACATTATTGACGGTTTGTACGACCCCATATCCAGTATACAAGAGGTAAGACCTTTACTCGTGCCCTTGTACATTATAAAGTCAATCTGAGCCGTGTTAGGACTCGCCGTAGTTGCAAGTCAACTGCTCACGCAGTCCCCGGAGGAAGGTGCCTTCTGCATCTTTGTTTCGCTGATGGACTCCCACCTCCGGCCCTACTACTCGCGAAGCAACGTACAACTAGATGTCGATGCTTCCCTCTTTTTGAAAGCGTTGAGAGTCGATGACCCTGCTGTATCGAGAAGGATCTGCATTAACATGGCTATCCAACCCATCGCTATCTGTAAACCCTGGTACGTCTGCTTCTATTTTGAGTAGTCATTGCCTAATGGTCATGTCTCTATGCTATGTGTTCACTGGCTCCTTGACATGAGACTACCTCCTCCGCATCTGGGATGTGTTTTTGTTTGAGGGTAGGCTGCCCTTGGGCTATTCTAACGCGAGATATCAACAAGAAGTTGCTGTATGTGAGACCATTCTGTTCCGCGTCGGTCGGGCTATTGCAATCTATTGCCGCCAACTTCTGCTTCGATAAAATGTTCAAGATGCGCTGTTGAAGATTGTGGCCCATTGATGGAAGCGTCGTGGCTGAACAGCGGAGATGCCGAGATAATGATCCACAACACTTCGATTTGTATATACAGTGAACAAGAGGTAAGTGCTCGCATCCTTGATAATGGATAAGCCTTTGTGAGTCACGCTTATACCTCGTGCAGTTTGAGGTCGAGAAATATAACTTTTCAGAAAGCACTATGTACCAAAAGTATCGGGATTGCGAATGAAATGGTCAGGGTGGAGATAGCATGATACACACCATTCCCGGTGTGTGTTGGTACAGGCGCAGACAGGATCATCTAAGTTCTCACTATAGGATGCGCCGATAATGCTGAGCCTGATGGATTGCGAGGCTGCAGCCTTCCCAAAGAAACGTACGGCAAGCAAAGTGGCAGTAGTGGCTTGGGAATAGCAACAGGAAATTGGGCGTGGTACAGATTCATCTTACTGCGCGCTATGATTCCGAGGCTGTGGCTAAAGTGGATCCAGGGGAGACCTGCCGTGCATACCACCGTACGGAATAGCTTCGGCGGCGGTCTTCACCGTCTTCATGATTCGCCGGATATCCGAAAGTGCAATTAAATAGTGCGGGCTACCCTTCTGCTCGCTCAGCTCCTTCTGACGAAGTGCAGTCATGGTCTGCAACAAGATGTGAGTATTACAGTAGCACATATGTTTGATTGGATTACCGCGGACATGACCTCCATGACCACACTGTCTTCGTCGGCACAAATTATCAGCGCGAAAGCAGGGTATACCTGGTAGGCGTAGCCACAGAGCTCCTGGAAGATCACAGCATAACTCGGCTCTTGTCCAGGCGGAATAAGTTGCGGTGTCATTTTATCTATACCCGCTGAGATAGGTCAGTACCGCACGTAGGATGGTAGCATGTACGAAGCGGACGTACGTAGTATGGTCTGCGCGAGCAGCAATTTCTTGTACTCATTTGCTTTACGAATATCGGCTTCGGTAGGATACCGGCCAGCCTGGCGGCCAACGTACGGCTTGATCTGCTCAGCGGAGCGCATCTTTAGCCGATCAGAAGCCGGAGCACGCTTCAACGTACTCACTATTGAATCTGGTATCCACACCCACTGAATTGGCTGTGAGGAAGATGGTCCCTGCTGTGGAATGCTCTGTGCGGGGCGGGGCGACGCTGAGCCACTATCCCTGCCACTTGTCACTGCTACAGGACGGAAGAGAGTGGACGGATCTGGAGTCATCAGCAGCTGAGATGACTGTGAAGAAGATGGTCCCTGCTGTGGATTGTTCTGTGGGGGGCGGGGCGACGCTGACGCACCATTCCTGCAACCTGTCAGTGCTAGAGAATGGAAAAGAGTGGAGCGCATTTACGTGTCGCCTGTAGCTGAGACCGTTCCTTGCTGCGGCTTCTTAGCCATTGCCTTGATGAGAAGAAATATCTTGTGCAACTCGTCTCTCAGTAGATCGATCTGGTCCTTGAATTGCTTCGCTATCAGCTGGTGGGTGCCCTCGGGCATCGTGGCACACCGTTGATTATGGAGAGCAAGGTCCACCTCTAGTTTCTTGACCTGCGTCGTCAAGTCTAGTGCGCGTGAACGTAGCCACGTGTACCGTTCCTGTTCGATTCGTTCCTGCTCGATTTGGGCCTGCGTCTTCGGAATATCTTGCTGCTGAGGTAAATCCTGTTGTGGCGGCTGCGGCTGTTGCTGGCCAAGCTGTGGCACGCCCTGCATCATGTTCATCTAGCGACGGGTGGAGCAAAAAATGAGGAAACGGTCTGAAAAGCGCGATGAAGAGGATAGAGGACGGGGATGGGGTGAAGGCAAGCGAGACAAAGGAAAACAGCGCACCTGCTGGTTCTGAGCGACGCTGTTACGACGGGACATTGCACCACCAGCCTGATTCTTCTGGCCTTCTGTTGTAGTAGATAGTCGCTCAGCAGGTGAGCGGAGAGAGAGGATGCCATTCAGAGTACCAGAGCAGCGTGTATATATACACGAGCGGGAATCGAACCGTCCGTTTGAGAAACGCGTGCGTGTGTGGCGTGCGTGGCGCGCGAGTGCCCTCAAAGCGCTCGCATTGCCACGGCGATCCTGTCAAAAGCACCGGTGGCGGCGAGGGCGGCTCCCTCAAGCGTGTACTGCAACACCCACCCTCAACCCTGAGCCACCAGGAAACGAGCCTCCTGTTTTCGCAGAACGCCGAGTTGTGTGGTGAGGCATTGGTAGCGATCTCTCGCACGATCCCGTCAAAGCCATTGTCTCCTGGCCACTACGCGTTGAAGGCGCTCCGCGCCGGCACGCGATCTACACCTCCTTGTCGCAACGGCCTCATTTCCCGGCTCTTTGTCCTTGCTTAGCGCTACTCGCGGTTTCTTTCCTTCCCACCCCCCTGGCACAAGCTCAGCAGCAGCGCGCGAAGCCAGATGGCGGGGCGTGCTGCGTATGAGATGGCCGTGTACGCGGCCTCCACAGTCGACAGCGCGCCTGCAGTGTTCCCCTTTGTGCGCCGCGCCACGAGCCCGTTGTCAACAAGAACAGCACACCCCGTTGAAATAGACCGCCTGTCGCCCGGGGTTGCGCCCCAGTTGCTGTTCAAGACGCTGGTCAAGCACGCTGGCCACGCGGATCCTGTCTCGGCCCTACAGCCCTGCAGAACTTTGCACGGGAACTAGATCGCAAGCGATATTATACATTTATCATTCGCCGAGCCTCCATGGCCGATCACTGATTCACGCGGGCGCGCCCTTCGCCTCCGCCAACAGGTTAGCGATCTCGACGAAGGACTCGACGTACACGTCGACCTCGCCGCCCTCGCTCTTGGGGCGTATGTCGTCCGGCGCGTTTGGCTCGCGCGGGCGGCGCACGAACACGGCCTTCATGCCGTGGGTCGCGGCCGCGCGCAGGTCGTAGATGTGCGCGGCGACCATGGCGCACTGGTGCGGCTGCAGGTTGAGGTGGGTCAGCGCGCCGAGGTACATCTTCGGGTTCCTGCGCGCGGGGTCAGCCGTGGGTTAACGCGTGAGGGTCCAGGGGAACGTGAAAGGGGGGCGCGGAAGATAGTACTGACGGTTTGTACGACCCCAGCAGCTCGGACGAGAAGAGGACGTCCCACGGGAGCTCCGCGTACTTTGCCTGCACCCGCCGCACGCGATGAGCACACGTCGAGCGGGGCGGACACAAACGCATGAGCGCACCATATCGACGAGCGTGCGGATGCTCCCGTTCGAGAGCGTCCCGATGATCGCGTGCTTCTTCATGCCGTACAGACCCTCAACCGTGTCCGGCCAGCCTGCAGCACCCGCGCAGCGCTCAGCCATCTTGTGTCTAAACGCGCGCGCGCGCAGGGGAGACGGGAGGCGCACCGGGGACGCGGTGCCAGAAGAGCACGAGCTCGTGCCGCGCGCTCTCGTCGAGATGCGGCGCGACGTGCTCCCAGCGTGGGGACGCGAGCATCTTATCAAGGATCTGCGGGCACGATGCGATGCGCGGGTTTACCAGCAGCATGAGAACTTAAAGCGGTGGCGGCTCACCCCGCGGTGCATGACATCGACGTTGATCGAGCCCGCACCTCCAGCAGCGATAGAGAACCTGAGGAGGAAACATATCTGAACACGAGTACAGCCGGCAACATAGGGTGCAGGGGAGGATCGTACGTCTGCTGGTAGTAGTTCTCCCTCCACTCGGCGGTGAAGCTGTCCCAGTCTGCTCCGGCCGCAGGATCAGCGTGCCATATCAGACGTGCGCGACAGGACAATCATGTGCGCCCACCTTCGTCGAGCTTCCCGTCGAAGAACGCGCGGAGGTGCTCCGCGACGCCCTTGCGCCAGTCCACGACCGTCCCCCAGACGTCGAACACGAACGCCTCGACGCCCTTGAGTGGATTCTCAGCATCAGCCGCAGAGACCGCCGACATCGTGTGTGTGTGCGTGAGTATGCGCGTGGCTCAGGCCCCACGCAGGGACCTACTTAAGGCGGCGATCCCGACTTCTATTGCGTCACGGGCTGCACGGGCGTGGTGCGCTGCCCTTCGGTCCGCTCGGACACTCCCCGAGGTTCCAGTGCCAGTTCCATGCGCCCGAGCTCGCATCGTAGTAAACACTGAGCATATTAGATGGTGCTCGGCCACGATGGAGCCGTGTCTGAGTCATGCTGGCGGGTGTGTTTTCCACCGATGGCCGAACACGAAGGGGGACGGCGGGAATAAGATGCTTCCTGAGACATCGTCAGCTTGCAAAGTCAGACAGAGGCTTTGAAGGCTGGCCCGAGTTCCTCGGCCGTTCTGCCGCAGGGTGAACGTCAAGTCGGACCTATGATGGCGCTCAGGCGGGGCTGCGAGGATCGAGTATGTTTAGTAGTGGACATACCGTCCGATGGTACACCGATGAGGGCTCTCACGATGCACAAAATCCAAAGCTACTCTCCTTCTCTTCTATTTTGGATCACGGTATGCCCACGATGCCCACGATGTATGCATAGTTCGGCGAACTCTCGTGTCAAACAGTATTATAGTGCAAAAAGCGGTGACAAAATATGATCTAATCTGGATACACTGAGCGGGAGTCGAACCCGCGCCGCTTGCTGAATCAAAGATTGGAAGGCAAGCATGATACCGTTTCACCATCAGTGTGTTGCAACAAAGTCAGCTGTGTTGATCAATAGCCCATGGCTTCAGGCCTGCGAATATGGACAGCTTCTGGAACCAAGGGGTAGGCGCTCCGTTGATTTCTGATATCAACTCTAGTGGTAGTGGTGGTACAATCGGTGACCGGGGTCCCCAGATTCACCAACTCGCTCGATTTCCGTAAACAACGTTCTGCAAGCGCAAATCCTCGAATTGAGCTTCTGGAAATTTGTAGTGTCATATACCAAACATAAATTTGGTCCCTGCGCACCTGAAATGTCGGGTCGACAGACAAGGCTTCGTGGGTGAAGAATACCAAGTGCAGCGCTTGGGCGCTTGTCGCGTTGATAGCGCCCATCTCGTCCTGAGCGTCCTGAGCCCATTCCATCTTGCAATCTAATCAGATCTGTCACTTCACACTTTCAGAAGTACTAGTACTATATATACTATATATACCGCGAAATCTGTGACTTAAGCATGGATTATGTATTTTTGAATAGTAATGGATGATTCGCTGTTTGACTTAATGCAAGTTATCTGCCAGATTCAATAGTATACTGCAAGCCTTTCTCGACCACTGTACATGTTGTTCCCGCAGTGAATTGCAATGAGATCCGCCTTCTCTGATATCCCAGTCAGTGACACTATCGAGGTCCACGATGGCTGCAAGCGAGCAGCCTCAAACTCAATAGGGGAACCAATGTCCAAGTTGGCGAGGCGGAATACGATACTCAGATCATCAGTTTACTGCAGAGTGGACCATCTAATCAGAGATAAGGAGGAGGCCCCACCCAATCGGGGTCCAGCGCTAAACCAAGAGTTGGGGTCAGAGCGCCTACCCCTTGTCTGGAACTGACATCGTCGTTGCGGATCGCCGGTGTGCGCAAACCAGCTCAATTATCCGACGCAAGGAGACGACGAAAGCAGACCCCATATCCTGCGACGCTCCTGCAACCATCCGAGAACGAACCACAGACCGGGCTCATTGCGCAGAACACGACGCACCGCACATGACACGCGACGGGACCAAAGGGAAGACGCGCATTACCGGCAAGCGCACGAATGCCTTCTATCATAAGCTGGTGCCTGCAGCCGGCGCTGCATCCTGCCGATCTGACCGCGAAGTGTGGGATCGGTATCGGCGGCGAGGGATTTACGTGTATGTTCCTGGTGACGAAGAACGTAAACGTCAACCCGTGGGGGGATAGCATGGAGCGCGAAAGCGGGTTTGAGGACGGTTGTGTGTGTGGAGTGATCGCGCGCCGATCCTCTGATATTGCATTCAATCTACTGCCGTGCGCCTGCTTAATTTGAGCACAAGCCAGCGCGAGCCCATTGTGCGGGCCGACCCAGGCGTCTGCATCAGCCATCTCCGCCAGTGTGATCCTACTGTCAGCGAGATCACGAACACAAACCCATGCCCAGATTCAGAATCCGCTCTACCCTGAGACGTTCGGCCCCCATCGTGTCGTCCTATCGCTCTTCTCTCGCTCTGCCTCCACCATGTCCCCCCCGCACCCTCCGCCAGACAATGGCGCGAGGTCCGCCGGTGCGGGCGTGACGCATGTCCCAGGCGCAGAGGAGCATTTCCAGCGAAGCGCGAGCGCGCACAAGCGCAAGGCTAGCCAGTCGGAGGTCGGAGCACACCCGGTGAGTCGTTTGCCCGCTGATGCCTCGCACGGCACTACGAACAGCCCTGACGCTCTCATCGCAAGACCCCAGAGCCGTCGTGGCCTTACCTAAGCACATCGCACCCGCTCGATACTCATCATCGTCCACCCGAGAAGCGACCGCGCACAAAGACGCCTCCGTGGCTGAGCCGTGGCAAGTACACGTCGCCGCAGTCATCCGTATCCGCACCTGCACGACAGCATGTCCCCGAGGCCAGCACAGCTCTCTCCACGTCCGTTCAGCCACCTCCGCCGCGGAACGATTGCACCCTACGCCCAGTGCCACCATCTTCATCCACTCATTCTACATCAACCTCCCCGGTCACCGGTCATCACAACGCCACCCAATCCGGTGCGCCGACGTTATCTCCCACTGCGACCGTGCTCGCAGACCAGCCCTGCGCTCAACCTTCAGGTGATCCGCCTCGCGTCTCGGCGCACGCGCCCGGTCGCCCCGATGTCCCACCGCACCCCCGCCAGCATACTCACCCTTCCCCGCATGCATCGCGCAGACTCAGTGACGAGGCCTCCCGGACTTCGATTCCGTCACACGCGCAGGTGCAGCCTCCTGGCGGGCAGCCGCCACAGTACCGATCTCATCATTCTGCGCCACGAAACCCATCTTTGGCGCTTGACCGTCCTTACTCGCACGTGCCGCCGCCGCTCAATGCGCATCATGCCCCGCCTCCTCACACCCGACAAAGCCCAGTGGCCCCTACACCAAGCACCTCTGTCGTGCAGGAATACACGTTCGTCCGAGCCGACGCACCCGCTGCAGATGGGCAGTCGCGCCAAGCAGGGCACCGCCGCCCGAGTCGCGATTCCGGCCAGATGCGTGGCCAGCTCACCCCGGGCAGCGCAGCCGACGTCGGAAATACAAACACAAGCATAAGCTATGCGCCATGGGGCCACGCTGGCAACCCGATACCACAGCCCGCCGCACACTCCCCGACGGCATCGTCATCGCTTGCATCCTCTCAGCAACAACTGGCACCGAATGGGCCAGGCTCGTCCCCGTCCTACGAATCACCTACGCAGAACGAATACTTCCCCGCCACTCAGGCCCATGCCGCTCCCAGACCCGGTCCCGGCGCAAACACCACCGACAAGCCTCCGTCCGCGCCCGCAAGTCACCAGCGCCGGCCGCCTCTTCAGTATCCTTACTCAGGTCTTGTGAGCATCGTGCCCTCGCAAGATGCGGCACCAGGACTCCGGACGGCAGCTCCCGTGCACTCACTTCCGCCCGGCTACACCGTGCCCCAAGCCTCTCAGCAGCCTTTGACCTCTGCGTCGCTTCCCATCGCCTCCGCAGCGCAAAACTCTCCTCCGCAACCAAACGTAGGACCCCCCAAAGCCACATCTGCAACTGCAACTGCACCCCCCACACCTACCGCACCTCCCTTATCTCCCACGGCCCCCACTGCCGCTACTGCGAACCCTGCGCCCGGCTCCCCCGAGGGCACCGTGCGCATGGCCTTCGTGCGCCGCCTGCGCGAGTACGAGGCGCGCATCGTCGCGGCGCACGACGCTATCGCGCAGATCCGCGAGCGCGGCAGCAGGTGGGAGCAGCAGGCGCGCGCATGGTATACGCGCGCGGAGGCGGCGCAGGCGCACGCGCAGGAGGCGGAGACGCGCGCGCAGAAGGCGGACGCGCATGCACAGAAGGCGGATGCGCACGCGAAGGAGGTGGACGCGCGCGCGCGCGAGGCGCTCCGGGAGCTGCTCGGGAAGGCGGAGCGGGCGCAGGGGGAGATGGCGGGGCTGCGGAAGGCCCTAGCAGACGCGGAGCAGCGCGCGGGCGCGGGCGCCGCGCAGGTGGAGGACGCGCGGACGGAGAGCACGGAGCTGCGGCGCATTGTGAGCGAGCACGATGCGGCGCGGCGGCAGGCCGAGGAGGTGTTGGCCAGCGTGAAGCAGCAGCTGGCAAAGGTAGAGCGGGATAGGCAGATGCTGGAGGTGTGCGCTCCTGGTTGTGCGACTTGCTGGGTTTCTGTGCAGCTGATACAGTGTGTAGGGGCAACATCGCGAGGTCGAGAACGCGCTTGTTTCTCGCCTCGCTACTATCGAGGCCGACATGCAGAATCTCAAATTGCAGTACGAGAGCGAGCTGAGGGCGGCTCGAGCGCAGATCGCCGACGCTGAGATGGCGCGTACGCAGTTGCAATGCGACCTCTCGTGCACGCAGCTTGAGCTGCAAACCAAGGACGTGCACCTCGAGTTCGAAAAGGTGGGTGTCCTGCCCGCGCAGCCCGAGCCGTGCTCAAATCAGATCAGGAGCGCTGTGAGGCGCAGCTCGCGCATATCGCGGAGCTCGAAGCGGGGTATATGCACCAGCACGACGAGGCGGAGGCCCGCGTCAGGCAACTGGATGAGGTTGCCGCCGAGGCGATCCGCATGCACGATGAGGCGGATACGCGTGCGCTGGAGGCCGAGGCATTGCGCACGGAGCTGACGCGCGTAGAGGCTGGGATCAATGTGCGTGTCGTGGTCTGTAGCCCGATGGTGGGACTGATGGCGGCTTGTATGGTCCACAGGACCGCGAGGCAGAGCTGAGGAGAGCACTTGCTGCGCGTGAGGCAGAGGCCGCGGAAGCAGAGGCGAGAGAACGTAAACTGGAGGCAAGGGTTGGCGAAATGAACGCTGAGATAGAACGGCTGAACAAGGATGCTGAGAGCGCACGGGGTGAGGCGCGGATGCTTGCCGATCAGGTGCGCGGTATACTTCGTAATTCTTTAAGATACGATGGCCATCTGAGCACGGCAATGGTGCATTTGCAGTTGCAGTTGCAGTTACAGTCGCAGGATGCACAGAAACATGTCGACATGGATACTTCAGAAGCCACAGAAGAACCCGATCAGCGATCGGACGCCATGATGAAGAACCTCAGCCGTTATTATGACTTGTCATCTCCGTGGGCTCCGAGAGAACAGCCGGGTAGTATTTACGTAGAACGCTCGACCGACGATATTATTGAGCTGTGTGAAGTCAACAATTCTATTCAGTCCCCGACTGAAGCCGAGGAGACTGGAGCCGGTGAGACTGAAGCGGAGCAAAGTGTAGTTGCCGTAAGTACGCGCACGTATATTTCTGCGCTTGAATTGATTATTGCGCAGGAATCGGGGGATCAGCCACACGAGACGTCACGAAAAGCCGAACAGGACGATGAGGATGACCCTGACATACCGTTGAAGCTTCTGCGACGGAGTAGACGAGCAAAACGTACCGTTGAATCAGAGGTAGATGCTAATATCTGGCAGCAGTCCACTCCCGAGGACTTCACTCCGCCGGGGAACACAATATCGCAAGGGACCCGTCCCTCTATTCGTGACGATGCTGCCATCGCCCCCACATATACGGATGATGATGACCGTTGTCCTACCGCACCTACAACAGACGCCAAACAGGGGATATTAGTGGACGGTACGAATGGGAAGAAGCTTTCGAAACGTGCCAAGAAGCATAAACGACACAATTGGCTGTTCGTCGATGTACCTCCGCTTGATGGCCCGCGTGATGTTACTCCAACAACTGATGGAGTCTCAGAAGCACCTCCGCAGAAGAAGCATAGGCGTAAGCTGACGCTAAAATTCGATGGACAAGCCGTTGTGCGTACCTGACGGGATGCCTGACGCGGCCAGTTTGTGCATGTATGGACGTAAAGTAGGTGCATGTTGTATGCCGTCATGTAAGTGTATTTTCATTGTACTCGTAAGTATGGCTCCACGGACATCCTCGTACTACCTGTATAACCCCAACTGCATGCGCGCGGCGTTGTTTGTAGTATTGTATGTGTGAAGCTCTTGATGTCAAGGCTTGCATGCAGGGATAGTGCGTTTATCTCTTGCGCGTCCGATATGTCGAATCTCATGTGAATGATGCTGTCCCCCTGCTACCTGTTGTGGGAGGATTGTACGAAGTGTCGTTCGAAGATGGTCGAAGGGTAGTGGAGACCTGTGGACCAGCTAGAATAACACAAGAAAATGAAATGCCCGCGCTGATCCGACTGTATGCGTATGAAATAGTCAATAATACGCGCGATACGCGAGCTCGTGATGTTCGAAACGAATGCGTAGTATCGACGGACGCTCACCAAGTACGTGCGACGCTCGGGTCGCTCGTCTGCACAAGAGAGTGAGATGATGGTAGTGGTTCGAGGGAGAAAGGGAAGGTGCATCTCTCGGTGTCGACGCCAGTGTATATACGTGCAGGACAACCGAAGCAGGATGATGTCACAACAAACTTAGGAGGAGGAGAATGACGTAGAAGAGAATGAAGGTTCAAAGCCTGTCCGATCGATCGAGACACATCCTAATCTGGCAAACCGCTATCCGAATACGGATGGGGGCCCCGTCTTGGGCATAGGCAAGCTAGACTCGACGGTTTCGCGACTAGCAATAGCTCGGCTTTTCAAAGGTGTCGCTCCCGACGAATCATATTCACGTGCGCTGCCTGCCGTCCTCAGGAGCGTAACGACGCCGGCAGCCCACACCAGCCGCTTCATCGCCCTTCGAGGCCGTCTTCGAAATTCGGCACATGCTGGAGTCTCTCCGACAGGGACGGCGTATCATTGCTTCATACTAGTAGTAGGCGAGCGGTGACACAGGAAGTCAATGACAGAATACTTGAGCGCAGACTGGGTTCTGACGCAGAACACAAACACAAACACAGACATAAAGCACTATTAGGGCAACCTTGCGGCGATGTACCTTGAGCTGATATCGGTGCGAATTGCATCGAAGGTAAATAGCAAATAAAGTTGGTTTGCTGAGTGTTGCCATGACTTGTCTTGAGATACATGCGAGCGATTTTTGCCATGAAACCAGATAATTTCTTCCTAAGTAACCCAAGCAACAGAAAATACGAACAGGCCGTGCATTTAGCACCTGCTAGCCCTAAATTCGCGCCAACCTACAGCCCACCAGCAGATGTGACATTCCTACATAGCAATAGTCTCCGGTAGTTTTTCGAAGCACCAGGGGAAGATGGAATCCTTATGCGCAGTGATGTCGCTGCCCTCAAAGCACGGCAAATAGCAGGCAAACAAGAGGGAAGAGGGATCGAGATACCCGAAGTGAGATTGCGCCGCCTTTCTGGCTCCCTGGCGAGACGCTCGTGCCTCCGGGTGCGCTTGCGGAAGAAGTGGGTGTGACCTCCGAGCTGTCCAATGCCTTCTACTCATCCAGCGCTGCATGAACATCCATTCACCGCCAGCTTTGATCACAACGTACCTGATAAGCATCGAACGTCTTGCTATACAGGGAAACCCCGGCTTGATCCTGGAATAAGTCGAAGAAGTTCCCCTCCACATTCGCGGAGACGTCGACCCCGCCGAGCACATCGAGACAGCCCTTCGATGTTTTGTTCGCTGGGTTGCCGCAGCCGGAGATTGATTCGGTGCCCAACGACAGCTCAAGCGTCGCGAACGTCTCCATGTCAAAGTTTATTGCGCTTTCGACCTTGTCACCTAAGGCAGTCAGTCCGAACAGGAGCTAGCATGTCAATGAGCCAGCGTATAGGTGCGTGAAGAAAGGTGTAACTTACGCTCGGCACCAGCTTCACCGTAACGGAAGCGTTCGTCGACGCCTCTACGGCAGATATATTGACAACTTATGGCAAAGATATGCATCAGAAGTCATGTAAGTCTATCGGAGATTATGCGCACTGGGGATAGCGCTCCCGAACTCCCCGCTGGAGGTATGGTTGGGAGGCGCATTGAAGTAGAACATAGCTTTATCGAAGGTGTAGTTCAACCCTACGGCCGCACTGAAGTCGACGTCGAGGACGGCGATTGCTTCTGTAGAAACTTGGATAGAGGGTCCAAGGGTGAGGATACTGGCCCAACACGTTAGCTCCACTCTACCATAAGCGGCTAGGCGGACAGTTTACTCAGGAACTTCAAGTCCTGCGAGGCCAACATCAAGCAACAAGACTGAGCCAGTAGAGAACGTAGCCTGATACAGAGCAAGGTCAGACCTGAAGGTCGGCACATGAAGATCGACGGCAAGAGGGTTCGTGGTTACGTACCTCGGCGGAGGCATTGACGAGCATTGCCCCGTCCAGGTATCCATCAAGACCTGCACGAGATCAGCGTCAGTTCATGCACATGCACGACATAAGACATAACGCACCCGCGTACATAGAAAAGTCAGTGACATTAGGCGGGATAATTGTGCCATTGAGCTCGACGCCGAACAATGCCGTGACGTTCGCTTGCACGCTGACACCAAGTGATATGTCGCAGTCCACTGTGGCACCCTTTATATTAGGCGAGATGCACGTCAGAGTCTCATTAAATAGGCTGCCGTGTTCGTCTAATGTCAAATAAGGAGTGTTGGTCCCGAACTCTGCACCTTTGGTGAGACAGTGTCAATCTTTGTGGACTATGTCGTCTCAGAGACGCACGTTCACTTATGTCCCGCGCGCTCACGCCGGCGGAGGGGCCGCCAGCATACGATGCGCTTATGTACACGGCAACGCTTCCCTTCCTAACACACGACTGTAGGTGAGTGAATATAGTGAGCGCGCGCTGTACCCACTCCTGCGGGTCTACAGCGCTGAAATCCGTATCCACGGTCAAGCCCAGGACTGTCGGCGTACCATCCCTAGGGAACATCCTGCGTAAAGCTGAGGACGAGGAGATTGTCTGGTTTTCATGGTCCCAAACATCTACCACGCGGGCAAACGGCATCGATCCGCACTGACAAAGCCTCAGTCGGCCGCCATCAGATGAGATGCATCAAAGTTGACCGTACATTCTCAGGCAGGCGTACAATTGTACCGACTGCGCCGCCTTGGAACAGGTGGTCGCACCCCGCAGAGGGTGTACTACAGACCGCCCGGATCGTCTGATTTGTGCTCGTCGGATCGCAGTCGAGGATTGTCCACCCAGCGGCGGCGGTAATGTCTGAGATGGCATTTGAATCCCCGGCCTGGACGGGGAAAGATATCAACGAAAGGTGCAACAAAAGCGGTAAAACGGCATACTCACTATGTGTAATGTGCCTGCGACGGGGCCGCCGATGTCGTAGAAGCAGTGGCCATCGGTACAGGGCGTCGACCAGTCGTTGGTTGCCGCGGAAGTCGCGACTGACAGTGCCCCCAAGAACGAGAATATAGTACACAACATTGTCGAGGCTGGAATACAGAGGAGAAGAAGTACGCAGAACCTTCTCTTTGATGAAGTACAAGCGGACCAGTTCTGCACAATGCGGAAAAGAAGACAAATAAAGCTCTATACCCCATCTCCTGGACGTTATATGGGTTTGGAAGAGTCTGCATGTCCTCAGGTAACATGGTACTGTCGCGACCACCTTTGGCGTATCAAGTATGTGGTCCACACTACCCGCTCGATGTGATGGACGAACGAGCCTATGTGCCGTAACGTGAGACATAACCTAGAGGACGTGCTGTAGCACGAGGTCGTCAGAAAATGAGCGCTGTTAGTAGATCCCGAGCTATGTCCCAAACGCAGACAAATGAGGGAGGATTCTCCCATTGTGCGGGCGTGTGACAGAAACCGCAAAGTCGATATGAATACCGAGTCGAGATGGCCAGGGGGTTGCCAACCATTCACGACAAGTTCCTAGACTACCTGTCCTTAGCATCGTCGACTAGCATCTGCACTGCGGTTCGATCGGCGTGCATTTGAATACACTCGACCTTCTGTCGCCTAGGAATAGTGTTCCGTCATCTCGAAACGTCGCGATCGATATCACGAGGCGATGCTGCATTCCGCATCTGGAGCGGAACCGTAAATGCGTGTCCACAACTGACCAGTGCGCGCCTCTGCAGGCTCGTTGCGCGTCTTGATGCGCCCGAACCTAATCATCGAGCAAGCTGCGTGTCTTAGGTACGCGAGTGGCTTGCGTCGCGAGGCAGGCACACCTGCACTGTCAATTGAAACTTAGCTAGAGGCTGTCACATTCATTCACTCGAGGGTAGCACATGGTTCACTCACAAGGGCGACTTCGAGGAAGCTTTTACATCCTTGATAGATGGACCGCAACTATGATTGCTAGTGGGCGCCAATAATTCTTCCACGCTCATCGCCCCATCGCCCGACGAGAGGACCGTTTAGAAAGCACCATGGCACAGTTCTAGCAGCTAGAGATGCGAGCAAAAGGCGTCTTGAGTCTAGCGCATCTCTGAGGTCTCTGACTACCGAACCGCAACCGCCGTTTGTCAGACTTCCTGGGTTCTCAATGTCAGTGTGGTATCGACCTTTCGAAGACGTGCTTCCTTGATACGAACGCAGTGATGAAGATGCTTCATGATATTGGTTAACGTAAGAAACAAGGCATAGTTGTTTGCAAACTGGTTTCCCTTGACAGACTTCCTGCGCTCGTTCAACTTCCCATAGAAGGGATTTATTGCTTGTCTGTGGCTTTAGTAGACAAGTCAACAATGATAGACCTCCCCTCGTAAAGTACACATTGGGCAAGAGGGACAGAAGCTCGCGACAGGAGTCGGCAGTGGTGCAGAGGGTGCTCGATGGCCGATCAGAGATGGGCCACCGAATGAGAATCGTGAGGTAGACATTTGCTGTGATCCCCACGTCCTCTCATCGTCCGCGTCATGGTCAATTTAAAGGACGATATATCCATCCTGCTCAAAAGGAAACTCGTTGTATGCATGTCTGGTTCCATGGCTAACGGTCAGATTGAAGAGGCTACTTGCATCGCGTCACAGGTGCAGAGGTCGTCGCTGTCTGCCATTGCTTGCGGAAGCAGAGAGTGACGGGGAAGACCTCGACAAACTGTACTTTTTGCGAGAGGTTCATCATTATTGGTTTGGCTGTGAGCCAACCGGGTCGGAGTGCTTCGGCCGACAGTAAAAAGGCGCTATAGGCGCTAAGGCGTACACCATACGTCGGCGCATTGCCAAAGCGGGCCCACGAGCGCGCAAACCCGATTTCACCCGGCTAGAACTTGGCACAGCACGTAAAAAATTGACTCCAAAGACAGGAGACTTGGAATGCAGGCTAACCTGCGCGAGCCGTAAGTCCATTGATGGGACCGAAGAAGGCTAGAAAATAGCCCAATTCCAAGTAATATGGTTTTTCTTTTGCGCATTATCAATTACGTGAATTGCTTGGGAAACCTATGGTCTTTGCTAGGCGTAACGTGAATGTCCGTGCAACGAATAAATGAGGAACTAGTACTGAGCAGGAGATCGATGAGCGACATCGATAACAACTGTGGAGTTCGAGACCAGAAGTCATCTAGTCATGCCGTCATTCGTGCTCCCCAGCAATATTGTCGTAATCGCAACGATTGGTGACAGAGGAACTAAGCCACAGTGGTTGCATTGCGGCCAAGCATGGCTAGCAGCTAGCAAGCGAAAGACAGTCATAACGAGATATGATAAATGCATCAATATTCAGGTACCTCGCCGACAAGCGCACTACACTCACTTGGATGCGTGCGGCGTGCGCTCCGAGGAGATCCGCTTTCTGCAGCCTGGACGCACCTTTTTGTGACCTAACAGATCGTGGGATGACTGCAGACCATCATGACACGTCGACGGCACTCCGACTGTCAGAGATCCAAGGCGTGCATCGGAACAGGAGAGCCTCGAGGACATGAGCGCCGTGAAAGCGCTCAGATACTTGAGGTCTGCGCCTAGACCGCCGTGCAGTGATATAGTTGCCAGGCTCCTAGTGAATGGAGAGTTTCCACTTCCATGTAAACAAGAGGGTCATGTTCCTCGACTTCAAGCAAGGTCAAAATTGTGCAGTTAAGGCATCAATTCATTGGACATAGAGCGTGCGTAGACTTCAAGACATGTAGCAGCATGCATGTATTCACGACCAGCAAGAGACAAAATACAGAAGGCGCGTATGAGAGGCGAGACGGCCTGGGCGCCCGGAAGAAATCGGGAAGACGGGCCAGAGCGCCTTACGTAACGGCCTCCGCTCTTCCGCTTGCCGGGACGTCGGTCTACCGGTCTCGCATACTATCCCTACCCCGCCACGATGCTCGGAATCGTTAGGGCGTATACCGGTACTGATGTGTCCCGTCTTCCGTATATAAGTTCTGTGTGAGTATGATGAGTGGGTTTCCCTCTTCACCCCGTCGTGATGCCGGTATGGTGCTCGTTTCTGCCCTTCTCGCTTTTCCCTCGTCTTCTGCTGCACTTCTTCCGACGCAAGGATTCCTGGGTGCTAAGTCCGACGCGTCTGTCTATTCACGTTTGGCCGCTCTGGTCGTAAATCCTGTCTAGTTGCGCAAGGAACACTGCTTGCTCAGGGAGCATCTGCAGCAGATGGCTGCCGTGTCTGCACTATGTCGTATGAGCCCCAGAGAAAGTTGCAGCTGCCGGTGCGCTACACATCTTCCGCCTCCTTCCAGCGCGTCCGTCTTCCAGAAATGGTTCAGTTTCCTACTCTGCAATGCGGAGCGCCCTATCTGGCGCGCCTTCCTTCCTAATTAGGATCCCGCCTGCCGGTCGCCTCTCGTCGTTCTCGATGACCGTAACTCTTTTTCCCCGAAACAGTCACCATAGCACCATCATTTCAGTACGCGATGTGAGCCACTATCGCATGTGCATCACAAACACTCGTGCGCATCGACTCGCGACCAGCGCTCCGTGACCTACACTCGAAGCCTGGTCGCGTCCACCAGCTCTCGCTGAAGACCTCCTGGACTTGCAAAAGTAAGTTTGTCACCCGCAGTCACAAGTCCGTTGCACGCGACATGCCGCACTACTTGCCGCTGTGGTCAAATGCCTCGGTGCGCGCCTCAAGTAGCGGATGCGTTATTTTGGGTGCGCTATCACTGTCTGCTTCCGCCCTCCACTATGCCCATACAAGATGCCACGCCTCCTTGTATGCGGCCCTGCTGCCCCTACAAGCAACCTATACTTGACGATCTGCCCCCTGCTGCTCTCATGCCCTCAGCCAACTGTCCAGCTCGACTTCACCATCATCCCTTTCTAATCATCATCACCAACTTAATCTATTTCTATGTCAGTTCTAACAACATCCGCCGCAAACAAAGTTCACCTTGAACTCTCGTGCACTAATGCGTATCCCCCTCACCACAGGTCTGCCCGCACGAGGCCTACCCTATTGCCCGACGTCGTGGTCATCTGCTGCCAGTGCGCGTCTTAGGCCGCGGATGTGCTATTTCGGTGATTGCTATCTACACAGGGCGCCCCACCTGCCTATATGCGGACTTGCCGCAGCTTATTTCCGCCATAAGCTTTGACGACAGTCCAGGAAAAGCAACATTCCCCCCCGCCGGCTTGGGCGACATCACCACGCCCCCTCACGCGTGCATTACTGTGCCGACCCTTGATTGCGCTTGGCTGGCTGACTTGGGGACGCTATAGCTTTCGGCTGAGCACACACCGTGCGGACGGTCACCATCGGACAACTCGAGCGCGCGGATGTGAGATGCGTTGGACGCTTCGCTGTCAAGATGTTGGATGCATCCGGTATCCCATGACAAGCCTCGCGCGGGATTGCAAATATGGTTGGTGGTCTATCACCGCAGATATAAACTGCTCGTCCCCAAGGGAGGCTCTGCTCCTGTTTGCCCTCTTGGTCCACTGCTGCTCCCCTCGCCTGGGCGTGAGTCCCTCGTGCAGGTCGCTGGTATTCATCTGCAAGGCGAAGAAGTCTGTACTCGGGGCTCGTGTTCGCGCAGTCGCCGCTGTCTGATCGCCTGTCTGAGCGGTCTGGGCGGTCGTCGGATAGATGTCCCCTGCGGCTGGACGATGGACCGAAGTCCAGTCCTCACACTTCCGTGGTTCCTCAACTATCTTTGGATAGACTCCTAAAGCATCCTCGCTCGCAGCTTTGGCCCCGCCGAGCGTCTTCCTGATATGGTCCACGCCGGTTGCAATCAAGAGATGCCATCTGTTCCCCTGTCCTTCTGTTCCCCTGTCCGTCTGTTCCCCTGTCCGTCTGTCCGCGGCATCTCGCGTGTCGGCTTGTCTGTCATCTGTTCCTGGGGCTGAAACCCCATGCTCTGCAAGTCCTGCTGCTGCTGCACGCTCCATCGTCGCTCAATGGTGCGCAAGGGCCCTCAACGTTCGAGGGTTTGGACACTATCGGCTTATGCTATGCAAGCGCGTCTATTGGAGGGCTGCCGAGTGGACCGGAACCAACAAGACTTGAGATCTTCTAGCCGAGCGTCCGAGGACTAGTGTCGAACGCTTTCGAATGCTTACCCCGCAAGGGCATCTTTATGGAAGCCATGTTCCATCGGACGGTCTGTCTTGCGGCGCGCACTGCAAAATCTTTTTTGAGGGCCGTGGGGCAATACGTCGCGTTGGAGATATGTTGCCTGTAAGAGACAGGTGCATTTCAATCGATGCGGTGGTATCGGTGAGCATGACATTTTGCGTTTACGCGGCGAATGCCCGCAGCGGGCGTTGCCCCTCGCGGCGTCATTTCTATTTGTGTAACGCACCCCTAGCTTCGCTCAGCAGACCTCGCGCGCAAGGCACAGCCACGATGAGACACGCTATGCCGCGTCTGCTGGTGTCGCGCCCGCCACGGAGGCCTCGCTAGCGAGTATTGTGACGGGCGGGGGGCATCATCAGATGAGCGAAGGCCGTCTCGCGTCCGAGTGCGGCGGCGTGTAGAACCATTCATCCCCCCAGCTTAGCCGCGGGGCGATCAATCTGGGGTCATCTGAGGCGGCCGCGTGCGCTTGCTGCTGCTCCATTCGCCAGAGCGCCTTACGTAAGCGGCCTAGCAAAAAGGCACCGCCAGAGCCCACGTCGCCTCGTCTGCCTTCCTCTGTCTAGCTCTTCATTCCCATCTACCATCTAAGTCAGACCGTTGTCGCCGCCACACACTATGTCCTCCATCGAGAAAGCAGAGAGCGGCGAGATCGCAGAGGTTTCTGCCCTCCCCCCGCACCAGGCGCTGGGCCCGTCCACCGCGCAATTCAGAAAGCTGGGAAACCCGGGTCCCTTGTATGCATCCCTTTCTTTTCCCAGTCTTCCCCGCATTGTTCTCACACGCGATTCTCCTAGGGGTTTATTCGCGTTCGCGTCGACGACGCTGTTGCTCTCGTTTATCAACGTGTCTGCGCGTGGTATCACCGTCGCGAACGCCGTGGTCGGCATGGCCTTGTTCGTTGGTGGCCTTGCGCAATTCATCGCGGGCATGTGGGAATTTGCATGTGCCAACACGTTCGGAGCCACAGGTCAGTAATCAGCGTCCTTCGGCCGGTACCTACCACCCCCACCACTCGCTACCCCCATATCGTCCCACGCCCTTGCCTGAAGGAGAGACGCGCGCTGACGCCGATATTCCTCCGACAGCGTTCACGATGTTCGGTGGCTTCTGGATGTCGTACGCGACGATCTTAATTCCGGGCTCTGGCATCGCAGCCGCGTACGAGAGCAATCCTGTCGAGTTCAACAACGCGGTCGGGTTATATCTTTTCATGTGGTTTATCATCACGTTCCTCTTATTGTAAGTGGCGCCGATCTCGCGTTCACGCGTTCAAAATAACCAACTGACATATGGCGTTCTCCGCAGCATTGGGTCATTGCGAACAAACATTGGCATGGCCGCTCTTTTCTTTTTCTTGACTTTGACGTTCCTTATGCTGGGTATCGGTATGTATACCTCTGTATGCTGCGGCGATCCTGCCAGCTGACCGTTCCTCTACAGGCAATATGGTCCCATCAACCTCAGCAGCGACGATCAAGGCTGGCGGCGCGATCGGCATCATTACTGCGTTCATCGCGTTCTACGTCGGCACCGCGCAGCTGCTCGTCCGCGAAACGAGCTGGTTTACACTGCCTCTCGGCGGTATCCCGCAGCGGCTGCATTGAGCACTATGCTGCGTCAAGGGATGCTCGCTATGAGCGTGTGCGGGGATGCAGGTTGCATATGTACGGATATATGGATGGATTCGCTGGGGGCGCGCTGTGAGCCGCCTCCTGTACTATAGTATTTTGTTGTCTTGCTCATGATTTCACGACGGATTCTACGTGAAGTTTAGCTACCGCGACGACTAATATTATCCGTAATAAAGAATACGATCTGCGTTGATAACATATCGCTCGCGTGCGTTTCGGATGCTGTTAAGATGTGACACCGCAAGTGGAAGATCAACCAGTGGGATCTGCGGAGGTATATTTGATAACGAGCATGCTAGATGCTTGTAAGCATGTCTGGATTTGAGCATGGAACGAGTAGCGTATGGTACGTACTGTGCTTGGATCATGTGCCGTAGTAACTTCCTGCTAGTAGGACGTTCTTCGGGGTATGGACGGGCGGTCGGTAGACCTCGCGCGAAGCGGTGTATGGTAGATTAAATTAGAAGGCCCCCGCGCTAACGGTAGTGTTATAGAAAGATGTGTCGCGGCAGGAGGACCGCAGGCCCGGTAGTCCTTGAAATAGAATCGATGATATCTAATTTTACGCGATCAAATGAGTTCCAGCACCTCGAAGTGCTCTAGGCTCAATATCGTCCCTTGAAGCGTATGCCTTCGATTGCTCCGAGGCAAAGTACGCACGCGACGTCTCGGAAGGTACGCGCCGCCGCTGCGTCGTGCTACAGGCAGTGTCTCGGCATGATATTCGGTCAGATCGCGAGTCGGGTGTAGAGCGCGTCGAAAGCTGGTCAGGTGTTGCAGCCTACGAACAAGACTGAAAAAAGAGTGAGACGTCTGTAAATGCTCAATTGGGCAGGGTATACCTGACTGGCGGGATTTTGCCGACGGGCAATGTAGCCCTACCACACCGTGACAGCCAGCGTCCGCATCAAGGCGAAGCAGTGGTTACAGCGAGAAGATGGGTGCACTCCGCTTCGGCCCGGCGTTACGCCCATATGTAATGCCCAGTGAAGTTGTGTCGACCTTGAAGATGCACTTGACCTAAGAGCGAGTGAAGAAAATTGCATGCAATATTGAAGGAAAGCTCTTAGGCGTCACATAGGCCCTTTTGCAAAGCTGTGACACAAAAGATCTATGCCGCAGACTAAAACTATCGGGTTTGGCGGAAATGATCTTTGATTGGCTGAGGGGCACTCCACTCCACCCACCGTCTCATGCAACTGGAGTGCGTGGCGGCGTGCCGCATGCGAGAACAGTCACTACGCGCTTCACACACTTAGTGATGCGCACCATGTCAGCCTGAAAACCGTAGGGCAATGACACTTCGCGCTGGGCTTATTGTTGAAAGGATCCGTCTGAAGGCGCGGAGCCCATTGTTAAGAGTGGATCATGCCGCAGGATCTGGACCGTGACGCGTCGCAGATTTCAGAGCGGAGGTTGGACTTCAAACATGCATTCTTTGAATGAGATTCGGAATGGCAGACCGTAGTTTCTTAGAACTTGATGACAAATAGGTTGTCAATCTCAAGCGGCTCCTGCACAGTTGGCCAGAAGAAACGGTGTTTGGTGCGCTAAACGGAGCTCATTTTGTTGAGGCACCCTGAGCCTGACAGGCGGCAGAATCCCCAAGTCTTCCCAGCCCATGCCGGTATTTGGACACATCCATCAAGGCCTTTGGGAACGGATGAGACAGGGCCGTTGACGGTCCCCCTTGACCTTTCCCACACCCTCACTGTCGGATAACCGACGCGCTATGCCGCGCGAGGACAGGACGCACGCTCCAAGCTCTAGGTCCGCCCGAAACCTGTAGGGCTCTGACACCGAGCGAACTTCACTGCGCGGTTCCGTACAAGGGCGTGGAGCCCGTTGCAAGGAGCCACTTGTGATTCGGTTATACTCTACATGTGCCTACGTTGTAGGTAGTCTAAACCCGAGGAATTGAATATAAAAAAGACCCCTAAATCGGCATCCAGGAGCCACAACTTTATCGATGGGACTGCGAGCATCCTGTGGAACCCTGCACCCTGGTTGGCGGCACCGACTGCCCGGCTGAGGGCGGCGGGCACAGACGAAGGCAGGGCATCTGAGGGTTGTCACGGACCGAGATAGGGGAACCAGAGCCGACATGCCGACGAAATTTTTGAACCAAGTATATTCTGTAAAGCTCTCCAGACCGCTGCGGGAAGGCATCCATTTATCGGAGGCTCGTTTGCACTCTACATTCACCTACGTTGTATAGTGTATAAACCCGTCGAACCTGAACTGGAGTGCTTAAAATTCGGTCTCCGCCGATTGAGGTGGCGTTCGTTAAGCGCTCGACTATGTCCGTCGTGAATACTATCTTATGTCAAATAATCAAGATTCTGATTCTCGGCTTCTGTCTACAGCTCAGTATTCTTCATTCGCTGATTGGCATACACCCCTTTTCTACTAATCATCAATCTCCAATCAACAAACATCGCTGAAGCCAGGGACGCAAGCAAAGGTGCTATCAAAAGGCTTTGCAAAACCACCAAAGTGAAAGCGTTAGTAAAACTCGGGGGAGCGGAAACCCTGTTCCACTGGTCTTATACGGACGAGGCGAGTTCGCTCGCTTTCACTCTTATAGATGGTCTCTTGAGGGATGTACCGTTTTCCCTCTTCCGCGTCAAACCAGAGTTCAAGATGAAACAATGTCCATTGAAACTATACTCTTCGTACGCCTCCTCCGCATGGCTGCTTTGGATATTGCTTGTTTGTGCTGCGCCGCGCAACTTTACAGTTTGATGGTTCTCAGTACGTTCACATGGTCATCAGTGTGAGTGGTGAACGTGCTGAGAACTAACAAAGACCACATACGCACTATACGATGTGTACATGTCAATTTTCGAATAGCCTTGAGCCAATTCTCACTGTGTCGCACCGGTTTAGTGTTACCGCAAGATACCGTCAATGTAAATTTGGGGCGTTCGTGAACACAGCTGAATTATCAAAATGTTCTCAGGCCACCGGACAAGGTCAGTACGCTCCAAAACCAACTCCGTCGTTAGCCTACTTGCGCTGCCGGCGTTGGCAGTAGATAGGTGATGAATGTACCGAACACAAAGATCATACAGCTCAATGTAGTGTCAACGTAAGGGTACCTCGAAACACTGTGCAGATTTACCGGTGTACCCCAACTCATTCAAGTTTTCTGCAGATTTACCTGTGTACCCCAACTCATTCAAGTTTTCATGTGTTAAACAGCCACCCTACGAAGCGCATTTGCCTTATCATGGGTTGCTAGACCCCCTCACATTGCTCTCAAGGCTCAAGGTCCCGCACTGCGACTTGAAAGGTGTGTCCCCCAGATAGCCTTCTGTCACTCCAAATCATTACAATCGACAACGTGGATTAGTGGTACACGAGTAGTACCATGAAGTGGCCGGCGTGAGGTCCTGTCCGACAATGTGCGTCTTTCTTTGACTGAATTAAATCACTTAACATGCTGGGAACTTCAGGTCAATGCTTGAGAAGTACTCGGAGGGTTTTCTCTCCGAACTCATGTGCATCTTTGTTTGCCTGAATCCGACCATTTACATGTGTGAATCCCAAACGTGCAAGTGGTCTGCATCTTCAAACTTTCGCAAGGCCTCCGGCGATGTTTTTCTCCGACGTGAAGGTATTCTTCATGGGGCCCTACCTTCTAGCGCACAATACGCGACAATCGTTTTTCCTGTGTGATTGTGCGGTCCATCATGTCTTCTTGCAACATGCAGTTCAAGATTTGGAATGGCGCCCATGTCAGGATGGTCTCGTGCTTTACCACATCTTTAAGGTTGTGTGGATTGATCTTCTGTCTGGTCGTGTGGACAGCGCCAGGGACATGTCAAAGGTGGTCTCCGCTGTAGCATGGAAGTGCTGAGAGCATGCAGACGCTGCTAATACCGCAATATAAAGTCAAGGAAGTGGGTAGTGAAGCCCAGTATCTGGCAGTCGGCTTGTTTCTCTGTTCTATCAGACTGACCTATATTACCACTTCGATATGGTGACGGCTACGATGCTGTATACCGTAGCCCTCTGGGGGTTCCTCCCGATCCTTACCTCGGCATTGGTCAACGATTGGTCGATAGCCTGTACCAGTGGATATTGCTTTTATGATATCGACGGCCCCGTCACAGGCACATTGTACATAGTGAGCCTTCCTTTTACTTGTAGAATCGCACCCTTTCCTGATGCTCCACCCAGGCCGGTGACTCAAATGCTATCTCGGACATCACCACTGCTGCCGGGTGGACGATCCTCGACTGTGATCCGTCGAGCACAAACCAGACGATCCGGGCGGTCTGTAGTACACCCTCCGCGGGGTGCGACCACCTGTTCCAAGGCGGCGCAGTCGGGACTATTGTGCGCCTGCCTGAAAATGTACGTCCAGCACCAATACACTTCGTGTGACAAGTGACGGAAGGTTTGTCAGTGTGGATCAATGCCTTTTGCCCGTGTGGTGGATGTACAGGATCATGAAGACCAGACAATCTCCTCGACTGTACGCAGGATGTTCCCCAGGGACGATGTGCCGACAGTCCTGGCCTTGACTGTGGATACGGACTTCAGCGCTGTGAATCCGCAGGAGTGAGTACAGCGCGTTATTTCCGTGTTCATCCACTCACGGCCGTTTGTTAGGAAGGGAAGCGTTGCCATGAGCATACACGCATCGTACGCCGGGGGGACGGCTACAGGCGTGCGTGTGGGGGGCATCGAAAGTGCGTTTCAACCCGCTATCAAGCGACACAGTCCGCTGATAGTGGCACTTCATAGAGCGCGTAGAGATCGGGACGAGCGCCCCAGCTTTGACAATAGATGCACACGGCAACCTATTCAACGAGACCCTGACGTGCATCTCAACTACTGTGAAAGACACATCCATTACTTGCGGCATCTCGCTCGGCGTCGACGTGCAAGCAACTCTCACAGTACTATACGGCATCGAATTGAATGGCACACTCATTCCACCGAATACGACAGACTTTTCGATGTATGCAGGTGTGCGCCTATGCTTCTAGCATTATGCTTGACTACATGTTTTCTGACAATCATTTGGTGCAGGTCTTGACGGAGATCTGGATGGAACGATACTCGTGAATAGTTCAGCTGAGGTACTCCACGCATCCCCAACGGCTCCATGGCAATGATTATGTTTGACCTTTGGATTCTTCAGGCGGCTTTCTCAACTGGCTTGATCACTTTGTACCAGGACACCCTGCCTATCTTTACTATCCCTGAGTGAGACATACACGAAATGGATATGAGAGCAGGTTATTGATGCACTTCGACAGCATTCTCACTTTTGGTCCCTCTATCCAAATTGATGCGGAAGGGACCGCCGATCTTGATGTCCAGTTTAATGCGGCCGTAGAATCGCGCTACACCATCGACAATGCTACGTTCGTCTTCAATGGGCCTCCTAATTCCACCTCCGGTGGGAGCTTCGGAAGCTCCGCACCCAGTGCGTATGCCTCCGGATGCATCTGGTCAAATACTCACAAACCTCCGTGGTTAGCTGTAAATATCACCGCCGTGGATGCCTCTGCTAGTGCCTCCGTTACGGTGAAGCTGGTGCCGACTGTAAGCTACATCTTCACGCATACAATAACTAGCTCATCAGTGCGTTAGCTCCTGTTCGGGCTCACTGCACTAGCCGACAACATCGTCGGCACGATCAACTTTGAACTGGAGACGTTTACGACCCTCGATCTGACGTTGGGCACCGAGTCTATCTCCGGCTGTGGCAATTCAGCCAACAAGACGTCAAAGGGCTGCGTCAGTGTACATAGCGGAGTCGACGTCTCCGCAGATGTGGACGGGCAGTTTTTTGATCTCTTCCAGGAACAACATGATTATCCGCTTTACAGCAAGAATTTCACTGTTTTCCAGGTACGTTATGTGGGAGAATATAGAGCATGAATACTCACTCAGTGCTGCGTGAGCAGGAGCCGTTGGACAGCTCGGAGGTCACTAATTCCTCAGGAAGCACAACTGGGAGTGCGCCTGGGAGCGCACCTGCGGGCACCAGCACCCCTCAAGGAGGCAAAACAGGAAATGCGATTTCACTTCGCACATCACCGTTCCTGATCGTTATTCTTGTCTGCGTGACCTCACTTGCGGTTTGATACCAACGACTTTGTTCAACGCATCAGGATGTGATTTGCCTCTTGCAGATGTTGAGAAGAGCCGTTGCTATGTAGGACTGTCGTGTTGTAGGTCCTCGTTAGTTCTGATATATAGTTGACTATGTTACGTTTTGTTCAGCCTCTCTTGGCAATACATCATTTGATTGAATTGCGAATGGCGAGTGGCGATGTCGAACTCTGCTCGGTCACTGCCGGGCATCGCAATCGATTATGCATATATCCAGGCTGGAGGATGACGATGACTGGCGGTTTTCCATACAAACGGACTGTCTCCGCGGTCCTCGACGAGAACGGACCTTCGAGGAATCTTATTGATGCACCGGCTACAAAATGACCCCGATGTGTCCTCGGGGACATTGAAAATGACCGACTCGTAGTCAAACAGGCACGTCTTGCCCGAGAGCGGACTCAGGCCAAGGAGTTATAGTAGCAATATTTGCGATTACATTATTTCCACTCAACACTTCCTAAGCGACGATGAGTGGCGTGACCTGTGATAGCTTAGATTCCTCCAGAGTGGCTTGAAGTGTACATCCTTATAAAGTTTGGAGATTCAGATGTAATAGACGCCAAACATCCCAAAATGCATAATCGGGGCCAGGCTCCTTCCCGCCGCTGTGGGAGTTATAGGGGACTTCATCCGAATAGCGTACTCAATGTTTTATCTTGTGTATCCGAGAATAGAAGTCTTGCCACAGATCATGTGCCATCTCATCACGTGCATATCATGTGATATCCTATTTGAACCTTAATCCCCTATAACTCCCTACAGCGGCTGGCACAAAACATCTACAAATAGCGGAGGACCGGCGCCGCACATCCCATATGAGGCAGGATTGATTCCCGGATATGATAAATGTCATCAAAACATTTTGATTGCATCAATTGAGATCATTGCAATCCCCCCTAAATAAGCATAACAGCAATGCGCAGAAAGCCCATTGCTCGCAACACTTTCCATCTTGGAAGCCATATCTTCAATGTGACAGTCGAAAACCTGGGTCGCAAATGCATTGAGAGCGCTGAAGTGCCAGCCAGGCCGAGGATGAGTTCTTCAACGAAGGGGTGTTCACTGTTGCATGACGCCTTCATCAGTCAGATTGAGCTCGACAGGGATGTGATCCTTTGTGTGAAAGCCAGATGTAGAAAATTCATTAGCGGTGTGAAAGCTATAGTTATTGGTCACAAAACTGCACCAAGGACGACGAGACACGACGCGCCTTAGGACGCGAGAAACGCTACTGTACACGGGACCGAGATAATTATGTAATGATGGCCATTATCCTGCCTTCCTAATCGAGGTGACATGCGCCGCTCCTCCGCTATTTGTAGATGTTTTGTGCCAGCCGCTGTAGGGAGTTATGGGGGTTTAAGGTTGGGACTCGGAGTTTGATTTAGCCTCGGATGTAGCCGGATTGTGGCGCAAGTGTGGCAGATGGGCTTGCAGGACTTAGCTTGCGTCAAATTTGTCGGATTGAGCCCCTATAACTCCCACAGCGGCGGGAAGGAGCCTGAATCGGGGCTTGAAATCCTACTCACTTCCAAACTCGGTATTTTTGACAATCTGTCGAATCTGGTTACGAGATACTGTTCTCCGCAGACCACGGACACTACCACACTTAACAGCCTGCCGTACCCGATCAGGGGGCGTCACTTTTGACCATATGCTCGGCGAAGATATCGATGATTCAGTGACCGGCTTCCCATGCTCATTCTTGCTGCTTACGACGCCTCATCAGGTTCGCGGTGCTCTCAGTTCGCATCTGTCACCGTTCGTGGGCCGTTTGTTATGTGTTGCTTTGCTCTTAGCACATTTCCCCTTGCCTTCATATATATATTTGCATGATCTAACTTGAAGATGTCACGCTACGCCGGATAATGCATGTATGGATCGTCAGGCACATAAATCTCTATGCAATGCAAGAACGGAATGACTGCTTGTGAGCGCTGAATAGCATTTCTACCACAGCGACTCTGAACACATCATCTCAAGACAGCACAGGGTGAGCTACTGCGGATAGTTTGGAATACACTTATCGAGATTCGCAACCGGCGGCTCAGACTCAATTCTAAAGATTTCGAACACACAATCATCATTGGAGCATCAAGATGGCCCGGTGTAATGTTGTAAACTCTCGGCTGCAGACTGCAAGTATTTATATCATCGGGCTGGAGTGGAGGACACTGTGTCTCGCTGTGCATTATGTCTATCCCCGCCTCCCCTCCTGTTATCTTCGCGGCAAGGTATATGTCAGGCGAGTAGTAAAGGCGCCCAATTGCTTTGGCGGATGATCCTGATTGTCGTCTGCAGCCGTGGCTGTCACAGTGTCTCTTTGGGACCATGTTATCCGATTCGGCCAGGAGTTTGAACTACTGTGGAGACAGCGCAAGACTGTGCATACGATGCTTCTGATGTTCGACATGTACGGCGTAGAGGGTAGTATGATATACTTCGCCTTCGGTGAGCCACGCAGCGCCTCACATAATGCAGCACGTACTCATTTTCCCAGTCTTCAGTGGAGTGAAAAGACCTTTGTCCGATACGGTATGTGACTTCCCGCCATTTATCACCGTGCTTCTCTGATTTCTTTGTCATGCATCTTCTTGTCCCCAGATGTAAGTGCCAATTGACTTGAAATATGTTGCCAACTGTAAAGCCCGTAGATGCCATAATACAGTACTCTATATGGGAATATACGGGACGATCAGCATCGGAGGCTCTCAATGTAAGCCTCACGACACTTAAACTCATTAGATTTAGCCAACTGAAAGACCTCAAGTGGCATTAATACTTCGGGTATACAGCCTATGGGACAACCGCAAGATTGCTAAAAGACTTCTCATTGGCGGGTTTGTTGCATGTTACAGCTTGACAACGGCATTTGTCGTCCTCTTCGTCATTCAGGCAAACAGAGGTAATAGTTTTCATTTATCTATGCCGCACTCGTGGAGATTGACGGTTGCTCCAGACGGCATCACCTATTCGGCAGCCATAGATTCATGCGTACTCGGGAACTCGACTTACCTCACAGTTGTGTTGGGTGGAATGGTATGTATTTCTAGTGTTATGCTTCCATGTTTCTCATGATCTACAAGGCTCTCTTTGATCTTCATGTGATCGCTCTTCTCGTCGTGAGCACACTGGGCCGGCCCCGCCGAAACGACGCAGAGATTGTCAACAACTTGAAGCGTGATGGGTTTCTCGCATTTCTGGTAAGCCTTCTATGCACACTGTTCCTACCCTGATCCTAATCGGCTCGCAGGCAGTGTTAGGTGTGTATCAGATATTATGCCATACAGTCAGGAAGAAGTTATGATGTTGCAGGACTTCGTCTCATCCCGTTCATACAAAATATGCTGGAGAATGTATGCAACGGCAATTCAGTCGTCGTTCTGTGTTGATCATATCTTGATCATATCTTTTACAGGCTAGCCAGACGTTCACCTCCCTTTTGTACGTGCTGATTAAGTAACCTTCGAGATAATGACCAACCATTGCTACAGCATCATATGGTCGCTCAATCATATTCTATGCAATCGGCTATATCTGGAAGCGCGGCTGGTAGAACTGAGAATGGTTTATGCATGGACACATACACCAAGTCAGTCGATGATAGTTCGAGAGGATATACAACTAGATATCGTGTACTAATTTGGGTCTGCCACTATCACTGTTCTGGGCCTTGATTCAACTGCACACTAACTGGCTTTTCATAATAGCATGTACCCATAGCGTTGCCATCGCCAGATGTATACGGATGTTAATGATACGAAACAACTTCTACAATTCTCCATCCCTTCCACTTCCTTGAGTTCAGGCGGACGATTTGGAATGCGGGTCTGTGGGTAATACTCGGCTTTTTAGATGAGCAGACAGCGCAGAGTCAGTTCATTATCAAATTACCCGTCTCTGGGGAATCAATGAATGAAACGTTGCAGAAATGCGTATCACGGTTTGACACAGAGCGCGATCATCCTGCGAAGCCGGGTGAGCTATAGTGTGAGCTACGAAGGGCAGTGTTCATGAGACGATGAGATCGCGAGACGGTCACGGCCTTACTTGATCGACAGACCGCAGTAGGTATATATCATTACCACATCACGGTAGGAGTTACCTGCGGTAAATTGAGAAGTCTGCTCTCATTATGTAAGCCTCAGGGCAGCGCTCGGACATCAACTGACGCACGAAATTCAGCGCGGAGTCTGTGCCTCGATCTGCTCGGAATCCGCATTGGAATCCGTACTGTGACCACCCTTATTTCTGTGAGGAGTTTGGACGCCGACCAACCTCAGTACTCTGGCCGGAAGTGGCGTGGGAAGATTGTCAAGGACAGATACTACATTCTATGCGTCATGAGAAGTGTTCTGCAAACGACTGTAAGCTTACGATATTCCGGGTTGCGCCACCTCTGCTATTAGTCCGCAAGGCCACTTCGTCCAGAATGAACATCGGACTGTTATACACGGTATCAATGCTGAGAGCATGGAGATGAAGCTGCATTGACATACATTTAAAAGTAAGGTGTGCTCCGTAAACTCACTAGGAGTGTACCTGCCGCGAATGATTTGACATTTCTATCCTTGTGATTGTAGTCTCCGAGTCCGGACTTAGTCGCGCTCTAGTCGCTGTCTGCCGGGTGATCAATCGCGCAGTGGCGAAGTTGCCAGGAGGCGGTAAGCGTGGCTTCCCTGATTTAGCGAGTCCGACAACACCGCTGTGACATGGGAAAGATGACTCCACAATTCTCTATAGCTTCTCCAACTCTGGCGTGTGTCAATTTAGGAACATAACAGGTAGTGTTTGAGGTTGTAAGTCTCATTGCCAAAACTCTGTGCATCGTGATGAGATTGAGACCTTCATGCTCCGGCTCTGGTAGTTCGAGAGTCGAGACAGATTTTTTGAAGTCTCAGGATCGCGGGTAGTGACATATCAACGGTGTCATTACAGGTGAGATGATTGTGTCTTTTCAGCTTCGACTTGACTGCCGCCCGCTGCTTGAGGTCAGGTAAGCACCCCGGCTGCATACATACGTTACTGCGGAGATGTTCTTGATATGCTGTGTCAGTTGCTTCGAGGACTGTCCACTTGGCAGTCATGTTGTTCGGAAGTGACGTATCAGAAATATAGCGATGCCTACGAGATATGCTGTTAAACCGTATTCGCGATTTTACAATTGCCACATAGTGAGCGGCTCCCGTGAGTCGTGAGCCCCGGTGACTCCGTGTCGCCTGTGTCTCAGGTACGTGAGCTGTCACCTTCTAGCGGTACCTATCTATCATTTTATATCGTTATACGTCAGTCTCTACATATACCGAAAGACATATGCTGGCAATAGAAACATGAGTGCATACTAGTGCCGCCGTCTGCGCTGATCACCCGCCCGTCTAGCATCTCTCGGATCTGACAATGGCCACCGATATTGAGACTCTCGCGGGAGGGTACTTCATCGAGGTCCTCCTGGCAATCATGTACGAAGCATCTTGTTGCTATCCTTCTGTACAATCCGTTCGAGATCAATGTTGGGCAGGTTGTACGGCGTTGCGATCACACAAGCATACGCGTATTGGTGGGACTACCCAAACGACTCAAAGCGGTTACGGTGGACGATTGTTATCCCGATGTAAGTCGCGTTTACTCTACTCTAATCACCACCTGCAAAATTATTCAGCGGCTTTGCTCCACAGGATCATGGAGACTCTAAATACCGGTTTTAGCTTTGCCGCGATGTACGAATATCTCATCATCGATTTCAATGACATAGAAAAGATACAAACTATTGTGTGGTACGTGGCACTCTCCGGTACTTGTGGATAGCTTCATATATAATGGAACAGGAGCTATGCAGTACGATCTGCGAGTATGAAGTTTTGTGCTTAGTCGCTTAATACCATGTACCATGCATTAGACATCAGTGGTCCTAGCGGTGTGTTCAAATTGTCTCGATACGTCCCAAACAATACATGATCTACAATCCGTGCAGATCCTCAACACAGCGATTGTTCAGGGGTAGGTTCTATCGACAATCGAGTTCTCGCGTGATACACCACGATCATGCCTCTACAGGTTCTTAATTCGGCGCATTTGGATACGTGCGTGGGTCGTGTACCTGGGGTGCTGTTCCTTCGTCTAACAACTCTACCGTAGTGAGCAGACACAACACCGCTATGACAATCATTCTGGTAATGTCGCGAGGTCAATCATCAAGGCCTAGGTATTGAATGTAACCAATCATGCAGGCCATCTTGCTCGTATCTCGAGTGTATAAGTTGTCAACGACATATCTATTGCCCATTCAGTACTTATTGACTCACTGCAATCAGCCGTAGACCTTGGTGGGTACTATGACATAGATTCTCTTCTGACACCTACTAATCGTGGTCGTATTCCAGTTGCTGCAGGCTACATGTAGGGAATTCATTCGCCTGTGCAAAAGTCGCATGCCGACTGCATTATCCGGGTTCAAGCTAGGCAGCTGGAAACTTTACCGAGACACAAAGATGACGTATGTGCGTGACATCAACCCATCAATGTATTCCTTGCCCCATCTCGTGAAAGTTTCTGGCTAACAGACATACCCGTTGCAGGGCTTCGGAACTTGCAGTGTGATCCTTGCAGCGACAGTAGATCTGATCATTGCGTCGATTTTGATTCTCAATCTGCGGCAAAGCCGTACTGGGTTCAATACGTGAGGATAATCATACGCGCTCATCTCGCCGTTGCATAGTGTTGAACGTGATTTCTAGCACAGACCGTATGATCAAGTGGATCCAGATGTACGTGGTTAACACTGGAGCTCTGACCATGTAGGAGGTCATCACTGCTGCTGAATTAGTCAAAATATGCTTATTGCTTTGTTGTAGGTTTGTTTCGCTGGCGACTGTTATTACCGTGCGTGGCAAGGGTTTAGGTGTCGATATCCGTAGCACTTACGTCCTGAGAGGCAGTTTCAGCTACACAAGGGGAGTCTCTCCTTTGCTGGTCTAATCGAGGTGCAATGCAATCGTGTGACAATACAGTAGCAAATTCTTCATAATACACTCACAATTCGCGTGTTTTATAGTGCATACGATCACATTCCTGGCAACGTTTGTGCTTTGCTATAAGGTGTTGATGATAGACTGAAAAGCTGATAGGCTAAATGCTCGTCAACGCTGGAGAAGTCGCCGGAGGTATGGAGTTCACGAGATTGTGTCTATGGAGCTCTCTCCTAGAGTGACGAGCGCTCAGGCGCAAGGGAATCAAGCAGTAAGTGACCGCCAGTACTGAACATATTTAGGCTACACTGATAATGTTGTGTAGTCACAGATCGAGATATTGACGATGGTCTCCAAAGTGACCGACAACATGCTCTACCATGAACATGGCGTCCCCAAGCCGCCTGTCTCGGGCATCGTCATAGAGCCAAGCAAAAATCAGATTCTGAAGGATGATGATTGAAATGTATACTTGTCTTGTAGCACTTCGACGGTGACTGCGCAAACAGTTGAAATAGATCCCGCTCGAATGCGTCACTTTCAAGGAACGCTCAGGAGACGAAGCCAAAGTCCGACGTTGTTCCTAGAAAGACCATATAAGGGTAGCTTATCCCGAAAGAGGTAGCCCTATTCTAGGGCTACACGCACGATCGGGACTGAGGGCGTTCTTGTTCGCCTGTTCCTCCTCGAGCTTGCCCCCGAAACTTATGACTTGACCCAAGTCCTCGATTCTGAAAATGGCACGAGAAGATGCGGGTGCGCTGATACAATGCAATACGAAGCTGCTATTGTTGATTTCGCTCTAGGAACGGACTACCTCTACCAAATCAAGTTACTTTCTGCCCTGCGGAGCGGTCTGTCATTCACGATAGATTTACGCGTATTTATCACTCACATTGACCACAGGCGACCCCGCTCGAATACATACATTCCTCACAGAACTGAGCAAGGACGGCCGCAAGTCAGTGGACGGCGACAGCGAACTCGGCGCGGCAGCTCTTCATCTGGCCATCCGTTGTGCTTCCAGTGCGTCCCCACATTCTCTGGGTATTGTACAGCAGCCCATACATTTGCAGCCGACACTATTACTCTTCTCCTCTCTCACCGCGCCATCTCGCCGAGCGCGGTGCATCCACCCGGCTCCGGAACGACCGCATTGCATCTCGCAGCATCTCTCGCGCGCGCGGACGTCGTCAGCTTACTGTTGGAACAGGACGGAATAGATGACACGCTCCGGGATGCTCAGGGCAGGACGTGCCTGGAGGTTGCCAAGGGCAAGGACACGGTTCGCGCTATTCACGGTGAGTACTACCAATTACGCTGGTACATTCCTCGTACAGTGCTGCTGCTTGTGGGCAGCTGCAGACCACTCCGCGGAAATGCGAGTCGATTGCGTTTACGGCAAACGCGCGTGGCTTCACTGCGCTGGTTACCGTTCGTGCATGTACACGGTGTGCTTTTTCCGAAGGGACGACTCCCTGCGATCTCTATGTATGACGACAGGCTGGTCGTGGTGCCCTTTGGCAGCGTGCTCATGGGGTGTACTTGGTCTGCCCATCTTGCAGGGCTCGGATGCTCTCTTCACTGGCAGTCCTAGGTCCCAACACCCCGACTTGGCTCTAGGCCAATGTCTTCAATCAGACCCAGAGCACCAACGAATAAAGCACATACCTTACGAAGACATAGTGAACTGATGCGTCTGTACAGATTCACGCACATTCCTTACGGCGTCGTATCGGTCTCTCCTGAGGACTTACATACTATCTCCGTCTAATGCGGCCCCACCGGGCGCTCTTATCAAGCTGCTCTCTTCGCCGCGGATCCGGCACGTCGACCTCTCGTACCTTGACGAGTCTTCCGGCCGAACCCTTCTGCACGAAGCCGCGCGGCGGAAAGACCTGCGGCTAATCGAGCTCGCTGTGCGTGCGGGCGCGGACGTGTTTGCGCGTGACCGCAAAGGACACACGGTGTCGGAGAGCGCCGGGAAAGATGAGCGCGTGAAGGTCTTCCTCAAGCAATGTGAGCGTATGCTAGTGCCTGGCGAGCGGACGTCGCTGATAGGTATCGTGCTGGGAGCTAGTCACGAACCAAGACACGTCGCTCCTGGCGAAGGCCTCCACCGAGCCACCTGAGCTGCGGGGATACCTCAACAAGTACACGAATGTTGCCAAAGGTTACAACACCCGCTGGTTCGTCCTCAAGAACGGCGCGTTCTCATGCAAGTGGTCTTCCCTGGGACGCTTGTTGAGCATAGCACTCACTGTTCGGCAGATTTCCGCCATCAGGACGACGAGGGCATCGCGTGCCGCGGATCGATCTCCATGAAGACCGCGGTGTTGCATGTGTCACCCGGCGGCGCGGGTACGCGCTTCGAGGTGCACTCGAGCCCGTCGCGCGGGCACCACGGCGTCCAAAAGTGGTATCTGAAGGCGAATCACAGGGTAGAGACCGCGCGATGGACACAGGCGCTGCAAGCGAGCATGCAGTGGGCGCGCCGAGAGGCGGAGGGCGAGCGCAAGAGCGGCGAGAGTGATGCGACGGCGTACAGTGGGACCACCAGGGGGCTGGCGTCGAAAGGCACGGTCGCGCGTGTGAAGAGTATAGTCAGCGGGAGCTTCGGGTCGACGGCAGACGATGTGTCCGGCGACGACAACACACAGGTGCAGGAGCCGCCCGACAAGGACGCGCCCGAGCCCGAGGACCACGAGCATGAGCGCGAACAGGAGCATTCTTCGATGGCCGAGTCGACGGAACAGGGCCCTCCGCATGGAGGGTCGTTCGAGCTGCAGGGCAACGCGCTCGTCGCGCAGGTAGAGCTGACCTCGCAGCTCCTCTCGCAGGTCCCAGGTGGCAACGAGTCCCCGCGGGCGGCGGAGCTCAAGCGCGCGGTGGAGGACACGTTCGCGTCGATGCACGGCATGCTGGGCGAGTACGTGCAGATGGTGCGCGAGCGCGAGGAGTGGTACCGCACGGCGCTCGAGCGCGAGCGCGAGCGGCAGAACGTGTGGGAGGAGAGCCTGCAGGCGGTCGTGAAGGAGGGCCAGCAGATGGAGGACGAGCTCCGCATGCGGTTCCGGAGGCGGAGCCGCACGCTCGACGCCAGTTTCCTCACGATTAGTCAAGGCGACGGCTTTTTCGCGCTCGCGGGTTCGGAAGCATCTGCGGGTGACGCGCCGTCGCCGGGCGCTCTCAACGCGTCTCCCGAGTCGATTTCTACCCCGAAGGGTCCGCTGATGGTCGCGCGCCGGCCGCTGTCGCAGCAGGCCTCCAGGTCACCAATCCGGGCGATATCTGCTTCGAGCGTCCGCCAGGCGCCACCCTCGCCCGGCTTCCAAGAAGCGGAGGCATTCGTGGATACGGACGAAGAGGACGAGTTCTTCGACGCGATCGAGACCAATAACCTGCCAAACCTCGTCGTCAACAAGTCGTTGCTGTCGAACGACGACCACCTCTGGATAACGGTGCACAGGAACCAGTATCAGGGGTACCTGAAGCTGCGTGAGCGGCTGGCAATTGACACTGACAACCGGCCGCCAATGAGCCTGTGGGCAGTGTTGAAGAATAGCATTGGGAAGGATCTGACAAAGATCTCCTTTCCTGTCTTCTTCAATGAGCCTACCAGCATGTTGCAACGGATGGTGAGCCTATATGCGCTCTGAGCGCTCTGCGCTACACCGATACTGATGGGGTGTGTAGGCTGAAGATATGGAGTTCTCTGAGTGCCGTAAGTGTCTGCTTCGTGCTGAGCTTCGTGGAACTGAAGGCAAGGGCCCGGACAAGTCGACGCTGCATATGCCGAGAACGATCCACAGAAGCGGATAGCCTTTGTCGCTGCGTTTGCAATGTCCAACTACTCATCAACGATTGGACGCATAGCCAAGCCTTTCAATCCTATGCTGGTAAGTCAGCCAAATTAACCCGCCCTCTGACCAATCACTGAATTTGCTATCAGGGTGAGACCTTCGAGTACGTCCGTTTGGATAAGGACTATCGCTACATGTCGGAGCAAGTCAGCCATCATCCACCAATGTCAGCTTGCTGGGCAGAGTCCCCGCATTGGCGTTATTATGGCGAGGTACATCCAATTTGTTGCTTCCATGGACGTGATCTGACGGGACACCATCAGGTTGATGCGCAGAACAAGTTCATGGGCAAGTCTTTCGAGATCCGGCCTACTGGAATTGCTCATGCAGAACTACTTTTGCCTGAGACGCGCGCGCCAGGGTATCCGAAAGCTAAGGGGCCTCATGTTGAAGGCAAGGTCATCGAACACTACAGCTGGAAGAAGGTCACCACGAATATCTCGGGTTTCATCCTCGGGTCTCCGACAATCGATCATTATGGGGACATGGTGGTAAGCATTGATCGACAGCACGCTGTGATATGAGACATTCCTGACCTCCTTTTAGATCACAAATCATCGTACCCAGGACAAGTGTGTACTGACCTTCAAGCCTCGTGGTTGGCGAGGCAAAGACGCCTTTGAGATCTCGGGTTACGTGGCGGATGCGGAGGGAAATGTCACGTACGAGATTGCCGGTCGCTGGAACAGTCAATTAGTGGCGCGTTCAGTAGGCAGCGGTATCGGGCAGCTTCACCCCGATGTCAAAGTGAGCGGACCTAGCTCTCCGGCTGCCAGCATGGAGTACATCTTGCTTTGGCGCAACTCCGAGAAGCCCCCAGCGCCCTTTAACTTGACGCCTTTCGCGATCACCCTCAATGACTGCGGGGACACACTAGGGCCATATGTCGCACCCACAGACTGCCGCCTGCGTCCAGATCAGAGGGCGTTCGAGCTGGGCAAGTACGAACGCGCCAACGACCTGAAGAACAAGCAAGAGGAGTACCAGCGTGCAACACGACGTGCGCGGGAGGAAGGACGCCTGCCTCCTCACAAACCGCGCTGGTTCTTAGCACAGACTGAGCCGGATACCGGCGAGAGGGTCTGGACTCCCTCTATGATCAACAATGAACTTGAGTACTGGCTAGAACGAGATAAGGTGTGGGAAGGGAAGCAGAAGGAACAGCCAGCGTCCTGGGAGGGCGTGGATCGTATCTTTATTGAGGATGAACCGTAGCGATGCCTGTTGTACAATGACGGACATACTAATTCCTAGGGGTGGGATGTATTACACGAGTAAGTAATGATGTACAAAGTGTCTTAACTACTGTCGTTATGAATTTTATTGCCAACGCGAGACCACAGCGGCCTCACCAATCTAGCTTTTTGTCCATCCCGCCACAGCCGCCCTCCTCCGGTCCGACGATCTCTACACCACCGTCGACGAGTGCTGCTGTTGCATGGCGGACCATCCACTTGCTCGTGCCGATCACTGAGTCCAATTCTTCCGCTTCGGGGAGGAGTAACAAAACATCGTCGCCCTCAACCATGACATCGAAAGAGAGAATGCTGTACGCATCATCGTTGAGGCATGCGCCTGACTTCAGTGTGAAATTACGCTTGTGCATGGGACCTATGAGAATTCGTCAGTGTATGGATCATACATAAAGCTGGCAAGCATACATGATACATAAAGTGCTCCTGTTGACGGGTCATCACCAACGATTCCATGCTCCAGGACGAAGGCTCGTTTGTGCGGGCACATCTGTGACACGTGTTCTGAATGTGCGCTCGTATGTAGATGTCCAAACAAGAATCATTACCTGCTGCGTAGCGAAGTATCCTCGCCGGGGGACGTGGAAAATAGCGAGCTGACTATCGCCGTACTTGACTGCGGCAGACCTACATCTGGATGAGGCCCGAGATTATCTAAGAGGCGGAATGCAAACATACGTTGTACCCGCATCGCTCGGGGTGAGATCTTGCAGCTTGGCCATCTTCCTCCACTTCCACTCGGTCTTTGGAGTCTTGATTGCGCTTTCACGAATGTGGGTGGCAGGGAAGCTCTTGGCCCAGTTGGCAGGGCGAGGTTGTCCACGCTCGACAATGTCCTCTACTTGTGGACGCCGCTCATCCTGGCTTACGATCAGAATATACAGATTGGCCACGGAAGACATACACGTACGGTGTTGACGAACTGCCGGAATTGCTTCTGTCGCTCCGGGTCGTCTACGACAGCTTTCCATTCATCGTAGTACGTGCCTACAAGCTCCTGCATCTCGCGCTCGAGGTCTGCGCAGATACCGAGCTCGTCATCAAGGAGGATCCGCTTCAGTTTCTGGTGCGCCATCAGACCACAATCTGATGGTATATAATCCATCGAATCTCATACCTCGATTCCCCCTTCCATCTCATCCAGCCAACGGGCGGTCCGCATGAGTTTATCCGCCGTGCGAATGTAGAACATAAGGAAGCGATCAAGGATTGTGATTACCTTGGACGGCGGTACGTCGTTGGCAAACAACGTGGCATGTCGTGGGGTGACACCACCGTTGCCACAAATGAAGACTGCGGCCACGGTTTGGCGATCAGGTACACTTAGGGAGTGGTGAACACGCACTATTCCAGCCCTTGTCTGTTCCAATCAACCCGAAGTCTTTGCCTTGGGCTTCGGCACATTCACGGATACACCCGCTCACGCCGCCCTTGAGTTTATGCGGTGACCGGATGCCCTTATAGCGGTCCTCGAGCTGCACAGCAACTTCAACGAGGTCATAACGGGCTGAAGTGAATGGCAGAACGAGACGACTTACGAGCTACAGAGTCGCCAACGCCGTAGCGACACCATGACGTGCCGACACACGACTTGACAGTACGCAAGGCCTTACCTATACGAAGAATGATGCTCAATTCCAACGCGCACAAGAGATCTAGCGCGCACCATAAGCATGCCCGCTCTCGAAGCCAGCATCGATGAGCTCCTTCCATATGGAAGGTAAGTCGGCCTTCTGAGCCCCGAACATGTCCACACGCTGGCCGCCGGTGATCTTGGTGTACAATCCATCTGCGGTGGGTCATTAGCATGCTGTGACAGACGTCACGAGAAGGCGAAGTACATTTCTTGGCGACTTGACCAATGGCTATCAGCTTGTCGGGCGTGATCTATGCGCAGGGACGAGTCAATGACGCAGCACATGGAAATTGGATTCGAAATCGCACTTCGCCTGCAGCAATTCGTGGGACGACGGAAAACGTTCCTGCATCGAAGGTCAATTTCGATCACGCAGGGCGATAATGCCTTTTGCCGCACCATTTCTCTGAATATTGGCCATGAAGCTAGGCGAACGTCAGTCTGGATATGCTCAAGACACCCGGGCCACACGGCGACTTGCCGGTCGTTCGTATCCTGATTTCTGCGCATATCTGTCAGATACCGCGTCCAATCTCATGCAACGGATGCAACTTACGCATGGTGCACCGGCTTCATGACGTGCTCGTTCCACAGCGAGGACAGAATGCTCCCCACGACCGGCTTGCAAAGCTCACAGCCGACAGAGTCCTTGCGCACGCCGGCCGCCTCCATGACGAGCGGGAACGTCTTCAGCTGTTTGATCCTGCGTCCCTCGTCAGCGTTATCTGCGGTCCTCAGCGCGAAGGAGGGCGTACTTGACAATGTTGAACAGATCAGCGCGGGACAGGGCGAAATGCGGGCAGAGGTTGTTGCTGACGGCGTTCCCAGCCTTCTTCATCTCCGCCTGCCGCCAGAATATGCGCGTCAGCGCGTGCCAGGCCATGGATGAGAGCGCTCAGGGCTTACCTTGAAAAGGCTCGTCATGAATGGCACGCCTGGGACAGAAAGTGAGAAAGATTGGGCGAGCGAACAAGGGTGTGAGGCGCACATCCTCCGCATCCAGACCCCGCCTTGGTCTTGTTCTTCACGTCGTTCAGAGTCTGAGCGCCGTTCTTGATGCACTGGACAACGTCGCCCTTGGTCACGTTCTATGCGCCACGCTAAGCACATGCAGCATCCAGTCATGACATATCGGGAGACGTACGTGGCAGCTGCAAATCTGGGCATCATCGTCGAGGTCAGCGCCGGCGTCGTCCTGATTCTTGCCATTGCCGAGGATGAACTGCGAGGGCGGGACGTCTAGGGCTTTCTGAAAGCAAGTAATGCTAACGTCAGCGGGCGGAGAAAAGTGAGACGAAGGAAGTAACGCACTTTTTTCTTGACGAGGGCGACGAGCTTGATGTAGTCAGACGTATCGCCGACCATCATGCCTCCGAGAAGGTACTTTCCGTCGCCGCTGAAGATGTACCTAGAGTGACGTCATCGCTAGTCAACACAGACGGAAGAGAAATCATATGGATATGATAGTTGACGCACTTCTTGTACACACCAGCGAAGGGGTCACGGTACGTCAGGGTCTCGATCGGACCTTCCGCTGCCGCAGCGACGCCGTGACGCCGTTTCTTGGGCGACGATGCATCTCGAATTGGCTTCTCCGACGGCGATCTTGGCCTGTCAGAGGTTGTTTGACTGGCCTCCTTGGTGACTGTTAACGATGCCTCTGTGGACGGTGCGGTGACCTCCCAGACGCTCTTGCCTGAGCTGGTCTTCTCGCGAGTGATCGAGACGGATTCTGCTTCTGTGGATGTTTGCGCGGGCAGCGACACAGAGGTCTTCGTGAGGGTCTTTGGCTGGCGTTGCTCCGCAAAGAAATCCCCAAACGAAGCGACCTGCCAGCGCCGATGAGCATCACAACGTAGCCATATACGCGATACCACCCACGTCGACGCCCATGAGCTTGAGCTTGGTCGACAAGTCCGGGTTGTTCATCTGCCTCGGCCGGAAGCCGCCCACGGCGGTCTCCGTCTGCGTGAAGTTGAACGCGAGGATGTCCGCCATCTCGACGCCGGGCGCGATCAGCCCGTACGTGTTCCCGCGCCAGCTCGCGCACTCGCCGATCGCGAACACGTCGGGCGCGCTCGTGCGCAGCAGGTCGTCCACGACGACGCCGTGCGCGGCGGGCACGCACCGGATCCCGCTTGCGCGCGCGAGCTCGTCGCGCGGCGTGATCCCGATGGAGTAGATCGCGACGCGGCACGGGAGCGCCGTCCCGTCGGAGAGGTGGAGTGCGGAAAGGGTGCCTGAGGCGTCGGTCTCGATGCGCGCGATGGACGTGTTGCCGAGGAAGGCAACGCCGAGGGCCTCGATGCGCCGGCGGACGATCTCGCCGCCGTGCGCGTCGAGCTGGCGCGAGAGCGGGTATGCCTGGCGGTGTATGATGGCGACGTCGCCGATGGTGTCGAGGTCGTAGACTGCCTTGGCAGCTTCGAGGCCGAGCAGACCGCCTCCGATCACGGCCGCCTGCGAGAGGTATCAGCCAATGTGTGCACACAAGGAGAGTGGTGTGTAATTTACTTTGCTTCCTTTGATGTCGTCCTTGTCGGCATACGCGAGGAGCCTGTTCATGTCGGAGATGTTTCGGTAGACGAATACTCCTGGGATGTTGACGTCGACGTAGCTAGGGACTGTTGCGGAGGAGCCAGTAGCGAGTACACAGTAGTCATAGTTGATCACTCTGCCTTTGTCAGTGGTGACGTTGTGGCCCTCGGAGTCGATTGAGGTGACCGCCTCGCCGACGTGGAAGGTGAAACGGTCTGGGTCCTGCTCCGCATACCATTGTGCTACAGAGAGAGAAAGGTGAAGGTATAAGCGTCGATAGACGTTACTAAGGATATACAAGGGCACCTGAGTTTAGGTAGAGTTTCTCGACGGAGCGATGTTGGAAAAAGTCGGTAAGGGCGACACGATTGTACGCGACTGGGGAAACGCATCAGCGCATCAGCGATCACGATCGGCGGTGGCGGCGCATCAGCCTCTGTTCTCGGCTAGGTCGACTCACGGTGTTCCTCTTCCCCGCAAGTGACAATCCGGTACTGTCCCCGCTCGTCCAGATTCAGCACCTTTTCGATAAACGCTGCACAGGCCGTCAGGGTGCAATACACGTGACAAAACAAACAGACCCACCGATGCCGACCATGCCCAGGCCGACCACGAAGATTGTCTTCCGCTGTGTCTCTGCTGCCATCTTGCTTTCGTCTTCTCGGGGGTGCACAACACAGCTCTGCGTCTGCAGCTTCACGAGCGCGCTATAGATGAATGCGAGCTGCGGGGCGCCTCGGACGGTCCAACGTGGGCGCGATCACACAAGGTTCTCCTTCAACACAGGGCTCGTTCTGATCTTTGTGCCTTCCATTTCAAAACCCCGCACAGACAGAAAAAACTGTATACCCACCCGCTCAGGGGATTCCAGTCATGTCGCAGATAAGTAAAGCGCGGGCCGCAGGCTACTAGGCACATCTCTTATCTCTGGACACCGCCTCTCCTCTTATCGCCCGGCGCTGTCATAACCTATCTGTCCCGCAGGGCGCATCACGTACTTTCAAGGATGAGCGCCTATTGACTTGAAGAAGGGGCTTAGATATGGACGCCGTTAATATTGGCGGCAGCCTTATAACTGAACGTGAGACCTGCGTGGATTTGCGTTTGACGTGTCTACTGTTGCGACCATGAACGTCTGGAAGACACTGACCCAAGTCCATGTCAACCCCGCCAATGGAAAGTGTACCACTCTGCCGCTTCTCCATCTGAAGAGCCAGTACGCACTCAACTTCCATCTGTGAGTCTGTGAACGCGACTTCTACACCATTGCGTGCATTATACTCATACTTCGACTCGAACGCGCAGGTCATGGCTCGGTTTCTGGGTTGCATTGTATGTCGTCAGATACACGTATTGTGCTGAGGCGTTACAACCTTACACTACCCCGCTAGCCTCTCCTGGTTTGCGTTCTCGCCATTGACTCCGGAGGCGGTCAAGACCGATCTCAAACTGACGACGGCACAAATCGGTGCGCGCTGATCTCTCGCATACGCTAATTTCGAGGTCCGACTTACAGAGTGCAGGCAACTCCAACATCATTTCGCTATGCTCGACCCTCCTGGTGCGCGTCATCGTCGGCCCACTGGTTGACTGTACGTACCGTTCCTGCACATCGCACCACACAAGTAACGAGCATCGCACAGGGTACGGCCCGCGGAGAGTCATGGCCGGCATCCTCATCATCGGCGCCATCCCCTCTGGCCTCGCGGGCACGATCAGCTCCGCGAACGGGCTCTACGTCGTCCGCTTCTTCATCGGTCTGCCCCTCCCTCCCGCTCTGCGCTTCCACCCGGGCTGACACCGCGCGCAGGGATCCTCGGCGGGACGTTCGTCCCCTGCCAGGCGTGGACGTCCGCGTTCTTCGACACGAACGTCGTCGGGCGCGCGAACGCGCTCGCGGGCGGCTGGGGAAACTCGGGCGGCGGGTTCACGTTCATCATCATGCTCGCGGTGTACGACGCGCTGCTGCGCGACGGCCTCGCGAAGCACGTCGCGTGGAGAGGTACGTCGTTCCCCTCCTCTCGCCGCTCCGCGCCCGCAGAATGCTCACCCGCGTTTCCGTTCCTGCAGCGTCGTTCGCGATCGTGCCCGTGCCCATCCTCCTCGCAACGGCCGCCGTCACGCTCCTCTTCGGGACGGACCACCCGAACGGCCGGTGGGCCGACCGCCACCGCCCCTTCTCGCTGCGCGGAGCGGACGAGGAGGTCGCTCAGGAAGGGCAGGAGAAGGAAGTATCACCGAGGAAGCCGCACGACAAGGCGGCAGCGCAGGAGGAGGCGCTGGAGGTCAGCGTGGACGTCGCGATCGCCGAGCCGGACGAGACCACGCTCAGCATCGGCGTGACGACGAACCAGGGGACGACGCTGGACGTCGCGGCGCAGGTGCTCATGGCGCCCGCGACGTGGCTGCCGACGCTCGCGTACTTGAGTAAGTCGGCGTTCTCTGCGAACGGGTGCATGCGAGGCTGAGCGCCGCCGGCACACAGCGACGTTTGGCTTCGAGCTCGCGATCGACGCGAACCTGTCGAACGTGCTCTACGGCATGTACAAGTCCGAGTCGTTTGGACAGACTAAGGCGGGCTATGTATGTCTTCGATCGTGGCCCCGGGGCTGCGCAACGCTGACTTTGACTTCAGATTGCGTCGATCTATGGACTGATGAATACCTGGTCGCGGCCCCTTGGTACGTACATCCTGCACTCTCCCAGTGGTGGCCTTACCCTTCGACCGCTTGCAGGCGGCTACCTCGGCGATTTGATCTACCGTCGCTATGGGGTCACCGGCAAGAAGTACCTGACGCTCGCTCTGGGCGCACTTGCGGGATTCATGTCGCTCGGTCTCGGGCTCTACATTGACAGGGGAGAGAAGCCTTCGCGTGGGTAGTCAGTCAGATAACTGTGCGACTCTGACGCTGACATGGGTGGTGGGCAAGTCGCGGTGGTCATCGTCATGTTCGTGATCATGGGCATATTCATGCAAGCGGCCAACGGGGCCAACTTCTCGCTCGTCCCGCACTGCAATCCTAGTACGTGATATACCATTCAGTGTGTTTACAGAGCTCTAACGTCGTGTTCGCAGACTCGAACGGTTTCATGGTGCGCTCTGGTTCTGCATGACGAGCCGGGACCGCCAAGCTGACATCCGCCCCTCTCTTTTCGCTAGACGGGCATTGTCGGGGCCGTAGGCAACCTTGGCGGTGTTATTTTCGCGCTAATCTGGCGCATGCAGCCCATGCCCTACGGCAAGGCGTTCTGGATCTCGGGCGTCTTCGCGATCGTACGTCCGCTTTCCCTTGCCTGCCCGCCCGTCCTCAGCCCCCTGACGACGTCGTTCCTTTTCCGCCAATTCGCGTGTGTCGATATCGCCGCCGGCATTCTAGGGCCTGAATGCACTCATCGTGCCGATTCAGCCGCCGCGGGATAAACACTGATCGGTGCCTTCGTTTTCGTCGTGATTGATTTCCCGATCACGATCAAAATGACTCGGATTGGCTGTTGCAAGGCTGCTTGGCTCGAGCGATGCTGTAATTTTCCTGGCTATATGATAGACTTGACGACTGCGTTCCTGCGCAAGGAGATCTCGAGAAGTCACCGGTGTCTTATTGCTACGTAATGAGGTATCTGTAGAGTCTAATCGGCTGCTCAGGCATCCCGGGTGTCGGGCTCCACTTTGGCGGTGGGTTGTAGATGTCCCTATCTGTGTATGTACTGCTCGGCTGTATCGCATTCGCATGAAGAACACTCCTGACCCCTGTAGAGTCAGTTTTGACCGTATTCCAAATTGCCGTCTATCACGATCGCTCCGCATTCCCCGCTTCTTCCGACACGTTGTTCAAACGCTTGTCTCGAGGCGCGGGTCGTTATCGCACCAATGAGAACGGCGCCGACTGCCGCTTCCTCTCCGTATCTCAAAATGAATACCGACTGCTTGTCCGACGGCTACGACGGTATCAGGCATCGAAGAGATGCCTGGAGCAATCAAGCCTCTTTCCCTGCAAATCACGCCTACTACCTCCGCTCTCGAGGCGCAACTAAGTGCAGGCATGAGTGCTGCATTGCTGCCTGAGCCGCTACCCCGCTTGCCCGTCGACAGGACACCTGCAGACCCATGCGAGGCGGTGCGTCCTTTATAAACGACTTACATCGGCAGCTCTACTGACACGGCCTCCAGGACAAGAAAACCCAGGACAGCTGGGTCAAGCGCAATCCAAACCTGATCCGTCTCACAGGAAAACATCCATTTAACGCCGAGGCCCCGCTTCCTGACCTTTTCGAGGCGGTGAGCCACAGCTATTCTATATCGTCATGTCCACAGCCTGATTGCGGCGAATCTACAGGGATTTCTCACACCCGCACACCTGCATTTCGTCCGCAACCACGGTGCCGTCCCGCAGGTAGATGTAGAGACGCTTGCAAATTGGATCATCCGCGTGCACGGCCTCGTCGAGAGCGAGCGTGTCTTCTCTCTCAAAGACCTCCAAGAGTCGTTTGAGGTCGTGACACTCCCCGTCACTCTGGTCTGCGCGGGAAACCGCCGCATGGAGCAGAACGTCGTTCGAAAGAGCCTTGGATTTGACTGGGGCTCCGCAGGAGGTGCGTCAGTCAAAAGTTCCAATTACACAGACATTGACTGATAATTGGGTCTTTGTGTGCTAATAAAGTGTCTACTGCTCTATGGACCGGCGTGTACTTAGCGGATATTCTTGATGCTGTGAGACCTATTCGAAGGCGCGCAAAACATGTTATCTTCGAGGGTGCAGATAAACTCCCCAATGGACCTTATGGAACGTCGCAAAAGCTAAGTTGGGCGAAGAGCAAAGACAGAGGGATGATGATCGGTACGCAGAGTTCTCTTTCGTGCAAATTCCTTCCTACAACTTCACGGTCGTATATACAGCTTGGGCCATGAATGGTGTCCCTTTAGAGCCAGATCACGGCTTCCCCGTGCGCTTGGTTGTTCCCGGACAAATAGGCGGTAGGTCTGTGAAGGTAAGTTTCCGTCAGGAAATATTACTGCGGCACTCTGACGCCCCTTTGATCGACACAGTGGCTCACGCGGATAGAGGTTTCCGATCGTGAAAGTCAACATCATGTAAGGAAGTATGATCGTACGTTTTGATGTCTTTTGACAAACTCATTTGTAGCTACATTTCCATGGTATGTACCCCTCGTGACGCCTAGACTCACGGACGGAGGACTAACGTACGACACAGATAACAAGGTCTTGCCGATGCAGTTGTCGCCCGAACGAGCACGAGAAGAGAGCAGCTGGTGGTACGACCCCAGGTCAGTTCCAGACACTTCTCTCGCAGGCATAGGTGCTAATAACTTTGCACGACAGCTATCTGATCACGTACGCGCTTGATGCTCGTTCCGCACCTCAACTATGTACTGACCGGGAGGTGCAGCGAGCTTAACGTGAATAGGTACAGCCTCTCTTCAGTTCGTCGCTCGACATCGGTTCACGAAACGTCGCGGGGACGATGACAGTGCGATCACCAAACCTGCCCACGACGAATCGATAGTTATTCCTCCAGATCTCTCTGAGATGTCTAAAGATACATACACGATGCGAGGGTATGCATATGCCGGCGGTGGCAGGCGGATTAACCGCGTGGAGATCTCCATTGATGATGGGCGATCCTGGTTCCTTGCTAACGTGTGAGTGGCGTATAGGCTGTTGCTCTGTCCGTAGTCCTAACGACGTCGCAGCGAGTACCCTGAGGATCTCTACCGCTCAACATCGCATACCAGCAAGACGTACGGCACGCTGGACTTGTCAGAGAGAGATACATATTTGTTCGTGGCTCATATTTCGCATCGCCACCGCAGCTCACATACGCTGCAGCTGCTGGTGCTTCTGGTCATATGAGATCCCGCTAGCGGAGCTGGCCTCCGCGAGCTGGATTTATGTCCGAGCGATGGACGAGAGCATGAATACACAGCCACGCGACATGTACGTGGGATTTTCCTCCGCAACCGCACTCGACTGATATATACTCGCCAGGTATGTGAACGCGACATCAATGTTAAACAATTGGTAGGTGTCCCCAAGGCGAACCGCGCAGGCGCTGACTGGCGGCAGGTGGTTCCGAGTTGCTATTTACAAAACGGACACTGGAATCCGCTTCGTTCACCCCGCACCCGTGGGCAACACATCGCCGGGCTGGATGGAGGTAATGTCCACACTGTCGATTCACTCGCAGAAGCCTAATCATGCATGGATGCAGATTCTGAAATCCTCCGGCGCGGATATACTGCGACCTGTATCTGGAGAGCAACCGTCCCAAGCACATGTCCCCGCGCAAGACCCTGAACCTGCCGCGAAGGTTGAACTTACGAATCCTGCGATCCGCCGGAGGATCACAGCGTCCGAGTTCAAGTCTGAGAGCTGTAACAGGGCCTGGGCAGGTTGCGCAGCACTGATATACGTCTTATTACTGACCTGATGGTATGCCTGACCAGTTTGCCGTTCACGGCGAAGTATACGACGCCACAGACTATCTCGACAAACATCCGGGGGGACCAGGTTCGATCCTCTTGGTGGCCGGAGACGACGCCACGGAAGATTTCATGGCAATTCATTCGCTCGATGCGAAACGCAAGTTAGCGCAGGTATGATCATAGATTCGACGAGCCCGACGACTCTAACGTGCAGCAGTACCACATCGGCACCCTAGAGGACAGCGAGAAGGCGACGGATGTTGTAACAGCGTCGTCTCCCAACGCTGTGTTCCTAGAACCAAAGACCTGGAAGCCAGTTACCCTTACCGATATCGAGCAAATCAACCACGACTCTTACCTGTACCGCTTCTCGCTCGGAAGCGATCAGCAGCCTCTGGGGCTTCCAACCGGCTACCATGTATACGTCCGGCTCAAACGGAAGGACACCGGGGTCCTTGTTCAGCGAGCCTACACTCCTGTCTCGAGGCACGACGCCGTGGGATGTATTGAGTTCTTAGTGAAGTTCGTCCGTAGTTTTCATACAAGTAAGATCTGTCGTTTACCGAAAACACTCAGGATCTATCATCCGTCGCCGCAGTTCCCTGCGGGTGGGAAGATGACCATGGGATTCCATCAGCTGTCACTCGGTGACAACGTCGAGCTCAAAGGCCCCATTGGGGAATTTATGTATCAAGGGAGAGGCTCTGTCTCTGTGCAAGGCATTTCGAGGAAAGTAACGGAATTAGGGCTCATTTGTGGCGGTAGCGGTAAGTGGAACCGTTCACCTTGTCACTGTCAGTTCTTAAGCTTTGCTAGGTATCACACCAATCCTTCAAGTCCTCCGCGCTGTCCTGCACGATCCATCAGATGAGACGCGCCTGTGGCTGCTCAATGCTAATAGGACGGAAGCGGATATCCTCTGCAAGGCCGAGCTCGACGAGCTGCATGCGCTCCACGGCAAAGGTCGACTGCACCTGCACTACACCCTCACGTCCGCACCAGAGGATTGGAAGCACAGCACTGGCAGACTGACGGATACGATGCTGGTCACTCACCTTCCCCAACCTTCTCCAGATGCCCTGATCCTTGTATGCGGCCCTAACGCCATGATTGACGAGGCGATAAAACCCGGCCTAGAAAGATGTGGCTGGGACATAGACATGTCGCTGGTGGTATTCTGATTTGGGAGGAGGATGTGTGTATGTAGGTACAGTGAGTAGGACACATGAACAGAGAAGTAACTACGACAGAAATGCTTTTAGACGAACTCCTAGGACGATCACATTGTATGTACTCTAAAATGCCTTTGGCTCGTTACCCTCAACGCTAGATGACATATCCACTACCAGCCAAGGACGCCAGGAAGGGCCTTGCGACAGTAGCATCTGCGGCGGCGACCAATGTCTTGATCCGAGGATCCTGCCGGGAGAGTTTGACCATTTCCTGGCCCAGGAATTCCCGAGGGTCGCGTACATATGCTACGGGATCAACGGTGACACTTTCTGATGCCGCCAATCGTGAGTACGCTGCCTGGTATCCCGCCGTTTGTTCTTCGAAGTCGATGGCCGTCAGACCAGCATCGGGGTCGTCTACCTCGTCTTTCTTAGTGAGGTATTGGGGCTCTTGGAAGAGCGTAGCGAGCGCAGTGAATACCGCAGGCCTGAAGGAACGGTCAGGACGCAAGGCCAAGCATACAGCACAACCACTAACCATGCGTTCACCGAGGGCTCTTGCAACATCAGGACGCTTTGTGTGAGTAGCCGCGTTAGACCCACGACCACGACCTTGCGATCCTTTGGAGGCATACGCGGTGCCTGTGGGGCAACAAAATTGCCAACAATTTGTGACCATAGTCTGGTGGAGTGTGTCAACATTCTGTAGTGTTTGTCCATAATGGAAATGACCAACTGAGGTTGGATCTCCTCGACTGAGCTGATCACGTAATCAGGACCAAGACCGTCCACGTTAAGCGCCATCGTGAACGCGAGGAAGTACACGAAGTTGTATACGTATTTGTCTGTTTTGCTGGTCTGCATGCGCGTGAGCAGGTTGACCAGCAGCGCGCGGAAGTACTGTTTGAGTTCTGATCTGTACTAGTGTCAGTCATCAACTCGCGGCGCGCTTCAATCTCAGCTTACGGTGGGATATGCTGCACAACAGATTGCAAGAGCTCAAAGCCCCACGCGTCATTCAGCTTTGAGGGGATGAGGCGCTGCTGCACGACAGCCAACACCGCAGGATACTGGTTCGCCGCGACCATCTGCTTGGCATCGCGCGAAAGGAACGCCTTGAGCAACTTGACCAAGCCGGGAATGCTGCCCTTTTGTTGCCACGCAGGTGGCGTGAGCAGGAAAGGAAGGAGACTGCGGTACTCCGCGGGTACGTCTGTTGTGTGTAACTCGAGCATTTGCGCGAGGATCTGGAAGACATAAGGAATGTACTCTGACATATCAGAATGATCAGCGACGATTCAGATGACGTATGATGAGGGAGCTTACGGTCGATATCCTGCTGCAGAATGATAGTGAAGGGGCCGAACAGTGCCTGTTCGAAAGTCGGCAGTGTTGTCGATTTTGCCCCGACAACAAATCTGAGATACACTGAGAACACCTTAGGAGCGACTTATGCTATGGACTCACCTCATCAGAGCTGACATGCTCTCGAAGATGTACTGATCGAAAAGTGGATTACTGGGGTTCTTGGAGATCACGCCAAGAATGGCGACCAGCCGCAGCAGGATCTGCTCATAGCCCTGCACGAGCGTTGATCGGGCAGTGATAATAACACGCATGGCGCCTACTCAAGTCAATCAGTCTCTGTTCCTCAGCATATAGATACCAGTCGCGCACATCTCATCAAATACTCGTTCTCAGCAATTTTGTCTGCTGTTTCGGCGCTCTCAATCTTGGTCAATAGCGCGTCCAGGAGGTGAGGTGCAAGCTCGTGGATGTCAGCTTGTGTGAACCTGTCGTATTTAAGATATCTGAGCGAGCGCTTCATATTTATCGAGCGGAAAGACCTACATCAATTGGTTGCCCTGCTTGATGAACAGGATCCGTTCAATGCTGATCGCCGCATATGTATAGCAAACATAGTTCTCTGAGCTGATATGGCGCACGAGTAGGGGGAGGACGGATAGCAGTTGCGCCTTGACAAGCTGCACACGCTGAATCAATGACTTGATCACCGACGACATCAGAGGCCACTCACCTGATTCCTGAATGTGTACAAGAACCGTATTGCGTCGACTTGGAGGATGGGGTGTACACTTCCCGCCTCAGCTTGTAGGTCCTGGAAGACATGTTCCGAAAAGAATTGCACAACGTCCACAAGCGTGTTCGTCGACGTTACGCCATGCTAGAAGTGTATGTTAGCGCTCGGCCCAGATGGATTGACATCTCATCAGCTATAAGGACGCACCTGCGTTGTGCTTCCGCGCGTCGCGACAGCAGTCATGATGTAGATCGCCGTGTCCTTCGCGCGCCAATTAACCTCCGGTTTCGCGTTGTACTGTTGCAGGCCTTGCCCAATCCACGCGCCCGCCACCTCGGTCGTGTCCGCCTCAAACCCAGACGACACTAAAGCGCGCAGCACCTCCGCTGCTGCCTGCCTCCGCGTCATCGCGTCCGCGCTCACGCCCGCGCCGCCGAGCGCCGGCAGCGAGAGGTCCAGACGGATGTACTCGAGCGGGTCGTCCTCGAACTGCTCGATCTCATGCTCTGGAGTTCCGTAAGATCCATTAGCCACAGTGCAGGGGAACGGATAGAAAACGTGCCTCGCAAGCCGACGTTCGGCACGACGATGCCCTGCACGAGCTGTGAAATCGTCTCGCGGGACCCGAATAGCTCCTTATAGTGCCCGGTCCGGATCGTGGTGGAGATGAATCGTAGTGACTGTGACACAAGCTTCAAGAGGCCCCATGTATAAGTGGCGGCTATAGTGAAAAGAAAAAGAAGCCTACCCCGTCGTCGCCGACGCTCAGACGTCGGTCGGTACCGACAAGCTGCCACACCTGTTGCACGACCGCCGGCACCGACCCTGCATTCAGCATCATTTCCGGGTACAATTTGATATAGAGCTTCGAAAATGTCAGTTAACAGCAGATCGCGGCCCCGCCGGTACTCACCTCGCAGATTTCCAGAATCCCCGTCTTGATCTGGGCAGATAGCGACGGCGTTGTGTCGTCGAGCTGCATGGCGTTGTTAGACTCAGTGGACACGGCTCAAAACCAATGACCTACGTCTCCTTGCAGTTCGCGGCGCTCTAGCGTCAGCGTCTTGATGAATAATCCATCCGGAGGCCCAAAGAAGTGCAAGTGGTTGTCCTCCATGGCCGGTGGTAGATCCTGGCACGTCAAGTCATAGTAGATATCTACGAGCAATACCACCGCCTGCGCAACCAGCGAGAGATTTGGTGGCGCGGGCACTGCGAAGAGCAGCTGCGCTGAATGGTTGAAGAGCGAAAGGAAGGGCGTCGCAAAGCGTTCCAGCACGTAGTTGATGGTGAGGAAGAGGGGGTCGGAGCGTGCCTCTGAGCGCCAGGGGCGGAATATTGAGTGTGCAGTCTCGAGAACCCCTATGTTCACGTCATAGTTCTCTTCTGAGAGTGATTGCACGAGTTGCTGTAATGAGGTGATCAGTTAAGTCCTGGGAGATGATCCATCCTGCACGATGAAATGCATTGGTGCCGCGTAGCGCAAGGAAAAGACGACTTCAAAGCGTATCGCAAATCGTCTGCATTCAGAAGGACACTCTCCAACTAGATTTGCGTAGGCTTTGAGGCGATCTAGAAGTCTAGCAAAACCACCGAAGCTCAAGATTGGCGTAAGATATGCGCTTGGACTCAGCGTATGCTGGAATAGAGACTGCACATGTAAAGCCAGTCGTTCTGAAAGGACGAGGAGACATCTCAATTGAACGAGATAGGCACTCGAGGCACAACCGCCCGCGACTGCGAGTGTGCCCGGGAAGCTCAGTTGCGAGGTGAGCGCTCAGAGGAGTCTACATCAAAGATCTGCCATTGATGTGATGCTGAGACAATAGACGGCACAAAAGCTCTGTATGGCATCGCCTGTCCCGCCAGACGCAGATCATGTGAATTCGAAGCGGTAAACAACAAGCAACAGCATGGACGGGCATGGCAGTGCACATTCTAGTGCTCACGAAAAAATCAACAATGGTGGCCCGTCCGAGATCGGGAGCTGTTCATGGAGCCATAAGTTTGAAAGGCGCCTCGTAGTTAACCACGACACAGCCACGGCAGGCCGGCTTTGAGTGATCGGGACTGGATATCAAGCTCATCGCTGCATGAAGCGTGTAAGAGAGATGCCCAGGTGGCACGTGATTGGGCCGCCACAGTCTCCGTTGCAAACATAAAGCAACAGAAGCATATGCAGCAGCAGCCACAGGCAACCAACAGAGGTGGCTAGAAGCGGTACCACGTCTTTCAAGGTGCCTTTGTAAGCATACAGACGTCTGCTCTGCATGAACAGCATAGACAGGATCCGCGTGCCACGGAACACAGCGCGAGAGGACAACTCACATCCATGAGATCCGGCCACAGCTCCGGGAAGTCCTTGCTCGCAATCAGGGATATCGCCTCCGCTATTTGTGCACGCATGGCCTTGCTGGACGCGTTCGAGAGCGCGATCATGGCTGGAATGAGCTCACTCCGCAGAGCGGTCTTGTCCGCCTCTGGTACGGGAGGCTCTTCCTGTATCAAGAACATCAGGATCAGACAGGCATGCTTAGTTTGCTTTATGGAGATACGCACGTCCTCCCATCGTGTCTTGACGACGTTTTTGAGATAAACGCTCGCGGCGAGCCGGATGGCGCGGTCCTGCGACTGGTCGAGGACAAGGCGGAGAAGGACGGAGAGAAAGCTGGGTTGAACGCTGAGTGTTTGTAGGTTTTGCTCTGCCTGTTTTCGTGAAGTAGGGTTAAGGGAAGCGAGGAGGAGATTGGGGAGGTCAGACATGATGAGGGGAGATGGAGAACAGAGCAGCAGACAGCACGCGTTTCTTTGCCAGTCGCGTCCGGGCACGTGCCACGTGTGGCCACCGGCGCCTGATATAGATGGGCGCTTCCGGCTTCCGCCCTCTTCAAATTCAAAGTCTAGACGCTTTCTAATCGAGGCGCTGAAATAGAGCTCTCAAGGTATATCCTTACTTTGCAAGATTTAGCATGCTTCTGGATAAGCAGCATTGAATAATAGAGTTGCCATCAAGCACAGGTACGACCCAGAGGCGGCACCCACAGACGTCCACTGGAAGCGGAACATGACACTGGCGTGTTCGCAATCAGTGTTCCCTTGTCCTGTGTGAGCCGGACATCTGTCACGTCTACAGCCACTCTAAAAAAGCAGAGATGTCTTTTCCACGCTCGTACAGCAACGCATTCATGGCCCCCCTCGGTTCCGCCTCTTCCTCGACCCTGCCGTCTGCACTGAACCACTCGCATCCTTTCCTCCGTTACTTCTTACATGCCCGTAACATTCACAATCTCGCCGCATCTCACTCCAATCCCACCGACCAACACTCGCGATCCCGATGGCGGCGTCGTGGAGCTCTTGCAACAGGCTTGCCCCGAGCAGTGGCTGCAGTGTGCAGAGGTCCTCCAGTCGTCTATCTCTCGCCACGAACTATCAAATCTCCACCCTCGGAGCAATGGTTTTGTGCACACCGTCCTTCATGCCTACAACACACACCAACATTTGACTATCAGGTGAGCTCTCGGGCATACGTGACAGGGCGTCCCAGGCACGGCTGGTGCGTTGTTCGGACCAACCACGAGTCTTAGCTTCCAAAGACGAAAGAACCGCAGCTCGGATACCGGTGGAATCCGTCTCGTAAGCTTCTCATCGCTTTCCATAACGAACGCATGCGCTTCGTGATGCATGTTCCGATGGTCCTGGAATCGTGACAAACTCAATCATTGTGGAACTCACTCTTTTCTGATTGGCCCTTGCGCTCAGTTGGAAAGCCGCAGATTGCTACTTCCACTTGAGTACTATGCGATCGGAACCAGGACCACTTACAGGGTGTGTGCTGGTCCGATACACATACGAGAACAGCTTCGATACTGGAGGGGGGACGGAGGTAATGAAGCGTTCGGCCTATTATTTCCAAGATGGGGAATTTGTCCGAATGAGATAGATCTTACCGAGGCATTGGCTCAAATATCGGTTCGACATCACATTGAGTACTCGACTTGACTACTAGATGTCCGCCGACGTCATACCCTCACACGTTACAGATTGATGTCTGTTAGTTTTGATTCAAATCCTGAAAGGTGTAAATTGGCGGTGCTACCGTCCATCTCCCATTGTCGTTGTCTGCGCATTCTTGAAGCGGCTTTGGATATAGCTACTATTTGGATATCCAGCACCTTACTCATGCCCGAATTTTCAGACCTGATGACGTCTGGATAGCTATTCTCAGCCAGCTTAGCTTTTAGTGAGTATTACACTTGTCTTTAGACATCAGAATCCGTGACGAGGAACAGTGTCAACGCGCACAGAGAAGAACTGCGCGGCTCTTTTGGCGATTTACAGGCCAAAAAACCTGTCCACATTACCGCGGAGGAGTCCCGCTACACCGTTGACTTTGCAAGTGTGGCGCGGCAGCTTACAACACAACTAGAAGAGCATGTACGTTACCTGCCTCCATAGGCAGTCTACTTTATTTGACATGCTTGTACAGATTGCAGACAAGAGCATGACGCGATGGATCCTCCCCGACTTCACAACGACCACCCTCGTCGACACCACTGTCTGCTCCACCCTCATGCTCTCCTCACTCTCTTCGTACGCCTGCGTCTTTCCTTACTATGACCATCTGCTTACACATATCATTCAGGTACTTCGAGTTCCGCCCCGTCTGCGCATGCGGCCTTCCCAGCGTCACGCTTGCCGGCGAGCAGCCCGACTGGCAGAAGCTCCTCGACCGCACCACGTGGCTCGCAGGCCTCGGGCCCGAACCTGCGCGCTGGGCCGCGATGCTCCGCCCCGTTCTGCAGCGCTTTGCTAACGCGTTCGCCGGCACGCCAGACGTGTCCTTCTGGACGCACGTCGTGCACTTTGACCCCACGTTATATGGCGCGGACGACCTCAGCGGGTGGCTGTCTGTGTTTTGCGTATGGTCGAATACGGGAAAGTGGCAGCCGCAGGCACTCCCTGCACAAGCCGGCGCCGGAACAGGCGAGGGGTCAAGCGCATCCGGTACGTTCCCCTATGTGTTAAATCGAATTTAGGCGCTGATGCGCGATCTACGGCGGATACAGGCGCTGGCCAGGACCACGATCGGTGCCTCGTCCTCGACGGAGTTGTGTATCCACAGATGAGCGTGTTATTCGTGCCCGAGGGATTCTGCGAGGCAGATGCGGTGCTCATGGACGGTGCGCAAGAACTACGATGCATGATGATTGCGGGGCATATCGCGATGGCCGTTTCGGCAACGCCTGCGCCCGATGCGGGAGCGGAGGTGGGAAAAAAGGGAGAGGTGGATGCTAGCAAAGAGGGCGCAGAAGCGAACGCGGTGGGAGAGGAGGTTTCGGCTCATGGGTCGGCAGGATCAGAAGAGACGACAGGCGAGCGCAGAGGGGTAAGCCCGGCGCCACAGTGGGTAGTGTTTCTGCGGCAGGAGCGCCGTGTTGAGAGGGATCCCGCAGCATTGGTCCCAGAGGCAGGCGTGATGGTGTGGATGGAGGGCGAGACTCCGGATAGGAATGGCGAGGGCGGCGTGGATATCCAAGGGAGCAGACATCGACGAGGCGGGCCTCCCGGTCGTCGCCCGTCTAGAATTCGACTGTCCTCGTGCCGTGGGTGTATGATCTCATGAACTGCGCTACTGGTCGAGTGCGCGATGTTCGGGATTCAACTTGTTATGTGGCCAAACCCGCCTCAGACTTAGATGTGTAGGACAAGGCACTGGCTCTGGGTAGAGGATCGTTCAAGTGCCGTTATGAATGGAATCACTTTGAATGAGGGCGAAACGGATTTGCAAAGAACGAATGGTACGTGGGAATCCTTGCAAGCCCTATGCCAAGGCTACGCGCGGGCGGATATTCAACGCCATCCATGCGGCGAGCGGCCTCTCTTCCTACTATATCAGCAAAATTCGCAAGTATACCTACGCGTCCCCGTACTTTGTCCTGCCATCATGTCGTTTGCTCCTCTCCGCAGCGGGACGCCTCATCGGATTTGGTCAGACAGAGCGTGCGGGCTCACAATCCCGTAGTTCACTTACGTGGCGGCCTTGTTGAGTGCATCAATGCGGCGTTCATGATGAAAAGACACTCAGCTTTCGACCTGCTGCCGAGCTGTCTTTGTTCTGATCAGCGGTGTTGATTAGCTCGAAGTTGAGTCATTCTCAGAGAAGGTCAGTGATGGGGATATGAAAACGATCAACAAGGTGCACATTGGTTAGTCCACCCTCCGAGCTCCAGACGCTCCCGGAGGGCTTTCGGGAGCTTAGGTCGGACTATATGCAGCCCGACCGGCTTGGGCTTTAATATTTATGGATAATACTTTTCATGATAAGGAGCCTGGACGATACATGAATAATGATCTTGGGCATAATACACATCACGCAAGAGACTCACCATGGTCAACTTCAGAGCTTCGCTTGCTATGCAGCAGGCACGCGCATATCGCAGGTAAGAAATTGAGTTCGAATGCCGAGATCGTATCTCAAGCGCAAGAGACGCTCGTCGTGGCGTCTACACAGTAGGCCGCCGCATCTGAGTAGATCGCGCCTGTTCCTATCGCAACCTTTCGGTTGACTGCATCAGGTTAAGCATGCGTTAGTGCTCTGTGTTTTAACGTGTTCTATCCAAACAACTGGCAATGAAACTGATGACTCATGCTCACCTCAGCTCGATCCATGGCAAATCGCGCTCATGCTCGGTGTAGGTACTCTCATATCACCTCTCCGTCGAGAAGAATTCATCATTTCTGCGACATCTCATTGTGTGGTGAGCTGTCAACGCCCACAAGTAAGTCATTTAAAAGTTATGGAATGTCTCCGTCAAGGCGAGGCTATGGTATAAGAACGGTGTGATACATCGCAACATGTCTAGACATCTCAATGTAGACTGCACGCGTTGTAAGACCTGCTGTTCCAGACGTACGAACTCCGTCGCTTTGTGAGGTAAGTCATTTGCCGACATGCGCACTCAAGCACATATATAGACTCGTTAATGGTAGGTGTTCAGTCACTGTCTTCTACTCACATCTCTCTGGTCGTGTTCGACTCGCACTACAATGTCTGGGTCTCTTTCAGAAGAGATAATCCAATTGAACTTGGAATATACGTGCGTATCAATTATTGCATACAATTCATTCCATGAAACTTATACCGGTGTGGGTGGTTAGCTTTCGAGAGAATTGTGTTGCTTATGCAGCAGTTGGTAAGCGTCTCCGCTGCCAACTCAACGCTTGGGCCAAACCAAACATACGCATCTCAGCGCTTCTACTTTATCATGTTTCTCTAAACTTGACGCATGTCTTGCGATGTTTATGGGAGCGACGGTCAATTGCAAACTTATTGTCTATCGTGAATTGGCTTGCTATCGTTGGTACAGCCATCACGAGTATCGTGCCTCTGCTGATGGACAATATACCTGTATGAAGCTTCCTCTCTTGGGAACGTGATAAATTCTGATAGTATATCTTCCAGAGGTCAGATCTTCTATGCCCTATCGCCTTTGTTCATACTTATGTGAACGAAGATGCGCTGCAGTAACCAATGTCTACTTCACAGTGTATCTTGTCAACGCTGCCAACCATTTCCCTTTCGTCCTCCCTTCCTGCCTGTGTATCTGCACCTCCCCAAAAACCTCCGTACAAACCAGAGCGCTTCTAACGGTGCCATGCACGGCGTCTGCTCAGTACCAATGCGCGCGCCCAGCCGCGTGCTAGGGACGGGCAGCGATGAGAGGGTAGTCGCGTATGACAACAAAAGCTTGACCGCCGCGCCTGCGGTAAGCAGGTTCCGTAGGGATAGCACTGATCGAATAGGACAGAAGACAACGCTAAAGGGTCACGGAAAGGAATCATTCCCATTGAGGAGGGGTTGGCACAATCATCACCGGTGCGCCTACATCTGTACAGGTGCATCGGATAGCGCAGCCCGCGAAGGACAGTACAGCATCGTGAGTGATCTCAGTACGACATCCATCAGCGAAGAGGTTAGCCTCCAAAATTACGCGGAGGCGTTCTGAGAATTAGTTCAACATTAAATACATAGTGGATGACACCTACACGATGGAGTTGTGCGTGCTTTCTATGGACGTGATAGATGTGAGCTTCCGCGTTCCTGCAGTCGCGAGCTTGTTATAAGACGTCTGCACTAATAACTGCCCTGCGTCATCCATTAGCCCCATCCGTCACAGGCGAGTGCTCGCAAGTATAGGCTAACCCAAGGTAGGCTTCGTGTGAGTCAAGGATGAGCGCGCAGATCACCCTGGCGCAGTAGTTCAGAAGGCATCCCAAAATGTGGATTCGCAGTGAAAGAATCATACGGAAGCCCGACATGACAGGGGTACTCATCTCGACAGCGCGAGCCATTCACTTGTTCTAGAAGTCTTCCAGCATGTTATTCCCGGCGTATTCTGCAACCCTTCGTATACTCTGGACCTGGCAATGCACTAGCAGCGGCGAGTGTAAGATGGAGCGAAAGCCAGTCCGTGAGCAGCGTCCCAATGAAAGATGACACAATCTATAGCCTTCGATACCAGTGCCGGAGTCAGACAATGATTGCAGCAAGCTAGCTGGCGCTGCCGTGTATTGACTTGATGCTGCACGGGGAATAGGGGTCATTTATGCACATTTGTATTCACTTGGAGTGTAGAAGCTAATGAACTTGAAACGATTGGTGTGACGTCGTAGCATGTGTACAGGCAAGCAGAGATATTATTATTTGAATCTTTGAAAGGAAGGGTCGGAGACAAGAAGAGACAAGTTCGCGGCGACTGGGCGTGGGAATCAGAAGTAAGCGCTAGGGTTACGCGGTTCGCTTTTCGTTTGACACGTCACTCGCTGCCCACATTAACATCCGCGCGAAGTGTGAGAAACCTCGCAGGAAGTCCTAGACTAGGGCATTCATAACGTCCTTCCTACACGCTCGTTCAGACGTAGGCTTCTGGTATCAAATCTTGCAGCTGAAGATGAGGCCACGGCTCTAACATTACGCACCATGCGATGAAATTATAAGGCTAAAAAAGCAGGTCCGCATAAAGATGCGCTATGTACATTTTATTCAGACCCCAGGGTCTCACGCAGATCGCAATGTCCTCCTAAAGCCTTGCGCCATGGCAAGGACGTGGTGACAGAGTAAAGGCCATACGGCACACGTCAAGTTGAATGTACGCTTCTGGTAAGCAGAATACTGTCCTCGTCAAGAGGCAACGTATCAGGCACCCTGGCTCAAGACCCGGATGAGACCGGATCAAGAGCAGCAGATACAGTACCTACGATCTTCTCTGCATCTGATAGTTGATGACGTATGTGCCCGCACTCACTGCAGATGTAACAGCTACGTACACATGTAACTACTGGACCGCTCAGTGATGACGAAGATATAGCGCGAAGACCGAAGTGCTGGTGCACAATGCGATCAACCCCACTATCGAGAACGCAGACCAAGGCACGTCGATATCGAATCTGCCCTTCCCAAATCAACTGAAATACGCCATGAGCAGGACTTATATGAACGTCTACCCGTGTCACTATGTACATCTGTCGTGATACAGAACCACAAGCCAAATTTGTCGGATCTATCGCGAGTAATGGGCGTACCCCAATGAATCACGTACAGGTGAGCTAGCAAGGCTGTGTGCTTCGTAACTGCTGTTCAAAGCCCTTCTGGAAACAGGCCTACGGACGCCACGGCCCGTACGCTCGGAGTAGTTGATTCCTGTGAAGAGATTATCAATACCCTGAATTGCGACAGGACGCGATGAGTCACTGGTTTGTCTATGTGTCTCAGGATCAATCATCATATACAGGCATCGGCGCCTTCCGGAAGTTGCATGATGGTATAAGAGCCGCTATCACGGACCAACAGCCCTACGTGTGCAGATTCGGACGGATTCTTGATCACAGGGCAGCGAGACACCCGTATAGGTATGTATATCACCTCAACTGGTCGTGCTGCAGCATGTCCCTTGGGAAATGGCACCGGTCTTATAGATCATAATGCGCATCGTGACTAGCAGTTGAGTCGTCTAAGATCACGCTTAAGCGGCGAAATCATTATTCACACAAGACATTGTATGACGTCTGCGCATCTGATAAGCATACACTGCATTTCTCCACCGTTCTATAGTGCGATGAACCGCCGATAAGCAGACATGCAGTGGGAGGCGAACAAGTTCAGTAAATACTTCGACAAACGGATGTGTCTGCAGTGAGCAATCCTGTGTACCCACAGATCTCAATAGGTCGAGGGGGTGCCGGTGGTCATGAATACATATCGCCTTAATTTTACGTTACGGCTCGGTGCGGTGGACGACTGTTCGGTGTGGCGAGTACGTCACTACGGACATTGATTGATTGTAATGTCATATGCGTGATCTTTTCCCATCGAGAGCCCCTAAATACACCGCAGATCATTCCAGCTAATCACGGGCTGAAGGACATAGCTTCCGAATTAGATATACATGGACTCGAGTCTCATGCATACTGCCTATTCGTATCGATCTTCTCACATCTGGCTCGTCTTTTCATCTTCCCCGCGACCATCTAGCAGGTAATGTCGGGACCGCCATCGGAACAGACCATTGAAGAATTGCAATACGAGCAAGTGGATCTATTGCATCTACAGAATTCTGTAGGACTTACATCCGTGCCATGGTGTAGCTTCCGTCTCAATTGTATCAATTATGCATGTGTTGGTCAGTGCCTCCGTTGCCTATCCGATGATCCAGCATGAATTATGCTTTCAGCACTTCTGATTTATTATGTTGCCCTGAACTTGCCACCTGACATACGGCGTCTGTGGGGGCGAAGATCCATTGCCACACTACTTTCTGCCATAAACTGGTTTGCTATCATTGGCACTATCATTACGAATACCCCTCTTCCAGCTAATACTATCCAAGTATGTAGCATTCAATCTGCGGGGTGCTAATCTTGTATTGACGACGTGCACTTTAGAGGTTGGTTCCTCCATATCAGGCGACCATTGCTCACAGACTAGTCATCTCACAAGATGCGCGTCTTCTGACTATGCTTATGAGGTGGTGCTTCTTGTCGTGACTACTGTATCTCCATGTAAGCAATGCAAACTCCATCACCAGAGCCGTCGTTATCCTGTCTCTCAAGTGGTAGCCACTCTGCGCGTACATGCTGTGAGCGGCGGCAATTGGCGATGGGTATTGCCAGTCTCGCTCCTTGGTGTGGTGCACGTGGGCCTCAAAATAGTCAGTACATGGGGTTTGACACAGTGCATGCGGCTAAAGCAGGAGTATCACAGTGGGCCATGACCAAAGAGATAGCTCTCATCGTTCCCCCATTTGGATGTATCATCATCTTTGACATAAATTATGTGTATGCGTATTTATTTGTTTATTTCGGATCCTACAGACTGATTAACATTTACAGGGGTGAGTCGTCTCATCCCATACGTCTAGTTGCACTTGCTGACCTTACTACTTCCGATGTAGCGTCGCTCGCTCCTAGTATATCTCTGGTCGTCCCGGACATCCTCGTTGTCGTAGCAACATGGTACTATATCAGCCGTACAAGCTCGATGAGAACACAACTGGTACATGATATGTGGACTGCAAGACCCAATCTCATAACCGTTATGTTCCGACATGGTAAGTACCAGCCAGAATATGCGGTATAGTATGCCATAGCAGCTCATCTTCTGTGTTATCAGGTACATCGTATTTCCTGTATGTGGAGAAGAACACGTACGTGTTTGATAATACTCATTGCAGGCACAGCACTATCTCGCTGCCGAACGTTGCTGATCTCGTCGCAATCAGTAGCGTGCGTATTCAAATCGCTTGATTACTCATGCTGAGACGATCGCCCTAGTCTGACATCGCGGTAGATATATCATATTTGACTGCAGTGTGCGTGAATTTTCATTCTCATAGTGTGAGGGTTTTTCAGACACATGAAAACTGCATCTTATAGGATGTCAAGCATACTCGTCTCCCACTTCCTCATCTGCATCCGCGAAGCCGCAGAGCGCTCAACACAGGCATTGAGCTCCCGGTCTCTGTCTTTCATTGACTCACAAGGCAACTCTGTCTCCCGATCGTGGCTCTCTAGCATAGAGTTTGCCGCCGACATCGCCAACCCCTCTGCGCGAGGAAGTGGCGTAAATGCTTTCTCTGATCTCGAAGACGACTTGGATTCAAGAGGCGAAGATGACTCAGGAGACGCGAGTAATGATGGAGTAGAGCTAGAGGAATACTTAGCCTCTGTCCGTTCTGTAGATGCACGCACATCCTGATCTTCCTCCATCTTACCATTCACCTTCCGTTTCTCATGACTTCGACAGTATCTTAAATCTTATCTTTCTCCAGTACGTATACCGGTCTCAAAGTCCAGGTACCTGCGATATCGCGAGCTAATCTATTTACTCCCAATTTGTTTTCGTGGGCCATGACCCGCAGTTCTAGTTTGACATTTGTACTAAGTAGCTCGCTATATTAGCCGTCACGGAAATGCGCTCACAGGCATTGAGGGGTGTGTCCTCAAGACAATTGTACTGCTCAGCGACCCTGACCATTCTTCTGCGCAGATGTCAAACTGAGTCCTTCGAATCCGCATGGCCCAAAACATGTATGTTATGCTCAGAGCTAGCTGAGTCATTCCAGGCCAAGAATGTCACTCGAAGCATGAAGTACACGTGCCTCCGAGTCGAGAATGGCAGCTGCAGGCCTGCTGCGCTTTTGTCACAATACACTATAGGGACCGATCGTGCGCGTTAACATGCTACTTTTTCATCTATTCCGTGTGCTGCCGTGCGTGCTAGTAATATGAACGGGCAAGTTGCAGCTGTCCTCTCTTGCCCTTGACCCTCTGCCAAGCCTGAGCCTGCGGCAAAGTCTTCCTCATCTCCAACACTGAGAAACCGGGCTTCGGACATGAGCCTAGGACTAACTTTCTGACTGGCCGTCAACGTTTCAACGGATAAGGAACCTAGTCAACATCGACGGGCATGTCGACGTACATCTTTTCTCTGTTCAATGTTCGATCGTGAGTGTGTGCATTACCACTCACAAGATATATTGTAAACGAGGCTGTCTAGCTGTACAATAATCGCTAAGATTAATAGGGACGCCGTGATCAAAACCGCGTTACGGAACGCGTGCCCTTTTGTGACGGTGGGATAAATAAGGGACTGGCGGCGAGTTGTAGAGTGGGAGCGCTGAGCACCCACGGGATGGTCCATCAGGCGCAAATCGGGGCGGGATTCGAGAGCTGGAGTCCGGGCTGCGGAGTGAATACGTAGATAATTGCCTCTCCGAACATATGGAACGGGATGAAAATCAAAAGACAGGAAACTCAAATAGTGATGAGAGGGCAGATCCGCCAGCTCGTACATCAATGACCGCACATATTGTTGCTCTTTGGCGTTCAGAGTATGCCGTTGCGCTTTTTCGGAAGCGAGTGATATTGTAGCTTCGGTGAGGCCATGTCCCCGCGCAACAACGTGTCTGAGAATTATGATGTCGCAGAACACTGTTCTCATGGGCGGGTTCGAGAGCGCATCTTGTGGTTATCAATAGTCCCTGACTCACCTGTACCTCTCATTACATTATCCTGTGCGGACAGTGACAAAATCAATGAGACTTCGATCGACGAATGTGATCCTGACCTTTATGGCATCTTCGCCAAGTCATCTTTCCTGGCAATGGCTGGAATGGTCAGCTACTGAAAGATGAAAGAATATACGCCAGGCTCCGGAGGATTCTATAGCTGCGCAAATATTGTTTGTTGAACGATGTTCGGTTGCAAGCAGGCAATCTCACCTTAGAAGGGAAGGATGGCTTGCGAGCTTCCGGATTTCCCCAGGGTTGCAAACCTTGTCATACGAATCTTTCATGGCTGTATTAACATTGGATACAATGAAAATCCCTTACCGTTAATGATGCAGGATGGATCACCTTGCAGGAGCACCCGAACTATACCGCAACTGGGTGTCATCTCCGGCAGAGTGTCGCGACTTGAGGTCAAGCGACAGGGGAATATCTGAAAGCGAGGGGCGTTCGACTGGTTCTCACCGAAGCGATGGTGAGCGAGGCTCAAACCTAAGGCTAGGGACAAGAATGTATTAGTTAGTAAGTAAAAGAAGTAAGTACAGGAGAGCTTACTGACCTAGGGACAAGAGGTCGAAACTGAGGTCCCTAGGGCAGCAGAGGCTGGTTTATATACATGGGAAGATTTAGGGCAGGCTGTGCGCGTTGGTCCGTGCGCAGCTGGTCTGTGTGCAGCATGCCGACGCGGCCCCGGGGGCCGGTGAGTCAGTGCGGCTGCGTCAGCGGGGCCCGAGCTGTGCCGTGCACTGCCGTCCTATCTAATCTGATCGTACAGTAGATAATGATGTGTCCGTATCGGGCAAGTAGTACAGAGGTCACGGGTTCGAGCCCGCAAAAAGGAAAAAATTAA